ACATATAGAGACATCAGCATTTTCCGATGAGTAACTGTGATCCGCCGCGGTGGTGGGGGATTTGGTCTGCGCTTACAGTGGTTAAATGTAGGAGTTGTGAAAGCTCATTAACTGACAATTATTGCCTGGTAGCGCAACTCACTTCATAAATCGTTCGTGAGACTATCACAATGGCACCAGAATTGATATACTCTCCTCCTCCAGGCCTGACAACCAATTTCGACGAATTTCGACAGAGAGTGAACTCAGAGCTTGGCCTCTCCCTTCGAGACTATCATGATCTCCACAAATTATCAGTCGAGAGGCGAAATGAATTTTGGATGTCGTTGTGGCGGTATCTAGATGTGAAGGCCTCGGTCCAACCCACGAAGGCCATCGACGAAACACTTCGAATCGACCAACTGCCAACTTTCTTTGAAGATGCTCGATTAAACTATGCGGAAAATCTCCTTGTCCGATCAGACGAGGGAGTGGCAGTAAAATACCTGTGTGAGAATCAGTTAGACGCACCGAGTGAAGTCACTTGGAAAGAGCTGCATGAAACTGTTCGCATCCTCTCAAATGCTATGCGAAAGTCAAACGTCTCGAGAGAAGACGTCGTTTGCATTATCGGTGGGAGTTCACCTCTATCGCTTGCCATATTCCTGGCGACAGCCTCTGTCGGCGCGATTGTCTCAGCATTCGCCACAGACGCAGGGAGAAAAATCTTGATGGACAAAATGGGACAAGTCTGCCCTAAGATAGTTTTCTCAGAATCGTTCTACCGGTACAATGGGAAGACGTACGATATTTCTGAGAAGATCTCTGAGGTCTTTTCTGTGATAGACAAGGTGCGAAATGCCAAACTCATCTGTACGTCCGAAGTTGCTGCTCCGAAAGGGTGGATGCCCTTGGAGAAATTTCGACAACTTGGTCGGGAAGGGCCACTTCGTTATGAGCAGGTTCCCTTCAACCATCCTCTTCTCCTGGCCTTTTCGTCGGGCACGACGGGCTCGCCGAAGGGTATCGTCCACTCTCATGGTGGCATGGTGATCAGTGGAAAGAAGGGAAGCCGTCTGCACAACAATTTCGGTCCGGGTGACGTCCACTACCATTATACCAACATTGGGTGGATATTGTGGAACTTGATGATTTCAGCCCTCTTCTGTGGCTCGACTGTCATCCTCTACGATGGCTCTCCATTCTACCCTACTCCGGAGAAACAATTGGCGGCAGTCTTTTCTGCAGGGGTTACAGCGTGGGGAGCCAGCCCTCGATACTTCGCGGAGCTCCAAAAGGCCGGAGTTGATCCCAAGCCATATGTCAAGAATCTCAAGTGCATCCTCTCTGCAGGGGCCATCCTCAACGAGCCTCAGTCAAAGTGGCTCAAGGAAGCGTTTGGGCCCGTATGCCAGATGTCTTTTTCAGGTGGTACTGAACTTTGTGGTAACTTCTGTGCCGGCCACATCGGTATGCCCACGTACGCCGGAGAGATGACGGTGAAAGAGCTCGGCATGGACGTTGACGTCTTCACATCAGACGGCAAGCCGGCCCGCCCAGGTGAAAGCGGAGAGCTTGTCTGCAAAAAGCCGTTTCCGAATATGCCAGTTCGGTTTTGGAACGACCCGGACGGGAAAACCTACATGAAATCATATTTTTCGACCTTCACAGGTGTATGGAGGCATGGGGATTTCATTCGAATGAATCCAGAGACCGGCGGATGGTTGATACTGGGCCGCAGTGACGGCGTGCTGAATCCATCCGGCATCCGATTCGGAAGCGCTGAGATATACACTATCATTGAACAGAAGTTTGCTGATCGTGTCGCAGACGCTATCTGCGTAGGTCAGCAGAGAGCTCGAGACCAGAGTGAGCGTGTGTTTCTGTTCATCAAGATATCGACAAAGTGTGACGCAGCCTCCTTGGAACGCGAGGTTCGAGCACAAATTGCGCAAGATCTCAGTCGCCGTCATGTCCCCCAGTTCATTTTTCAGGTACGCGACATTCCTTACAACGCCAATGGTAAGAAGCTTGAGATACCATTGAAGACTGTTCTATCTGAGGGATCTCCGGGTCTGGAAAGGTTGACTTGTCCCGTGGAAGAGAAGTCATCGTTGGCGCAATATCTGCGGTTTCACGAGGTCGAGGTACTACTGGCCAATGGAAACCCTCTGCAGAGCGCTAAACTTTGAGGCATTGTATTTAGCTCCTGCACTATTCACGGTTACATTGTGTCAAGTAAGTATCTAGACGAAAGGGTTAGTGGGAGCGGGCCTGAAAAGGTCTGACGTTGACTGAATTTTTGGTGTAGGGTGGCAGAGGCGGTTTAGAACAAACCCCCGCCGGTATCTGGAATAATGTAATGGCCAACTGTCTGGATTCAGTCCGCGGAACGGATTCAGACAGCCTTGGACTTACTAATGGGATTCTGGAGCAGCGGTCCTGTAGGTGAGCGCATTAACCCCGCTGTTCAACATCAGACCCTGAAGCGATCGCTTTCTCATAAAACCCAAGTGACTGAGAACTGCGATCTTTCGAATGAGTGCACACAGACGTTGTATTGATAGATTAGCCACAAATTCGGTAAAGAACGTGTCACCAATGGGCTCCATTCCGGCGTTCGGGTCGCGGCCTCCGCCATGCTCTGGCTGTGATGTTACGTTTCCCGAGCAGCATATCATGCTCGCTACGATCAACCGCCCCCGTCAGCTGAATTCAATCCCGTACGAACTTCACTGGCAGATGGACGCGTTGTTCAGGTGGTTCGACAAGGAACCAACCTTGCGCGTTGCCATTGTCACGGGCGCCGGCGACCGAGCCTTCTGCGTCGGCTCGGATTTGATAGAAATCGAACGCATCAAAAAGTCCGGCGACGATTCATGGAAGACGGAACCATACAAGTACAACCATCCAAGCACAGGGTTTGCAGGGATCAGTCGAAGAGAAGGGAAGAAACCGATCGTGGCTGCAATCAACGGATACGCATTGGGTGGAGGATGGGAGATTGCCTTGAACTGGTTTGTATACATCATAACTCGATGATGATTCGCTTTCTGGTTGATGAGTTCTACTGATCCCTTTCTCTCTCTACAGTGATGTGGTGATTGCCAGTCCGAGCGCACGGTTTGGCCTTCCCGAAGCGAAAGTCGGACTTTATGCGTACGGTGGAGGCCTCCCTCGCCTGATTCGTACTGCAGGACTTCATGTGGCAAGCGAAATCGCTTTGACGGGACGGACCATCACTGCCAAAGAGGCACTGCATCGGAACCTCGTCAACCGAATATCAGACAGTTCACAAACGCTGATAGACGAAGCATTCGACGTGGCTCGAGAAATCGCTGCCGTATCACCCGATGCGCTCATCATCACGAGGGCAGCCTTGCGAGAAGCATTGGAAGCACCCAGCATCGAGCGGGCCTTCCAAATCACGCACGAGAGGTTCTATGAGAAATTGATGGCTGGGCCAAATTCCGCCGAAGGCTTATCTGCTTTTCGAGAAAAGCGGCAGCCAAAGTGGAAGACTTCGAGACTGTAATCATCGTTGGTAAATAGGTAGAACGCCCATCCTGCCTCCCGATGGTGGGCGTTTTACGGAGTACGAATATGGCGGGCTCATCGCTGATCCACTACCATGCCCTGATTAGGAAGGTTTCAAGGAGGCCCCCCCCACATATATTTTCGAAAAACCCCACCACATTAGTACAAAAAGCCGCCAACGGGTCATTTGAAATGTTTATGTCGAAATCAAAGTAAATAAGCGATACAAACTGGGCAATTGTATTGTAGAAGACTTCCTCCAGGCCCTCGAAGTGTTACCTAAGTAATGTCGTTTTCAGTCTGTGGGAAGAACGCGATCGTGACGGGCGCAAGCTCGGGTATGTGAGCAAGGGAGATTGACAAAAAGGTGTTTCAAATAGCTGATAGCAGACCATGTGTATAGGGATCAATCTGGCGTTTGCACAGCTTCTGGCCCAGAAGAAGGCGAATGTCATTGTCGCCGACATCCAAGAAACTCCTGCCTTCCGAAAGTTCCAGCGAGCCACCACTTCCACCAAGGTGATGTTTCAAAAGACCGACGTATCAGACTGGAAAGACTTGGAGAGACTGTTTGAGTTCGCAAGGTCCGAGTTGGGAGGTGTCGACCTGCTATGTAATGGCGCAGGGGTTTTTGAACCGGTTCGAGCCCGATTTGCTTCCCAGCAATGCAATAACAAACCGAGCAAAGCTAACCTGCCAAATGAGACACAGGACTGGTCAAGCTTCTGGAAAGACACCGAAACAGAAAGCTACAAGTCACTCGAGATCAACCTACAAGGACTTCTCAAGGCATCAAGGATGGCCATTAGGGATCAAACCACCCGATCATTGTCCAAGGGGAAGGGGAGGGGGAGGCGAGCAGCAGCCAGCGACAGCGAGACCGAGACTGTAGTGGGGGTTATTCTCAACATCTCCTCTCTGGCTGCTCAGTACGCACTCTTCAACCAACCGCTGTATTGCACCTCGAAAGCCGCCGTTTCTTCATTCACCCGGGCGATGGCCCCGCTCCACCGGGAGTTTGGAATAAAGGTTGTGGCGATCGCTCCCGGAATGGTCTTGACACCTCTCTGGTCGGAGAACCCGGATAAGATGAGGGCGATTTCCGAGGCAGACGTGCTGGCCACCCCGGAAGAAGTCGCAGAGACTATGTTGACGCTCGTAGAGAGCGACAAGTATGAAGGAGGCACGGTCTTGGAGAAGCTCAAAGAGACGACTCGAGAGGTGCTGGTCGATAGTCCGTTGCCCTCTGGGCCCGGTTCTACCATGACTAAGATGGACCTTATCTACGAGGACACCATTGATCTATTGCTGAATGAGGGTGGAAAGACCGACTCCGCCATCAAATGAGAGGCGTTTCCCAGCAATTATATATCTCACGTACTATCGTCGTATAAAAAGAATGGTTTGAATGCGACTTCTACGTAACCAAGGTGATATTTTGTCACCGGTTGATGATCTTTATCGATACAAATCTGGCTTTGAGCGTCAGTAGTTCATAATTGTCCACAGAACAGAGCGTCGTGAGCTATTAGAGTTTTTTATATGTCCTACAGTTCATCCACTACCACGAACTTTGTGACATCTGGCTAAGAACATGACTGAATCATATCGGTGTGATGGGTTCTGGGTCCTAAGTAAACCCCTGCTCCTCAGCTTGCAAAAGGCTCACAAAGATGTCCGACACGTTAGAAGCCATCTTCCATACTCTAAGCCTCCGGGTCTGGTCCACGCTGAGGCGGAGAACCCGACTTGGTGCCCCAGGATCGCAGACGCTGCCCACTCCATCCAGATAAGTCTTGCCGCCGACTTTAATCCAGTCGCGGACGGCTTTGCTGCTGTGCTGGGGGCTGCAAAAGGACGGCTCGTCCAATTGAATCGAAGGGCCGCTACGCATGGAAATTTGGTGCGGACAGAAATATTTACAACATGCCCAGAGCACAATTCCGCCCAGAAATACCGATAGGGGCTCCAGTGGTGAGTTGAAAGGGTGACGGCGTTGAAGGTAGCACACTTGGGCCGCGTGCCACATAAGCTCTCTGATTGTGTCCGGTTCCGCGCCGAACGCAGCGATCATTGCTGTCTCCTCGGAGGTTCCAGCTTGGCCGACAGGTCCCGATGCGCAGACAGTCTCAATAAAGTTCGTAGGTCCATCGATACTGGAAGCCCTTTTACGTGCGACACGGATGACCAGATCGATGATTTTACCCGCCGCAAACATATGGGTATAGTGTCCAGCTACACCGATGCGGAGAGCATGGCGAAGAGCATATCGACGTGGGTGATCAGCCCAGCTGCACTCATAGACAGAGACGATAGCATATGAAAATTTGGCACGAGCTTCACGGTTGGCGTTTCTACCGTCGTTGTTTTTCCAAATGCCGTTGTATATGCTCGAGTCCAGCTGTTCCTGACAAGCCTGCAGCTCCTGGCCAAAGCAGCGAATCAGCAAACGTTTACCGACGTTATCAAGCTGGCCAATGGTCGAGAGGGATGAATTGTTCAAGAAAGTGACTATAGTTTGCATGGTTGGCGGTCCGCATGGTGCAGCCTGGAATGGACATGCTGCCCAAGCCATTGCTGTTGGTGCTTCCCAATGGAGTTGCTCACAGGGAAACTCTGGCGGCAGCTCCTCGAGCTTTGTGCATGGGCTTTGTTTCGAAAACGCAGAGTACAGGCAGTCGAATTCCTATCGGTAAGGCATTTGGTAAGCAGGGTTTCCAGCCTGCCTTTCATGGGCTGAAGAATGTTCAAAGCCACGAATAAATCAAGGTGTCAACTCCGTCGATCTTGAGCAAACTTACAAACAAAAACCAAACTAGTCTTTTGACTTGTTCTTGGCCAACCCATTCAAGCCAGCTCTGGTGTGCAGTCCGTGAAGGCGATTCTGAGCGGGCAGGTGAAGACTGGCGCACTGTGGACTTCATGTGTCTTCCAATGCTGATGAGGCGTGAACGAGAGGCATCTGTCATCTCGAAAAGGCGCCGCGAGCCCGATCCCATGGCGTGCAAATACTGCAGTAGAAGCGCCATACCGAAATGCGGAGACCGGAGAATTCGAGGATCGTGCTCCCCCTGGAGCATAATTTGTTAATAGCTGTGGCAGGAGGTATGAAAGAAGCAACTGACCATCCACCCACAGGTTCGCCTGCAAAGCTCGCCAAGTGTATCTGCGAATTCAATGGACTGCTCAAGCCCCGAATAGCACGCACCAATCTGGATCACTGATTAGACGGTCTCGATAACTAACAGATAATGAACAACATTCAAAAGACTTACGCATGCCATGGTCAACACTAATATTGCTGGTGCATCCGAAATTTTAAAGGTCGGTTGATGGATTATTGGCCACAGCTATCAGAAGAATATTAGCCATGAAGGGGCCTTGGGGTCAATTCAGACTGACCTCATGAAAATGGAGAAAGTATAAGTTGACAAAGTGGTCGAGGACGTTGGGGCTGGGAAGAGAGTGTGCTAAATCGATGTCCTCCTTCCAAGGCACTCGCAAGAGTGGCAGACTTAGAAGTTGAACGATCCCAACCCGCTTTTCTTCGTCTAATTTGCCTAGTGTATTGAAAAGAGTGTGGCTCTGAGGTGTTGAATTCGTACCACTGTGATAGTTTTTGGCCTTCCGGACATCTTCTGGATTCAGAACAGGGAGGACTATTCTTTCTTCTTCTGCGCCCGCACGGTATTCATACGGCCATGTATGGGTGGTCGCTTCCGAACAATCAGCACGCAATGCTCCCTCAGTGGGAGAGTCTCTGTTGGAATTTCGTGGCTCAGAGGTAGCCGATAACTCTATATCTTCCATTGTCGGCAACGAGACTTCTGCATTCCTCGACTCGAGAGGAAGAGTTGCTGCGGTTATGAGTGGATCGACGTAACTGTCAGCAGCTTCGGAGGTGTCATGTAAGCCCTGCTGGTGCGTAGAAGTTGCAAGGGTGTCTTCTAAACCTTGCATTGGAAAATCAGGCATGTTTAGCTCCGGCAGCATCCCATGTACGGCTGCCGGATCTTCAGATAGTGTCCAGCCAAGAAGCGAAATATCATTGTCAATGTCTATTTTGCGTAAGCTAGCATCCAGAAGCCGGGAAAGAGAATCAATTTGAAATTCGTACCCTCGAAGCGAAGTGAGGCGTTGCCGGAGAAAGGCTGAGTGCCACCAAGCGTGTTCAGAAAGTTGAGGTCGGATTGAAAGGGATTCTGATCATTCATGCGAGTGCTGTTAGCCCCAGAGACTGCCACTACGCCATTTGGATCGCATGCGTCGGTTATGGTGTTCTTCGAGAGCATATCCCATTGCGCATCAAGGGTTGGACTGGTAGACCGCGCAGCTATCCGGGGGTTAAATGACCCATCGACTTGAGGGTCCTCAGCTGCAGTGCCAGCTTCCCGAGATTGGCTCCGCGATCGAGTCGCACCGTACTCAGGACTTTCAAAGTCAGTTAAATGTGAGCAGGGGAGCGGCAGAGCAAGTACCTTTGAGCTATTGGTGGTTTTGGGGCTTTCCTTGGTCGTCCCTTGGGACGCGATTCGCACTTGGTTCCGTGTATAGTGCGATAATGCCGCACGAGCACGTCCCTTGAGGTGTCAGTCCACACCAAAACAGTCGCCACGGCGTCAGCCAACCTTCTGGAAAACTTCCTGCCGCAGGCTCTACAGGTCGATTCAAGAGCACCACGTTTGGAATGCGCTGTCAGCCGATGTCGCTCAAGGTGATCTTGTCGAGACAGGATCCTCCCGCACTCCTCGCAGGGATAGGACTTGCTCTTCGAACTTGTTGGAGCGGCGGGCATAGCGACCAGAAGCCTAGTCTCGCGTCTTCTTTCGTCTCTTGTGGAGATTTGAGTACTCTGGGTAGGTTGAATATGCCGCGGAGGACATTGTAAGGAGGCGGCGGGGGTTTTTGAACCCTGTAGAGGGGCAGCCGACTCCAAGCGGGGGATCCCCACGGGGTCTCGAGAATTCGTACTGTACGGAACGACGACCGGGGTTCGAACGTTAGCCTCCATGATAGTTTCGAAATAGGACGGAAACTGGGGTGACAAGAGACAGAAAGGTCAGGCTTCCAGCTTGTATGCAGGACAAATGCCTACATGTATATGAGTCACTCCCGTACTCCCTATCTTTACCATAACATCGCTCAAAATGTGGAATGTGAAGCATGAAACACCACCTGGCTGCAACTCCAGGGGGTACAAACCACATCACAAGGACAAAGACCATGAAGTCAAAGCATTTTCACATACAGTTCACTACTGAGTACTCCGCACAGAGACTGGAAGGACGTTGAGACCCATAGTCACATCGAATCACGGGCATCTTGAAGTAATAATGGCCAGATCTAGACTATAGCGGCCCCAGCTTCGTCACTCCATGTCTTACAATCATGCAGCTGACTTCGCATTTCTCCAAACGTGACTCAATCATTTGTCATTGTCTAGCCAGATTCCAACGTCGTCCAAGCCCCTAAGAAACATCCCTTATGGTCACGCCTTGGTAGCAGATCGCTTTCTCTTTTCTTCCAAGACTGTTTTCAGCATACTTGCGGCTTCTTTCCTACGCCGTGCCTGGGCCTTCCAACGCTCCTTGTCCTCCGTGGATATTAGTGACAGACCACCACTCTGGCTTGTTCGAAAGTTTCTCGTAGATCGAGCACTACTGCTGAAAGCAGACCCAGGAGTATGATAGATACTGCCAGTACTACCCGGAGTTGATGCTCCATTCACCGATCGCCGAACATGCACTGGAGTGGCGGGGTTCTTGACTGCCTCTCCGGTACTGATCGTTGATGATGCCAGTCCTAGATCCATTTTCTTTAACTGAGATTCGAGGACATCAATATCTGCACTCCTTTGTTCAGCCATTGACATCATTTTGCCAACTGTCTTGGCCACAGCCTCCACAGTAGGCTTCTTCTGTGAAGGCACCCTCCCCAGCATACTGTTTCGCCTGCTGACTGTTTCAGTTGGCGTCGACTGCGCGATCTTCGCTCTTAACACAGATATGCAGTCTTCGACCTGTACTAGTTTGGTTTGCACAGAGGTGAAGGCTTTGCGAAGGTCATGCTGGAGGGAGGCTTGTTCAGCAGAAAGAGGCGCCGTGATACCGTTTTCGGATGACGAAAGAGCATGAATAGTCTTCCGAATCGAGGTGAGTTTCGTCCGTAACTCGAACAGATCTCGCCCAATAAGGGTCTGACACTGCTGAACTTTGCCATCGAAATCGTCAACTTGGCTCTCGGCAAGAAGTTCTGATAGAACCGTCTGTCCTTCGTGAAGTCGTGAAATGTCAGTCAAGAACCACTCATCGTTGAGAGCATCCATGGGTGTTTCAGATTGCAGCACCGACGGCCAAGATTTGTTGGTTGCTTCTGGTTGTTGGTATTTCAGAAAGGCTGACAGTGACCGATAATTTATACCCAGGGTGAAAACCATCGAATTGATATCAGAGTAGAGTCGTTCGATCTGTGCAGGAATGCCAGTCTTGGAGGTCTCTTCGGACGATTTAGGCTGATAAGTGATGAAGTCGTCGAGGTTCAAGCTAGGAGATATAGGTCTGTCAAGCTCCTCTCGTAATCTTTCATCTTCGTCATCCTCGAGTTGCTGGAGTTGTTCTGCCTCTGCCTGCACTTTCTGACGAGCGATGGCTTCACGACGTGCTTGCTCTTTGGCTGCTTCTTCCTCTCTTGTCTTGGCTGCCTGGGCAGCAAGAGTAGATTTTTGATATTCGGCCTTACGTTGATCAACGATTGACCGTCCATGCGCAGGTGCACTGACAGATCGTGCAGACTCTGCTCTGAGCTTCTCGGTTGGTGGAAGATGTCTCACTGGGCTGGGAGATCGAGGGCTCTCATGAGGCTTTGGAGGAGCGAAAATGGGTCCAGTGCCGACCTCACCGAAAAGTGGTCGACTTGATTTCTGCGGTAAGACTTTAGAGGTTACCTTAGTAAATAGGCCTCCTGTCGGGCTTGTCTCTAGACTTCCACCGCCGCTCTTAAACGAACTTTCTGGAGAGGTTTGCAACTGTTCATGTTGCTCTTCTGTCATCTCATCCTCGGGACCAACGTCTCCGGTTAGTTCTTCGCCACTACCTTCAAAGTCTGAGCTGAAGTCGTCCTCTTCGTCCTCGTCCTCATCACTCGGTAGTTCGGGCCGATCTTCGTCATTTTGACCAGCTTTTGGCACAGGCAGAAAATCAGGGGGCAATGGTGCCTCATCAGGAGAGCCTTTCGAGAGATTCGAGGAGCCTGAGGTATCTCCAGAAGCATAGCGAGGTTTGCTTACAGGATCTGGAGGAAGTGGTGCCTGAGGAATATTCTCCATATCGACTGATTCCTCGTCGCTGGGAGGTTCTTCTTTGATCCGGGGTGTTTCTTCAACCTGCCCGAACGTATTCATCGGTTGACTCTTTTGGACACCAGCAGATGGATCATTTGTCGTGGTCGTCCCAAACAGTGTCTTGTGAACGGCTGGTGTCTCCTTCGGCGTAGTAGAGTTGAGTCCAAACGACCAGCCTGGCGTTGATGTAGGAGCTTGCGGAGTCGTCGAGTCTTTAGCTGGTTGACCGAACAAGTTGGAAAGTGGTGGAGCAGGTGTTGCTTTCGACTGACTTAGGGTAGAAGGAGGTGTTACGAGTGTCTGTGGAGGTTCAATTCTTGGCTGTGCAGCAAGATTGCGATTCGTCTCTTTCTCTGAATCAGCCTCACTAACGGCACTTTGTTCATCCATCTCTGCCTCCTTGTCATGCGTTGGTGAAAGAGCACTCTTGGATCCACCCAGCATGTCATCCAAGGCCGCGCCGAATCCGAATCCGCTGGAATCTTTAGGCTTAGGTAGATCATCCGTGGCTGTACCATCTCCTTGGAATGAGGATTGTAATTTGAAAGCACCTGCATTGCCGAATAAGCCCGCCCCTTCTGTAGGTTTTGTTGATCCAAAAGGTGATGCAGTCGACGTATTCGAGCCGAATGCAGTCTTGGCTGACGAATCGAATGTCTTATTGCCACCTGTGGCCGCAAATGGGCTGGGAGTTGCACCTCCAAACGAACCCATGCCCGTTGTCGAGGAAAATGGACTTTGGGTATTCTGATTCGTGTTGCCTCCAGCAAATGAAGCGAAACCACTACCTTTAGAGAAGGAAGCGAAGCCAGAGCTATTTGACGATCCACCAGCATTCGCGAAAGGACTTGAAGTTGAAGGAGCTCCAATAGCTGAAGGCTGGCCAAAAGCGGACCCTGAACCCATGTTGGAAGATTGTCCAAATGCTGGTTGTCGAGCTCCTATTGCGCTGGCTGAGCCGAAAGCCGGGGATGCACCTGAGCCAAGAGGAGTAGCAGCACCAAAGGCAGTGTTTCCAGAAGGGCCTGATGTTGCAGAGCCTGTGAACCCAGTGGTCGCCCATGATGGCTTGTTGGAGGCAATGGGTGAAGAGGTGCCGAATGATTTGGGTGAAGTAGCCCCGAATCCACTTTGAAGAGAGGGTACTCCGAAGCTGCTAGTCTCAGTCTTCGCAAACGGGCTGGGATTGCTGGCCTGGCCGAAATTACCTGTGGCTGGCGAAGCCGTTGACGAGGCATCGGAGGCTGCTTTACCAGACATACCTCTCGCAGCTTGCACATTGGCAAAGCCTGAGAACATGGTCTGCTGGCGGACTGAATCGTTGTAAATAATCCACCATGACACGAGTAACCCTTCGTTGTTCAAAATTACGAGGCTAGGAACAGGTCCGGCGGTTTCAAGTATTTCTGCATCAGATGGAATTGGGTTTGGTACTTTCTCAGTGCTGGAAAGGTCCACAGCCATGCCAATCGGGGAGGTGTCTTGCATGTCAGTTGACAATGGAAGTTGCGCCCGTCGCGTATCATCCTCAATAGTTGTATAGGTGAAAACAGAGGTAACGGGATCCTCTTGGGAGAGAGCCTTTTCGGACTTGGACAGTAGACCAACGTCGCTAGCCGTGCTACTTGCCACTATCAAGAGATCCTGAAGGTGAGGAGGGAAGTTCCGTAACCTCGCAATGAAGTGTGATGTTGGCAGGCGTTCTAAACCAAATGGAGGGAGGACCTCTGGCAGCTTCTGGAAGGTGTAATTTGAGGTTTTAGGCTGCCTGTTGACAATGTAATACTCCGACGGCTGGATGCCATCACTTGTGTCATTTGGAGTGTATGTAATGAAAAAAGTGTCGTTTTCAAGCCAAGATATGCCGGAAACATGTACATTTGCTGGGATAGCCGTAGACTTTGGGATTTGAGCCACAATAGTCCCGTCTGGTTTCATCTGCACAGCTGTACCATCCGCCATTCCAGTGACAAGCTGCTTGCCTCGATTACTCCATGATAGACAGCTGCAGCCACTTTTCAGAACTGGACCATTGCTCCCCGATACAAGAGAACCAGCCTTGAGGTCCAAGAGCACAAGATCACCGCTGGTCAGAATGAGTGCGAACAACTCGGCATGCTCTGTGACAGGATTCGGGACCAACGCACGCAGATTCTGGCTGTCCGTTGAGACTTGCACTGCAGGATTGAGTTCGCCCTTGGTTATGCTGTCGACTTGGAACGCTGCCACCGAGCCCTCTCTCTCGCCAGAGACCACCAATACACTGTCATCAGACGAGAATGCGACATGAGAGAGGCGAGATCGAGGGATCGTAAAATCCGGTTTGATGGATCGAATCGTCCCTCCTTTTTCATCAGGAGGTGATTGGAACGCATCTCGGACTTTATCAGTGTTGTGGAGGTATAGAGCATCAGGCCCAGCAGCGGCTAGAAGCTTCTTGCTAGAAGCAATGCTGAGCAAAGAGGAGGACGGCGCAGGGAGGGCGTCTGATGGCCATGGTGTCGTAAGGAGGCGTACTTTGGCTTCTCCGTTCAGCGCTGCAAGTCCCAATTCATTCGTTTGGATCTCTTGTAGCTCAGGTCCATCCTGTACTGTGTTGCCTCCACCATTGCTTGTGCCAAAGGCCGGTGGTGCGGACGCTGCACTTGCAAAGCTGAAAGCCATTCTCAACTTGGGGAGCTCTGCAGAGAGCGATCGTTTTGCGCAAGGAGCTGAACTTGGGGACGAGACATGCGGAGTTGGTGATGATCGAGAGGGTGTTGAAAAGGTAAAGGAGTGTCGCGGGAGTACCGTAGGCCTCCAGAACAAAGGAGAGCGCTTGTGGTCAGCAATCTTGAAGCCTGCTCATATAGACTAAGGATTGTGAAAGAGAATATTGTAGACCGGGCAGATCAATGCATTATTGACAACATTTCATGAATTCTACCTGCGCTCTAAACTTCCACTACGGGAGTCGCGCCTAAACTTTTGCACCCAGGCGCGTCTGGGTGCCAAGAATGACCCGGAGTATTTTATACGGCGGAGCAATCAGCTATATTATGTCCCTATCCAGTTGGCTCTAGCCGAAATGGGCATATCCTCCTATTTTCGACTAAACGATCAGTATGTCTCACCATCCGGACGAAGATACCGAGATTTCTACATATTGATGCTGATCTAGATATCGTTATGGAAAGTCGGAGGCTTCTGCCAGGAACTGTTCCTCCAACGGATCCCATAGAATCGAAGCATGATCATTGGAACCAGAAAGATGACATTCAGCAGAGCGAACGTAAGCCACGCATATTGATATCCAATCTTGTCACCGAATGGAATCCTAGTAAGTACAGCGATTAGCTTATTGCAATGCGGTTGAAGAAGAGAAGATGTGCCCGTACGCATAAAAGGAAATCGTCATCGAAAAGACGTTTCGGAAGACATTGAGAATGCTTGATATCTCGGAGCTTTGAGGTTTGTAGCACTATGACAATGTCAGTAAGAATGACGCATGGCATAGAAACGCTGATCCATACATCAGTACAGTACGAGTAGGTGACGGTCGTAGCAATCTGCAGGCCAAAGTTCGCGATGCCCATGCCAAATGCGGCTCCTACCCATGACACTGTCTTGTAGTGTGACAGACAGACACCATCGATGATAATTCCGATAGGACATAAAATGGCTAGGACCACAGCGTTAATGCGTGGCTCTGGTTCTCGTCTGCCTCCATGCGACTTGGCATATCGATATACCATCCAGTCCGTAAGCCATCCTGCACTCATTTCACCGAGGAGGCATCCGATGAGTAATGGTATACTGAGCAGCATCCCAGTCTGTGCGACATTAAAATGATAAAGTTTTCGGAAAAGGCTAGAACCTGTTGCGGCAAACATAACCAACCGAAGCCAAACGCTGTCATGTAATAAAGGCCTGGGATGACGATAGAAAGGTATTTTAACATGTAAAAAGGTCTCAGGAAGTCGATAGCTCGGAGTTTGCGCTCTTGCGATCCGGATTGTCTGAACAGAAGTAAATCTCGGAAAGCGCGCTCTCGACGGCCAGTAATAGTCCGGCGGAAGAATAGTGTTTCTGGTAGGCAAAAAAGTGTAAACACCATCGTGCCCAGCTGGATGTACCCCTTCCAACTATTAGATCAAGAGGACACACGTTTGGACGTACTCACGGGGATCAGGAAAGCCCATCTCCAGCCGAGATTCTGAGCAATGAAACCACCAAATAACGAAGCCGCATGTGGCCCATTGGTGAGGAAGAATGTGAAAATACCCATGTAAAATCCGCGCTCATGAAGAAAGTACATGTCGCAGATCGTGGCTGCACCTATGGCGGTAGGAGAACCAGCGCCGATCCCATTGAACACGCGTGTCGCAATTATACCCGACCATGTGTTGCAGTACCCGGCAGCAATGTTTGTCACAGCCGCAAGGAGGTTTCCGCAAATGTAGATGGGCCGTCGACCGTACACGTTGGACAGCGGCACAGTGAGTAACGGTCCTATACCTGCAAAGACAATATATACTGTGAGCTCGTAGGAAGCTTCGACCACAGTGATGTTGAACTGCTTGCTCAAAGGGACGAACGCAGGATTGACGATAGCTCCCGCCATGGGTCCTAGGAAAGAGAGCCAGCTGACTTGCAGCAGAACGAACAATTTGAGCATTGGTGACCAATTCTACAGATCGTCAGTATCCTGGCTAGATGGAAACTATTTGAGCATGCTGGATGGTCGGTGGTCAACTCACCAGAGGGTCGTCCTTGCGTTGTGTCGGCTGAGGAACAAGAGGGAGGCCATGCTTGTCCAATCGAGTGGCGACTGTTGGCGCATCTTCTACCTCCACTTGTTGAGCCTCTTCGACCTTCTCACCAGTGTAAGGTGCTGTCTCCTGGTCTTTCTCCATTTGAACTATCTCAGCCTTTCCCTGATACGAGGCCATTCTCTGTGTGGTCCCAGCTATACACAAGAAGAGGAAGAAGATGGCAATGAGCTGGAAGTCGCATCTTTGGTGAGCCGCATTGATTTCTGCTTGGCAACCGTGGAGATTGGCGGTGCTTGAGGTGCTCCAAAGGCAGGAGATGACCTTGGGACATCTTCACAGCTGCCTATACAAGTAAGAGCAGTGTAGATCCCATGTATCGGTAGTTGTGTTAAGCCTCATCCATGACTCTTGCGATATTTGGGGTACTCTGTGGGGGACGGGGTATCCCCATCAATTATCATCTATTATTTTTCCATGTTGTAGGCCCAAATTTCGGCAATTGTGATTTTCACAGAAATTGCCTGAAAACAGGCTGTTTGGCGAGGCAGGCTAGTTCAAAAGAGAGAGGAAGGTACTTCGATAGAGGAGAAAATCACCTTGTCGAGCTCGTCGTGAGTATTCAGGACTTACCATAAACAACGCCGCCACAAACGAGTTGCAAGCTCGTATCTGAGGGTTATTGCAAGTACCTTTCTACAAGCCTTACGCCCGCACGCTTGGCATATCTTGTTTCGTACAAGGTGTAGGTGTGCCGAAGTAGGCAACACGACGATGCCCGCATCTGTCTATCGTCCTCCTTTTAAGGTTGCTGTGATAGGAGGAGGGATCGGAGGGCTCTGCACCGCCCTATCCCTCAATTACCAATGCGGGAACGCAATTGAGATCGACATCTATGAGCAGGCGCCACAGTACAAAGAGATTGGTGCCGGAGTTGGTATTGGAACCAACGCGGCGAAATTGCTTCACAACATAGGTCTTCGCGAAAAAATCGCGAGCATAGCTGGGAAGCGCAGCGGTATTTGGATCACTTTTCGAAAATTTGATGATGGAAGTGATGTTGTCACTGTGCCCTCTGCTGATACAGATCAAATCAAGTCGTTGCCTGTTCACCGGGCAGAATTCCTTGACTTGTTGGTGGATATTGTCAAAGAGAGGAATGCAGCCACTCTCCATACTGAAAAGCGGTGTCGAACGATTACAGTATGCCAGTCAACAAACATGCCGCCTTTGACCGTATAAGCTGACAAATTCGCAGGAGGAAGGCGATCAGGTCCATATCGAATTTGAGAATGGTACGACAGCCAAGGCGAATTTGGTCATTGGCTGCGACGGTATACACTCAGCGGTGCGAGCTCAATTCGCGAGAGACAATCCAGAGTACAGTGGAAGGATCGCGTACCGTGGATTGGTGCCGATCTCTGAGATCGAGGACTGGTGGGGTTTCGAGACATATTCGGTAACATGGCTCGGGAAAAACAGGCACTTCCTATGCTTTCCTATCTCACAGAACAAGACTTTAAATATTGTTGCATTTGTTGCAGAGAAAGAAGAGAATTTGGGTGACTTGAAGGAAAGTTGGACGGCGCTTGGTGAGAAGGCGGAGGTTTTCGAAGCCTTCAAAGGGTTTGAGGAGAAAGTGCAGAAATTGATTCAACTGATGCCGGAGCAACCGTCGAAATGGCTGATAAACGACCGAAAGCCACTGGATCAGTGGGTGTATCTTGGTGGCAAGGTTGTCCTGTTGGGCGATGCGGCTCACGCTATGACACCACATCAAGGTAAGTGTGGCTTCTCCATCTGAGTCGGCCGTGCTGACATGTGCTGTAGGTGCAGGTGCTGGTCAAGCAATCGAAGATGGCTATATCCTCGGCCGTGCACTTCAAGATTACCTTAGAGCCTCATCGTCCACCAACGAGAGTTCTCTCGAGGCTTGGATGTCGCTATATCAAGACGTACGGCTTCCGCGGGCACAGAAGGTCCAGCGCACATCGCGAGATGCGGTTGAAGTTTATCAGGCTCAAGCAGACATTATGAAGGACCTGCCGTTTGACCAATGTGTGCCAGAGATCCATAAGCGGGTCATCAACAGAATGAAATGGGTGTGGACAGACGACATCGATGCGGAGTATGAACAAGCCATGCGGAATCGAAACGATGTGAAGTAGTACGGATACGAACTTCTTCGAATTGATTTGACTTGACTGGATCCCGTCTGAAGAACAACTTACTACTCAGCGGAATGACATTCGTGAAATGTTATCTCTGGTAAGGGTACAGATGGCACAATCTGGGTACAGCTTTCATTGTGACACCGGTGATTGAATCTTCGCTCAGCATATGGTATTCATATGAAGAATATGTATCGAGTATAAAGAGTCTATTGTACCTGTCTGTAGGTACAGAGTACAGAGTACCTATGATAGCACTAAGAAATTGGTGCCCAATGTGACGGGCGTATCACGTGACTGTAATTTCGCTTGGCGCAAATTCGCCGGGTTTTGACAAATCTCACGGGCAGCGACTTTCCCCAGCTTTTATTACTAGGAAGCCATTAGAAACTTCGCCAGGCGTGTAAAGGAGGACATGATCATCAATTGCAACTTCCCACGTCCCTAATCGTTGGCATTATTTTCTCTCCTCTTTTGCGCCAACTCTCTCTCTCTCCTGCGCATCTCTTCACTTCTTCAACCCTTCCTCACCAGCCTTTATCCCTTTCATCACCCTCGTTGCATCCTTGCTCGAGTTCATGCTGGCTGCCTTTCACGCGACTGCTCCTCCCCTTTCTTCACCGTCCGCTTGTCTTGTTCCTTTGGTTTGAATCACAATCAAACAAAGGCCACTCGAGTTAAGTACAGAAGCATCCTTTCAACTGCTGGGAAGGAGAACGGATATCGGGATCACCCTGAAGGCGTTGTTTTGATCAACTTCACCTCTTCCTACCACCGCATTCACTCTCCTACGCGAGAAAAAAAAAACCACTCACACCTCGCCCACCATTCTACCTACCTGCCTCCTTTCCTGCACCTGCGGCATCTTGAGAGCATAGCGTCTTCCTCATCCTCAGTCAATCCTAGCACGAAGCTCCTGAACACAACCCTTCTCAAGTCTCTGTCGCTCAACTTTGGCATCCTACACCCTCTGCACCTGCAAGCAAGTTTTCTTTCGACATCCCCGGTGTACATAAATCAGTCTATCAAGAGAAAACAAAATTAATAAGGATTCTGAACACAATATTCCGTCCACTTGGGTGATATTTGAAAGTCACACGACATGTCTGCATCACCCACATCCACAACCGCAATGTCCTCAGCAAAGCGACCCCTGGAAGACCCCTCTTCTCCATCCGCCCCAACTGACCTCCCAGAAGCCAAGCGTCCAGCACTTGACAAAGTTGTTAAGGAAGAGGCTGCCCTGGAAGGAGTCGAGCCCAAAGATGGTTCCGTCGCTGAAGATACAAAGTCAAAGGAAATTCAAGGACTCCCAGCACCCGTGACCAACGGCGATGCCGACAATCATACAGAAACAGCAGACTCTTCTGCGACCAATGGATCTGCAACACTGCCCCCTGCAGATGCTTTGCCACTCCCGCCTTCCACATCGCAGATTGATCTTGCCGGCTCTCAGGCGTCAACAACAGCAACCCAAGACGAGTCTCAGTGGATTCATATTCGTGCGGTTATTTCCAGTGCCGAAGCCGCCACTTGTATTGGTAAAGGTGGTGAAAATGTAACACAGATCCGGAAGCTTTCGGGTGCAAAATGCACAGTAAGCGACTATTCTCGTGGTGCTGTCGAACGCATCTTGACCGTCAGCGGAGCTCAAGATGCTGTTGCCAAAGTATGTTCCCAGCTTGGCCCCATACTTTTGCTTACTGAAATCTAACTTTGTGCAGGCCTTTGGACTAATCATTCGTACTCTTAACAACGAACCTCTTGAGGCACCCTCTACCGCACAGTCGAAGACGTACCCTCTACGCCTATTGATCCCCCACATCCTCATTGGATCCATCATTGGAAAATCTGGGGTCCGCATTCGTGAAATCCAAGAAGCATCTGGTGCTCGTCTTAACGCCTCTGATTCATGCTTACCACTCTCCACTGAACGTTCTTTGGTGGTGTTGGGTGTGGCAGATGCTGTGCACATCGCGACATATTATGTCGCTGTGACTCTTGTTGAGCAGCTGACTGAACGTTTCGGTGGCCCTGCCGCCTCTGCCTATGCTACCAGAAGTGGTGGCCCTGCTGGTGTCGTGCCAGGAGGAATGCAAGTTGTGCCATACGTCCCACAACCCGCTGGTGGCCAGTATGGTCATCCAGACATGTATAAGCGACACAACACTCACCCCCCTCAGCGTGTGCCACCACAACCTTATGGTGCTCCTCAGATGCACATCCCTCCCCAGCAACCATATCCTGCTCAAGGAACACCATATGCTGCCACCCCTCGAACACCCAGTTATGGAGGCATGCCTCAACAGCCCGCGCCATATGGACAAATGCCGCCTCAGCCAGGTCCACATGGACAACCCGCCCAGCCAGCTCATGCCATGCCCGGACAGCCCATTACACAGCAAATTTTCATTCCCAACGACATGGTTGGAGCCATCATTGGCAAAGGTGGCGCCAAGATCAACGAGATCCGACACCTTAGTGGTAGTGTGATCAAGATCAACGAACCGCAGGACAACAGCAATGAGCGCTTGGTCACTATTACTGGTACACAAGAGTGCAACCAAATGGCCTTGTACATGCTTTACTCCAGGCTAGGTGAGTCTGCTGCCCACTACTCGTAAATGCCCTACTAACAGCCACCATAGAAAGCGAGAAGCATCGTATTTGAACGGCCGCCTGATATTTTCCTACATTCACAACTCATATTCCATGTGTCAAAGTCTTGCGAAATTGGGATGGATGGCCGAACAAGATTGATTGAACGTTTGCTCTTCGGCCTCTCGCAGGCATTTGAGACAATTGTCCGTAGAAAACTAGCAGCGAGTTGTTGCTAGTCAATGCTGTAACTAGACTCGAGCGAGTCAATTAATATCCTGTATGATCGTGGACAGGGATACGATCCTGAAGTGCGTCTGCGTATTTTCCTCAAGTTCTTTGGTACTACCCCAGGTACCTAAGGTACTTCGGACCCAACGACCATTCTCTACAATCTTGTCGGTTGTCTTCATGGGCGGATGGATTGCGGGGAAAATAATAGCACCACATTCTGTACACATTTGCAGAGGTATTGAATCCCACAAAAATGGAGACTTGGGCAAAGCGTTCAAATTTGATCCAGAGTTTTCCCAATTCCTATCTTCCCCCTCGTCTAGACCTCGTATCGAGCTTTTGGATCTTTTCTCTCAAAAGTTTCCCTTTCATTTCTCATTTTTTTCCGGAGTAGAGATCACATCGACAATGGCATCTTCGTCCCAACTTCACCATGCCCCACCCTTCAGGGCCGAACACATGGGCTCACTCCTCCGACCCCAAAAGCTGCTAGATGTCCGCGCCCAAATCCGCGACGAGGGCATCTCGGAGGAGGCAGCTGGCCTGCCCGCCATCGAGAAGGAGTCAATCGGCAAGATCGTCAAGACTCAGCTCGACCTCGGCTTCAAGGCCGTGAACAGCGGCGAGTACAACCGTACCCGATTCTGGGGTCTGTTTTGGGACGAGCTCGAGGGCACGACCAGACTGCAGGACGCCGACGCCAGCATGTTCCGGCTGTACCACCCGGACGTGGTGAGTCTGATCGAAAAGGACCGCAAAGTCATGCCCGGGGACAGCGTGATCGCCGGTTCAAAGATTCGGTACCCTGCCAACGGCACCAAGAGCAATCTTGCCGAGTTGAAGGAGGTTCAGGCTTTCGTCCCCAAGGAAGAATGGGGAAACATCAAGTTGACCGTCATTACACCTGCTGTGAGTTTTTGCTTCTTTTTTTGGGCCTTCCTCGGTTCCTCACTTGATACGATCTCGCAAAACTCACAAAGGACCATGTACATAGTGGTTCCACATGAGATACAAGCAAGGCAAGGCGTACACCCCCGAAGCCTATTCGAATGATGCCGAATACTTTGCCGACGTCGCAAAGGCTTACAAGGCCGAGTTACAAGTCTTGTACGATGCCGGGTTGAGAAACGTTCAATTCGATGACCCTGGTTTGGCATGTAAGAGGAACTTTTCTTTCCGTCCTTTTTCCCCCCGGGGCTCATGATCTGACGAATTCGAACCAAAAAGATTTCTGTTCCAACGCCTTCCGCAAGGGTTGGGAGGAGGACAAGGACAACGTCGGGACGGTCGACGAGCTTCTGGACGCCTACATCAAGCTGTACAACGACTCCATCGCCGGCCTGCCCGCCGACCTCCACACGGGCGTCCACCTGTGCCGGGGCAACTTCATCGGGGGCCGACACTTCGCCGAGGGTGCCTACGACATCATCGCCAAGAGGCTGTTCGAGAACCTCAACGTCAACACCTTCTACCTGGAATACGACACCGAGCGGGCCGGAGGGTTCGAACCTCTCAAGTTCCTCCCCAGGAACAAGAACGTCATCGTGGGTTGCATCAGCACGAAACTGCGCCAGCTCGAGGACAAGGAGGCCACCAAGGCCAAGATCTACAAGGCCGCCGACTTCGTCGCGCAGGGGTCCGGGCAGACCCGCGAGGAGGCCCTCAAGAGGATCGGCGTCAGCCCCCAGTGCGGCTTCAGCACCCACGAGAGCGGGTACCCCCTGTCCGACGACGACCAGAGTGCCAAACTGGCCCTGGTGAGGAAGGTGGCCGATGAGATTTGGGGTGAGCCGTAGATGACCGCACAAAGTGGTCGAGGGTGACACGAAACATGAGATGTGGCCGAGGAGAGGAAGCTGAAGGCCGGGAGATATATATACATGTGCGTACCCTAGGTTTGTATATGTACAGAAAGGCCATGATGGCAACGAGGTGAGATGACTTTTGGTAACGAACGGACGAGAAAAAAAAACAGAAAAGAATTCTCAAAAGGGGCCCAAGTATATCCCGCTAGAGGAGGGTATACTTTTTGTCTGTCACCAGTGGCTTTTTCAACAAAAAGCTGGAGTTGGACAAATTTTTTCAAGAGACGAACAAAGGACAGCATGTGGTGGTGGCGTGGTACCGGGGAAGTACCTAGAATACGCAGTTACGGTTTCGAGTGGATTCAACATGATACCCCCCAAATATGAAGCGATGAGTATAGTTCGTCCATTTGAGGTACCAATTGTACCTTTGTAGGATGGATGTAGCTGATATGAAATATACAAATGAGAAATGGTAGCTCGGGCTAAAGAGCAATGAGCGCGACCATCATCTTCCCTGTTTTCCCTTTCTCCTTTGGAAAGTCATGTTATGTCGAGTCGTAGCAAACTGATTCCATTTTGACGCCGGTTATATGGCGTGTTGCATGTGCTTCTCCGATCCAATTTCTCATCGTTTTGATAGCTCCAATGCGTTCTAATCCTCTTCACTTGGCTGTGACTGTGGTTTCCGTCTGAAAAGCGTTGCGACTGGCGTGATGCGCAGCTCGTTCGCTCTAGTCAAGAAGTCAGCCTCCCCGTGCTGGCTATCTTATGGTACTCCTCCTCGTTGTATTTATGCTCTTTGATGTCTCGAATCACTTTGTCGAGCAGTCTCTCACGTTCGGCTTGCCTTGGGATGCTCTTGCAGGCAGGCCACCAGACCAGGGAGAACGATGAAATCCACTTGAGTTTGTGAGGCAGAAGTGGCCATGCCTCGGCACCACCTCCGTCAAGCTCCTCAACTATTTTATCGAATCTTTGGTGCAATATCGCTGGGGTATCAGCAGAAGGGCCTTTGCCGAGTCTCAGCGAGTAAAGATGGGTGAGCTTTTCAAAAGCAGAAGCTTGTCGCATTTCGAGACCAGCGTCGTCCCTGAAGTACCTCTTCAAGAGAATCCAATAATCATGCACAATCCCACAAGGCGGCTTGGCTCGGCGATTTCGGCGCCTCGACGCAAAGGTGGGTGTAGTTGTTGGAATGGTGACATAGGTACTCATTGATTGCGCAGAGTCACGTTCGCCTGAGCTGGATTGCTCCATACTGCGTTCTCGAGTTGCCGGCTGCGAGACCTCAGCTGGCTTGACAATGGTTTGGACAGTAGGATCCGGTGCAAAAACAGCGTTGTTAGAGAACGGAGTTTCTCGGCCCTGCATTAATGCTGGCGCGATATTGACAAAACAGTATGGCTCGACGACGGGTGGAATGGTAGGGTTGGTGGACATTGGTGTCACGGTCAGAGTGGCTGGTGCAACTGTCGTCGCTCCAGCTGTCTTTGCTTTAGTTACGGCCCATCTGAGGAGTAATTTGCCATGCTTACCATTGGCCATAGACTTGGTAGTGTCTGTAGCCGCATCTTGTTGGGGGCTACGAACAGTAGTAGCATCTGCTTGTTGAAGCAATGTGGAGTTCGTAGGGGGTTCTTCTCGCTTGATCTCCTGTTTGACGAGGACTCTTCGTACTTCCGTCTCCTCGTCACTATCCTCAGTCAAGTCGATCTCTGTTCGATGGAACATGTCTTCCCGGCGTCGCTTAAGCTCCAGTCGTCTTTTGTCGATATCTACTTGGCGCTGTTCAAGAGCGATCTGAGCCTCCTCATATTCGAATTGATCTTTCAAATCCATCTTGACGCTTCGACGCCTTGGAGCTGATTTGAAGGATGAGAAGCGATTTGAAGGCATATTGTAAGTTCTAGGTTGAGCAGGATATAGAATAGATGGGGAGTGACGAGAAGTAGGTAATTGAGAGACGAGCTTGTGAAACGAACGTGAGAAGAGGTGATGCTGAAGAGAGGAGTCAAGTGAAGTTGGTAAAGAGAAGGGGTCGGTCAAAGGAATTGCGCTCGGAAATGAACATGACGGCAACCTCAAGTGCAGCAGGTATCATCATCAACCCTGCCAGATATCAAAGAGAGCCTGGTTTTCATCGAGAGAGGTACGCATTGAAGCGCGATTTGTGATGTGACACCGTTGGAAAGAAGGCCCTCATTTCTAGTGAATTGCTTGTAGGCATACCTACGAGCCCTTGAGCCTTCTCGCAACTGTAGTCGTATAGCCTACCAAATTCTTCATCTCCTAGGTGTTGTTGGTTTACCTTACCGTCGTGGAGAACCGGCATTCTGTCAACATCTAACAGCAGCGCGGCCGACTCATATCTTCGGAGAGGAAGAGGCCAGTTTTTGATTAGATCACATTTCAAGGACCTCGGTGTAAAGGCCATGGCCAGCTAAAGGTTGTGAAAGATGCTACCGTTGTTATGTACAGTCGGAGTTGAACGGAGAATGACCGAGTCTGACAGAGCATCACGAGTGTCTTGGCAGTCACGACTCCTCTCTTCCCTCCCACAATCCCCAGGAAACATCCACGCCAACTACAGTACATACGGAGTACCATCCGTATCTAACTATGGGGTACTACAATGCTACCTATTACTCGGAAAGTACTTAGCCTCGGACTTGTACCACTGACACCAGACAGGATACGGATACCAGACTTTTAATGGTGCCAGCAGTAGCTCAATATTCTACCAACCTCATACCAAACCAGAGACGATGCCAAGGTATCAACTCGCCAATTCCGCTGATCGTGCGTCAATGGCGCACATGGTCAGAGTCCGTCGCTGACTTTCGGCAATTGACCTTATCCAATCTTGTGGCCATTCACACCATTTCTGATCCTTGTTTTCGGTTCAGAATCGTGTGATACAAGGCAGCATCAGCCATGGATCGCCGCTCAATGACCCGAAATGAAGTTCCCATCCCCCGCGGGGTTCCATAGACATGGAGAGACAACAATCGCCTGGTCGGCCTTGAAGCCGACTACTCGATCAACTGTTGAATGGTTGATCCTTTCCTTAAACTACCGTGCTCGTCTTGCCATTCTCTCGCTTCCTCGTTGCTACAAAGTCTTTCGACTGGCAACTCTTGTTGTTTGCACCTCCCTGATCGAATCCATTTCAATTTGACGTGAATTTATCGGACTCAATATGGCTGGCTCAATGTGGTATACGTTGGGCGTGTCCTGCTTCGCCGCTGTTGGCACCTTCCTCTTCGTAGGGCATATGTCTTGACACTCTTCTTGACTGCTTCTGACCAGCTGCTAGGGCTTCGACACTGGCATTGCGACGACAAGTATGTTTACCCATGCTTGATCTATTCCCTTACATATACTAACGGCAACAGCAATTGCGCATCAGTCATGGATTGACTATATGTAAGTGATCATCAGTCTGTGTGCCAGACCGCGTCGCAGCCCTTCCATATCCCGCTTGATGTCCTGCCCAGAATACTAAGAGCAATTAGGGGCCATCCATCCAAAGGCTTAACCGGAGCCGTACGTTGCACCATGTTGCATGCTTCGAAACGTTACTGAGCTGCTACAGGTCGTTGCCGTTTACATTGCTGGAGAGGCTGTTGGAGCCCTCACCCAGACATTTATTGGTGACGCGTTGGGACGAATTCGCTTCATGCAGCTTATGTGTGTTATTGTCACCATCGGAACCGTCATCCAAACAGCAGCTCAGAATATGGGAATGTTTCTGGCCGGACGCGTCTTGGCTGGGATCGCTGTTGGTGGTGTGAGTTGTTTCCAAACACCCTCGCTGCCTTGAGTTCCATTTGTAACACCATTCTGACATATCAAAAGATGGTCGCAACTGTCCCTATATATCTGAGTGAAATCTCGGCTCCAAAGCATCGTGGTCTCATTGGAGGTATCTCTGGTTGCGGCATTTCGCTCGGGACAATGATGTCGAATTGGGTCGGCTTCGCGTGCAGTTATGCCTCTTACGGTCCGACACAATGGCGATTGCCTCTGGGAATTCAAATTCCTTGGGGGCTCATCCTGTTTACCGGCCTTGCTACGTTTATGCCAAATTCTCCTCGACAGCTTATCAGGAAAGGTAAAATCGAAGAGGCTCGCCGTCACTTTATGCGCATTCGACGAGATCTAAACAACCACGAAGTCCATGAGGAATTTGTCTTGATGCGAGCACAGATCGAATTTGAGATGCAACGTGAGATCAAGTCTATCAAGGAAGTCTTCAAGTTGTTTCGTCACAGAGCTCTTGTCTCGATCGCCGTGCAGACCATGACTAGTCTCACTGGCGTCAACGTGGTAAGTATAACTTTATGCTTGCAGAATCTTTTCTAGCCATTCTGGCCACTTTTTAACAATTGCAGATTCAATACTACCAAACGATTCTCTTCAAATCCCTAGGAATCAACAGCCATATGATTCTAGCCTTGGCTGCCATTTATGGAACACTTGCATTCCTCTCCAATGTACTCACGACGAAGTTCCTGACTGATCAATGGGGTCGACGAAAGATGATTCTTGCTGGTCTATCTGGAATCATCGTCATCGAGATTTACGCCGCCGTGATGCAACGTGAATTTCAAAATACCGACAACAAAGTTGGTAAAGGATTTGCGGTGCTTGGAATCTACTTGTTTGTGGTGACATACTGTATGGTTTCTCCCTCCCACGTGGTTCTGTTGCTAACCTCTGCAGATGGCATGCTGAATAGTACTACTTGGCTATATGGTGCTGAAGTCCTACCTGTCGCTTTACGATCCAAGGTTATGGGCTTGGCTGCAGCATCGCATTTCATTGTTAATGTTGGAAGTAAGTGTGTCTTTTATATTCCCTGTTGACCATTCCTTGGCCACGCATTAGATTGCATTCGGCAGAAATGCTGACAATGATCTTATATAGTCACCGAGGCTGGTCCGTCTGCATTTGCCAACATCCGCGAGAATTATTACTACGTCTTTGTTGGATGTTCAGCATTCTTCCTCGTCTTAGCATACTTGTATTTTCCGTAAGTGATTACTTTCTTTGGTCTGAACCTCATGGATAATGTTTGATGGCCTTTCGTTGGAACCAAAGCTGACCATTCCTTCAAGTGAGACCAAGCAAAGGACATTGGAAGAGATCGCGGCTGCGTTTGGTGACAAGGTCGTGTTGGTCACCGAGACCGATCTCGCCGTTGAAGATGCTGTCATGCATGATAAAGCCGAGACTGTACAGCTTGAAAGCACTCAGGGCAAACCAGTGCAACCTTGAAGAACGAGGAAGAGGACACTGTAACACCCTCAGGAAAATGGAATCCCGCAATCATGATCATTCAACCAGGGGGGTTCGACTTGTACCTAGCATACATGTATATGCATGTGGATGAGAAGTGGTTATCAACATGGAAATGGATAATCAGACTAAATCCCCGCCGTCACTCATCATATGCCTACTGTCCTAGTCCTTTTCCTCGTCTACGGCGTCAACAAAGTTCAATATCTCACGAGCCGTAATCTCGGGCTGTTCCTCCATGAGGTAATGACCACAATCCGGTACAATCACAAGTTTGGACTTTTTCTTTTCTTCAGTCACGGCAAGCACCCTCTCCATGAGTTTACCGGTTGCTTTTTCACCTCCAATTGCGAGGATGGGTACGCCCGAAACACCACCGGCTGCCGAAGCCTCTTCGTACTGTTTGACACTTTGGTCATAAGCACGGTAATAAGCGAACCCGTTGGACATTGCTCCTGGACGAGAATACTTTGCGGCATAGTGTCGACGTTTATCCGCGGTGATGCGTTTGGGATGTACACATTTCATGTCAAAGAACCAATCCATCATTTCTCTCTCCTTCCCCCTGACCAAGATCTCAGGCAGTTCGGGAACACGGTGGAAAGAAAATTGAAACAGACGTTTGTTGACCTCGTCGGGTGGAGGAAACGCGAGAGGTGGGAACGACCCGGGGACCATCCCGTCCAGGAGGGTGACGCTCAGGAGAGAAGAGGAGAATTGACGGGCCCAAGCCGCAGCCACCCAAGCACCCACGTCGTGGCCGATCAGGTGGTATTTTGTGTCGGGACCTCCAAATTCGGCCGCGACGGCGGAGGCGAGTACGGAACTGATGTTGTTGGTGTCGTATCCGCCGCCATGGTCGTCACCGCCGGTCGTCGGAGGTGAAGAGTCACCCGTCCCGGGTAGGTCAAGAACCAAGACAAGGCGGCCGCGGGAGAGAAAAGGTAATATCTCGGTGTATGCTTCTTTCGTTTGTGGCCAACCGGCCATACAGACCAACGGTGGTCTGGAGGAGGCGGTGGTGGTGGTAGAAGAGCCGGCGACGATGGCGTGGATGCCGTGGTTGAGGAATTTGGTCGTGGGTGAAAGTACTCGAGACATGCCGGGCGCGGCGGTGGTGGTGAAGCACTCAAAGACTACAGGACCGAGGGTGGTCAATGTACAGCTGTATACAAGTATAGTATAGTACGAGTCTCGGTGTCTCGATATCAAGTCATAGAAACATCACTTACACGACCTTGTCATCGTTGAGGAGGGACGGAGCGAGTTACAATGAGTGCCCTTTTTTATGTACACACCGAGCATAACAACATCTCTTCGATCATGCCGCCAAGTGACTCATATCAGCCCATGGAGAATTAGATTGTACGAGAGCACGACATTGTGAAAGCAAGATACCCATAAATCCAAATAAAAAGATGGAACGGATCAATCGAGATAGGATAGCGTATAGACGGACACGAAACGATTTCAAAGCCCTCGCGGATCTCAGTGATTCATACGAGGCTGGAGCGGGTATTGCGGAATTTGTGTCTTCGTTGGAAAGAAAAAGGAGAGTCACGTGTCGCTAGATCGAAATAGCATTCAGTTTCGTCGAGGGTCCAGTCTGCTCGTTATTAACGCTGATCGCCGTCTTGGAGAGTTACGACAAGGGAGTTGAAGATCGGCGCTTGTGTTGATGAATGGCGAATGTGGGCTCATACATGTGTGCACGTTGAATACTTGCCGGGGCAGTCGCTAGGGCCAGGAGCCCAGTCGTCTTTTTATCGAAACGCGCCCAGCACCGCCTGATCATACTCCAGCTTCCTCATGTTGTCGTTGATGGGAATCCGACAAGTCACGCACATGGTCAACCGGAGTCGACATCAGAAATTCGAAACCATTTTCAATTTTCTATACATGAGGGACAAGTCAGTAGCCCAGAGGTAAGCTCACTCATACCTACACACAGACCTTCCGGGCCAGGAACAAGACGACCAAATTTATTTGCCTTTCGACACTAAATCTTCGACCTTTTTCCGAGTTTCGCTCGCCGTGTCATCAGCCCAACGGGTCGCCCCCTGTGCGTAAGTTCTGGCTTGCCTCCAAGTTTCCTGCACCGCGTCCCTTATCTGCAAGTGTGTCTCGCTGATTGCCGGCACTCTCTTCTCGTACTCCCAGATCAGGTCCGACGTGTTTCTCATGGTGACCGGTATCAGCATCCAGCCAGCCGTGATGCCGACCGCCAGGGGGAAAGTAGCTCTCACGAAGATGCCCCGGTTTCGAGTGACTATCGACCCGGCCATCGTCGACACCAAGACGTAAATCGCCCCCGGGAGAAGCTGCTCCCCGCTCTCCGGCGAAGGTGCCAGAGACGCGATCGTGTTGGCTAGATTGGTTTCTTTTCTAAAGGCCCAGGTCATGAGGTCGTTGACGCCATTCTCGGCCGAAAGGGACTGTCTGTACAGGAAAAGTCTCGCCGTCTTGACCTGCTCGGCAAGTCTGTCTGTGGGAGTAGGATATGTCGGGTGTGGCTGTTTTAGGGCTGCTGGAGGAGTATCATCTGCCGCGGGAAGTGTCGGGGTCGTAGGAGAAGGTTCATAAGAGGAGTATATGGGTTTCTTGTCTGGTATCTATTTTTGGCAGAAATGTCAATGACCATTCTCTCTCCCACGCGCGCGAGCAGTAAGTAAGGGAGGTGTACATACTTCATCTTTCAAGGGAGCTTCTGCATAAGCTGTCGGGAATCTCAAGGGTGCTTGAGCGACCGCAGCTCCTCCGGCCACGAGTAATGCGGCTTTGGTGGACTGTAATTTGTACTTGGATTAGTGATGGCAACCTCAAAATACTTCGACGAATACCAACTTACAGCTCGCAATACTCGTAAACGCGCCATGGTCTATGGGTGGTGGTTTGGAACTGTACGAAGCAGCTGGCGTGACCTCAAGTTCCCAAGTCCAAGAAAAACATACGATTGCGGCGGCATGAGCTTCAACTAGCGAATCTTCCCCGAATGGTCACGTGCCTGCTTATCTAATTAGAGCTGCTTTTGTCCAATTCCCGTTCCGCTCCGACTGAACATTCACACCACTCTTCAACTCGCCCTTTCACATGGCCTTGTCTAGAATGACTGTGCTAATCATACTCAATATAAGAGCGGCGTACGTCAGCAATATACATCACACGCAATCCAAAACATCACTGGGCACATATAATCTACCATCCATGATCCGACGAGCAGTCCTGATGAACGAAAGGCTCTCGAATGTGGGTGTACTACCCTGGTCCTGGGAAGGGCTCGTCTCGACGACGATAGGCATCATGCCTAGAGGATGTTGAATTCGAAATGTCGACTTCTCCTCGAGATTTACCTTGGCCATGACTGCATTGACCACTGAGCCAGTGATGCGGCTGCACGCCGCGGTACAGATGGCGCCCGTTCCCGCCATTGACGTGTGGCATTTGTTGTCGAGAAACAATCTGGACTGTACATCGCACTCTGGACTCGTGGCAGGAGATACTAGGGCCACCATGGGGAGCATAGGTGATTGTTCGTCCACGAGTTGCCAATCCTTGCACATCCCAACTGCTTGCGCCGCTTTGCCTCGAACCTCTTTGATCCGAGCGATGAGGGCCGTGTCTTTGTCAAGCGTCGATGGCGGTTCGTTCCCGACGATCCCCAAATCCTGAGCTCTGGCAAAGGCAATTATGTTGGCCACGTCGCAGATGGTGTAGCTGATACGTTTGCCTCGAATTTCACATTCGACCGTGACATGTTGAGTTGGGATGACGCCCTTGTTGAGGGCGGCACCTATAACCTGCAATTCATTTTTGCATTCATTAACTAACCGTGCATGAAACAAGAAGACTGGGAATTGGTGTCTTCTCACATTGCTATAGTCCATGAGGATGGGTGCGGCGGTGCCGGGAACTCCATCAATCGCAAATTTTCCAGATTCCAGAAACAGTCCAGTCTCCGGATCGGTTGGGACGTGAGAGATCAATACCTTTTTCGTCCCTGTGTTATAAATCCTCACTTGTTGCGTTTGCACGTCGCCGGGGTCAGGACTGACGCCCGGCCTTTTCTGTTTCACTAGACCTTCGTCGATGGCGAATGGACCAACTCCCGCTGAAATGTTGCCGCAGTTTCCCGTGTATCCAATATAGTCGTTGCCGATTCCGACTTGAGCAAAAGTGTAATCCACGTCGGCTTCTTCACGTTCTGACGGTCTGATGATTGCAATCTTGGACGTCACAATGTGACTGCCGCCCATGCCGTCAATCTGGAGCGGGTCAGGCGAGCCCATCACCCTCCGGAGGAACACATCACGCTTTGGTCCCGGGGCAGGAATGTCTTTCTCGTGAAAAAACAAAGCCTTGCTCGTCCCGCCTCGGATGTATGCGAAGGGGACGGATGGTCTCGAGAGGACCATGTTGGTGGTGAATCACTGACGATGTATTTACGAGTATTCCGTGGGCGAAGAGAATGTTCTTTCTCCGACCGTCCACGCTCTCTTCGATTTTGATAGAGTGAAAGGGTCCTCGAAACTTTTTTCAACAGATTCACTGATGGTGTTTAATCTTGACATACCGTGATAATGTGACAAGTGTTTAAAGAACAGCGAAACCCCGGCAATACTCACACCTGATCGGAAATCCGAATATCGGACTTTGGGTCGGGGGGTCGACACTTTGACCAATAACCAGCATAGAAGCACCTGACTGGGGCTTGTAAAACATATGGACAAGTTCGAACTAGAATTATAAGTATAAGCCTAAATAACTACGTTCCCTGTATGTACTTGTACAAGTCCAATATGCACTGCCCATGCCCTGCCGTCCCAGAAATAAGCAAAAAATCGAGTATCCCCCAAAACCGTATATCACCATAAGGCAAACAGAATTCACCACCCACTCGCACATCATGGTTACATGTCACGAGATGACATGGAACGGACATCTAAGCTAAACTGATCCACCTCTCATTCTCCGTCAAGGCCAACCCACGAGGTAAACTTCCCAACATCAGCCGGTTCGACGATGACGGGCGCACCCCAACGGACGACGGCAAACTACTCGCGGCGATGTATCTCTCCACCAACCGACGAGCATGGTATATACTCCCCAGCTTTCGCGAGTCCTCCAACTGGCCCAACCTCGTGAGTACAAAGTGTCGTTGCTCCTCTGACTCGAGTCTGGAATTCCCCAGGACGAACAAAGGCCACAACGAGGCCGCGCACGTTTCGGGCAGCAGGCGCAATGACGACATGATGCAATCTATCAGTCTTTTGCGACCGAGGGTTCTGGGGGCAGGGATATAGGTGTCCAGTGATGACGTGTCGGTCGGTCGAGGCACTCGTTCTTCCAAGTACAGCATCGCCGCCAGACGTTTGACCTCTGCAATCTGGACGAGCAGAGGTTGGTCGATGCACGAAGACGGGACGCGCTGTTGGAGGCGACGGAGACGAGAGACAAGATCGTTGCGCATGGTGAGAAACTCGGTCGACTCGATCATCGAGGAAGGGTCCGGGGACGTTTGGACTCGACGTGCCAGTGATGAGATTTGGCCTACGATGGAGATCAATTCGCGCGAACAGCCCATCAGAGGGTCGATCTATGTACATGACAGTATTGTGGTCAGCATACGATGCGATTTCAGGGGACGTTATACGATTTAAGATGGTAAAGGGGACATGGGTGGGGCTATCTCACCTCTTCTGATCGAGCGAGGGCAAAGCCATCGCCATCAGAGTCTGACCATCCAGTCCACGCAGTTCCGCCCATCACTTCGTGTGCGACGAAATAGATTTCACAGAAGGCTTTGAGACTATCATCGACTGACGTTCGGGTCGTTAGGTAAGTCAACATTTGTAAGCCCATTTTCAGGTGGGTGATCCAAGATGGTGCGCAGCCGTCTGAAATCTAATGCAGTCACATCAGGTTAGCTATGGCTAGCTCACAACAAGGGGACGGAACCAAAACAAACGTACATCGTAAAAGCAAAACATTAGCGTGGTAGCAAGACTCTGCCAGTCCATATCGTTGGTTCTTAGGTGGTTTCGCAGTCCCTTGATCGCCGCCGTCTTCAATTCCAACGCGTGTCTTTCGAATCGCAAGTCGTCATGGAGACGTAGATGGTTCGCCGCAGCCGCCAGTAATGCGCTTCGGAGAGGTTCAAATTCGTACGCCACAGGTAGCAGGACGTTAAGATACGGATTGTCCGTTTCGCTCAGCGAGCACTGCGGGGACAGGACGTAGATGTAATACGACAATAGATTCGTGTTGATGCCTTGGTAAGGTGAGTGCGCCAGCATCAGAGACAAAGGCGGCGGGACGCCAGTGAGGCAAAGTATTTCATCGTCATCGAGGACCTCATCGACGAAAGTGTCGACGAAATCGTGCCGCTCGACTTCGGTGATTTCGTCTTCCAATGCCTCCGGAAGATTTCCTTCTCGGAAATGCTCGGCGGTGAAGTTGAGAAAGAAGAGCGTGCCGGCATTTTGGGCACTGGTGGGGATTTCGACAAAGATCTGGTCGTCAATAGGTGGTAGTCGTTCTCGCGGTGTTGAAGTCGTGTTATGCCGTGACCAGAGCCCTGAGTATCGCCGATCAGTCAACTCTGACGAATATCAAGATACAACTCGCCTTACCAGCACGACCGTGAGCTATCTTCCTCTGTTGAGAGTCTTCTTCCCAGAGGAGTTTAAAGCCATAATTGCACTCGAGATTCAATCGTTGGCATCGGCTGCAGGTTGGTTGCTCTTCGCTGCATTTGACATGGGCTTCTGTGGGACAATAAACTTATATGAGTATATGCGACGTATAATGTGAAGTTTTGATTTCCGGGCATTATAGCGTCGCTGAGAAAATCCCTCGACTTACTCTTGCATGTGGCACAGCCCTTTCTACTCTTGCATCCGTACTGGTTTCTCCTCTTTCGCATGGGATACGATGATTATTTGATCCGAGAGGGATAGTTCGAGCCTCTTCCCCTAGATCAATTCACAGCATTTGAAAACAGAATCCTTGACTGGTGGTTTGAGGGTCGTAGTTGATTGTAATCATAGAAGGAATCACTGACTCAGAGACGGACATTGGAAGAAGGCAAAAATCCCATTATTGATCTGGACTTGGGATTTGGAGTCGTTGAAGCTAGTCTTGATTTGGCAACCGATTCGCAGCCTCATATCTACTCCACGTGACAGTTTTCCCGGCTTCATTCATCCGTAGGCTGTACGAGAACGAGAACGAGTACGAGCATTGAGAGATTGCACCAAGAAAGGCTTCGATATTCTATCCATTGATTGCTTCCTCTTCACATACGACTAACAGTTCTATTTCCGTCCATCGTACTGCGATCCTAAGGGTGAATCTATCATATGTCTACAACTTCGAAACTCGAGACTTGCCATGACTCTGAACCTCTCTCAGATCCCTGACATTGCCCTCTCTCCACGCAACGGTCGCTTTCCCATTCTGCCCTTCTTCTTCAGCCGCCTTCCACGTCCATCTTGGGTATTTCTGATAGCCGATTTGCACCAACTCCCTAACCCACTCGCCAGCAGTAGGCAAGAACTTGAACATGTGCCCACTATCCGCGCCGGCCAAGATCAGGTCTTGGTACCCGGGGACAAAATCGACGACAAAATCCGAACTCGTTGTGTCCGCGCACCAACACATTGACTTGCGCACAAAGGGTCTCTCGTGGAGCGAGGCCGGGAGCGATGCCTTGACTAACCTACGAAGCTGTGCCTCGTCGACGGCTGGTGGGACCAGGGACGTTGCATTTGTTGGTGGCACCGAACACGAGACCGTCCGTGTGCCGCTTGGCGTGGCTCCCTCGAGGTTTTGGAAGTTCGTCCACCCTCCGCCGTGGCAAGCAAACTTGAGGAGATATTTACCGTCTGTTCTTGATCTTCGTGACGACCGACCCTTTGGTTCTGATGTATCGCTTTGAACACGTTCCACTGACTCGGTACCATCTTCGCGTTCTTTCACGAACAGAGGTTCCATCCAGAACCCCAGTTCGGAAAAGTTCATGACCGGCACACCCGCTAGAGCTTTGGCTTCTGACTCTGTCAATTCGAGATGAGCCACCGACCACGCCTTCGCCGTGACCTGTGAAGCCGCTGCTGATAGAACACGAGGCAAATGTGCACCCATGCATAATATAGTGAGACTCGGCTTGCCAGATGGGTGAGTATGCACCGTACCACTGGCTGCACGTACGCCCGTGACTGACTGCGATTGCGGTGATTCCGTGACAAGCGACGTGATGTGACCGTCTTCGCCCAGCACGAACTTGACACCCAAGTACAAGCAGCGCCGATACGCGAGCCGGATCGCCTGCGACGCCAGCGCGTACCCGCCATGCTTGTTCAAGTATCCTCGCCATTGCTTGTCAAAGTTGACGTTCTTCACCTGTGGTGCAGCGGTATGGATGTCGTGGGGAGTTTGAACAGCTTGAAATGAATCGTCGGGGAACCAGAGACTATCATAGTTTGCCGGCTCTCGCGGCTTCGTGAAATACTCCAGGTCCTTCTGTACGGCTCCCGATTTCGTCGCAGAGCTCGCCACTCTGAGATACCCGACCTCACTGTAACAACTGCGCCATCCGCCAACGTCGTCCGGTGCCTTCCAGAACTCTACGGCTCGCAGGGCAAGTTCAGTGTAGAAGTCATCCTCTGCGTGGCCGATGCCGTACTCGGCTCGGATGATCTTATTCAGATCGTTGCTCGCTGCATACGGTGATGGTAAAGTGGCCGCGCGGTCGAACACGGTAATGTTCTTGTATCCAGCATGGGAGAGATGCAAAGCAGTAGACAGACCAAATACCGAGCCGCCCACTATGTAGATGGAGGTCTCTGGTGCTGCGGGCCTGGGAGAAGTCATGATGTTATTTAGGGTAGAAGGTAGTAGTAGATGGAGAGTTGCCAGAGACCGGCGGGCGGGACTTGCACTTTTATATATATACTTCCTCACGCCCAACCACTACCGGTGGAGCACGTTCTCTTTATGATTTCTCTATGGATTTTGCCAGCGGAGACTATTCATCATTAATGGTGTGATGTATCACCTTAGAGCGCCTTGTTACAGTCTGTCAATTTGTGATTTAGATTATATGTTGGTGTGGTTCTTACGGCCTTGCAATGCCTATAGTTGCCACCCAACCGTCCTATTATCTCGATTACTGGTGGATATCTGGCCATTTCGGTCCTACAAAGATAATTAATGCCTTGATACCCTCAGAACCCCCAACCTTCTTCATGCCAGCTATCTAGTTTGCTATTGACAGGGGTTGACACGAGACTGTCAACTCGAGTCACTTTTCCCGCCGGTAGATTGCCTAAGTAGTATACTTGAAATTCTCCTTCTTGAAGTCGGTAATGTCCTGGAAGACTTCCACCAGATCCTCTTCGCTGGACGTCTGCTCCAAGGCAACCCTCTTCCTATTGAGAGTCAGGCAATAGAGCCAGTATGCAATCATCAACGCGATGCAGACACAGTAGCAGACCAGCATCGCCACGACACCGCCAGTATACCCTGGCGCTTGACTTTGGCGGAATGTCTGGGGACCTATTAAGTTCCCAACAGCGTATCCGATGTATAGGACGGCAAAAGATACGTTCTTCTTTGTGTGACCTGAAGTGTTGGCTTGCGCAAGGGAGATACCGACAGCATAGGGTCCAAAGTAGGTGTATACCAGGTACAAGCCGACGAGTTGGGCACCCACGGCGCTGCGAGGGACACCATAGAGAATGCCAGTGCCGATAATTGGTACGCAGCAAGCAACAATGTTAACCAGGCATCGGCGATTGTTCAACTTCGCTGCCAGCATTGAGAAGACGAAAGATGAGAGCGTAGACATGACTCCAGTGGGCATGGACAGCAAGGATGCATTGACCGGGGTGAAACCAAGGTTTGAAATGATGATACCGCTGAAAGTGGTCAAGCCGCCATTAGGGATATTGATGGCGATGTTGAAGAAGAAAATAAGCCAGGTCTTTGGGTCGATGACGGCCTCGAGGGCTTGGTCCCATTTCCAGACCTTGTTCTCAATACCAGTCTTATTTCCGGCAAGTCTCTGGACCCAGAAAACCTTCTCGTCCCTGTTCAAGAACTTGGCTTCCATTGGAGTCGCTGGGAGGTAGACGAAGACAAAGATAGACCAGAGCATTGAGATAGATCCGATGAGGAGGTAGAGGTACTGCCACTTAGCCAACGGGGCACTGTCGGGAATGTGACCGATGACCCAAGAGAGGAAACCGTTGACTACGGAGCTGGCGGCGGCAAACACCAGTGCGTTTCTGGGAGGTTGTTCATCTTTCTTGTACCAGCCCGCAATCAACAAAGAGATACCGGGGACGATGATGGCTTCGAACATGCCCATTATGAAACGGACGGCCATCATACTGCTCCAATTCTTGCAAGCCGGCATGAAGAGAGCCATGGCAGACCAGCCCATTGAGCAGGTACAGAGATACTTGGCGGATGGGAGTTTATGCAACAAGGCCGAGGATGGAAACATGCCGACCAACGCACCCAAGCTCAAAATCGAGCCGAGCCATGAGTACTGCTGGCCAACAAGGTGGGTGTCCGTACGAAGTCCGTAGATGGCTGCTGTGCTCAAGGCGACTTTGTCGACGGCACCGAGTGTAGCAGTCAAGAAGAGCTGAGATATGTTAGTTGTATTAACACGGCATCACAGGAAGTACAACACACCATGGGAAGCAAGATCCAGTCGATCTTCCGTTTGAGTCTCTTCTCCTGAGCTGCAGTAAGAACAATTTCAGTACCTGCCTCCGCAAGGAAGAGGGCTGCTTGATCTGCCTGCCTGCCACCAACATCTTTGATAGGATGCGTGGTAGTAGTCTCCGTGTTGGAGGCCTTCTCAATGTTGTCCATGACGAAGGAAGTATATGATAGAAAGAAGCGACGGAAGAAGACGGTCTCAAAGTCTGAAAGAGGCTGAAGAGAAGATTGAATGAAAGGCAGTCGAGTCGAGGGGGGCACACGACCTTTGAAATACTTTTTCGCAAGTCCGCTTGATGCTTTCTCCCTCGACAAGCTTGGTGTGATAAGACGTCCCGGTTATCGCCCCCTGTACCGCGTGCTATAGTCTAGATCAATATTGCTCCGGGATACATTTGGGGCGTGCATGTCCGGAAATCGCAAAGCACACGCGGGGAGTCTGGGGACAAAGGAGTGTTGGCAAGATAAATATTTGTTCAAGGAGAAGGTCAACACGACGACCCGAAGAAATACAACACGATCCATTTTCCGACGTTTGCCACTATTGAAGCGGATGGTTGAAGTGGAAGGTCAACACGATGGCCACTCGGATAGCACGAATGACTCTGTCTGGCTCCACCCCATCTAGACTTTGCTGAAGAAAAAAGGGTCCGCGCTCCGCAGAAACGGGAAGGTCAATACGGCAAAGGCGGGACCATGCTTCCAGAAACTGACCTCGTGCCTCTTGCCACGAGGTGGTGGGTTGAAATCGGGGAGGGGGACTCACACCATACTCTTCGTTCCGACATTCTGGGACATACACCGGGGCGTCGTATTGACCTTCCTGCTTGGAACGCAGATAACCGGTCGGCCTGCTCGAGATGTCCTTTATGTTTTATGCAATTCATTGGTTGAAAAGTCACCTATTAACATAAGATGATATAAATGGAGGTCTTCTTGGAAGAACAGCCATTTCTTCTCCTTTGGTTTCCAGAGATCAGACAGCCAAAATGGGTTCGATACAGCAGAGTGTCCCGGTCACCGGTATAAAGATTGCCATTGATCGTGGCGGAACATTCACCGATATCTGGGCTACAGCCAGCGGTCAGCCTGATCTAGTGTTTAAGCTGTTGTCTGTTGACCCTGCCAATTACAGTGATGCGCCCACTGAAGGTAAGGATGGCCAGGAAAACCATGTTCTCAAATCCATGCTGACGGTCTCAATACAGGAATACGTCGAGTTCTTTCAACATATGGCGACAGAGAGATTCCAAGAAATACGCCTTTGCCTAAGTCTAGCATTGAGAGCATTCGTATGGGAACTACTGTGGCCACAAATGCCTTGCTTGAAAGAAAAGGGCGCAGACATGCTTTCCTTGTCACAAAAGGATTCAAGGATCTCCTAGAGATTGGTTACCAATCACGACCCCGCCTCTTCGATCTCAACATCTCAAAGCCTGAAGTGCTATACTCCGAGGTGTGTGAGGTTGAGGAACGAGTGACCATCGAAGGATTTGACGAAGATGTCGATGGCCAATTCAACAGCACTGAAGCTATTCCGGGTGTCCTCGAGATGGGGGCCAATGGTCAACTTGTCAGGATTCTCAGCCCACTCAACGAATCCGCCCTAGAAGCCCAGCTACGAGACCTCAGAGCACAAGGAATCGATACTATTGCCATTTGCTTCGCCCACTCATATGCTTATCCCGAGCACGAGTTGAAAGCTGGCCAATTGGCTGTGCAAGCGGGATTTACTCACGTTTCTCTCTCATCTCAAGTGGCAGCGAATATGATCAAGATGGTACCTCGGGGCAGCTCAGCAACGGCGGATGCTTACCTCACACCCGAGATCAAGAAGTATATTGCTGGTTTCCAGAAAGGCTTCGAGGGCGGCCACCTTGACGATGTCAGATGTGAGTTCATGCAGTCAGATGGTGGTTTGGTCAGATATGATCAATTCTCGGGCCTTAAGGGTATCCTGTCCGGCCCAGCTGGTGGCGTTGTCGGCTATGCCAGGACATCATATGATGAAACCAATCGTATGGCCGTCATCGGGTTCGATATGGGTGGAACAAGTACCGATGTTTCACGATATGGCGGTACTTTTGAACACGTCTTCGAGACAACAACCGCTGGTGTGACGATCCAGAGCCCACAGCTTGACATAAATACCGTCGCAGCAGGAGGCGGTTCTATCTTGGCGTGGAAGAATGGTCTTTTCGCCGTGGGACCAGAAAGTGCCTCGTCACATCCAGGCCCTGCCTGCTACAGGAAGGGTGGCCCATTGACCGTCACCGATGCCAACTTGTTCCTGCGCCGGCTCGTACCCGAATCCTTCCCCAAGGTATTCGGGCCTCATGAGAACGAATCTCTCGACGAAGAAGTCGTGCAAGTGAAGTTCAAAGAACTCACGAAACGCATAAATGCTGAAACGGGCGGCTCACTCTCACCACAAGAGATTGCATGTGGATTTTTGGATGTTGCCAATGAAGCAATGTGCCGACCAATTCGAGCTTTAACAGAGGCAAAGGGACATGCCATCGGTAAGACTTTTACGCCTTCCCTCATCGGACTTGACTCGCTAACTACCTTACAGCAAACCATCACTTGAGCTCTTTCGGTGGTGCCGGTGGTCAACATGCCTGTGACGTGGCATCGAAGCTCGGCATCGATACTGTTGTCATTCACAAATACTCCAGTATTCTTTCTGCCTATGGCATGGCTCTGGCCGATGTCGTCCAAGAGGTTCAAAGGCCATGCAGTCAGGTGTATTCCTCGAAGTCGCGACAAACTCTGTCAGACGCTTTCGAAACTATGAAGTCCCAAGTCAAGTCCAAGATTGCCAGCCAGGGTATGGCCGAATCCAACATCGACTATGAGTACTACTTGAACATGCGATACCAGGGAACTGAAACATCCATGATGACTATGGAGAAAGAGGGATCGGATTTTAAGCAGGAGTTCCTGAAGCGTCATCTGCAGGAGTTCAACTTCATCTTTCCCGACGATCGGCAGATCCTCATTGATGACATTCGAGTTCGTGCAATCGGTAAGAGCAAGGCAACCATCGGTGGAACGGCCGAATTGGCTCACGAGCTCAACACCTTGAGCTTCAAGGAGCCCAAGCAGGCCCCCAACGCGAAGAAGATGGTGTATTTCAAGAAGCAAGGAAATGTCGAGACTCCAATCTACCTCCTCCACGATCTCGTCCCCGGCACTGTTGTTAAAGGTCCTGCAATCATCATTGACGCCACCCAGACTCTTCTTGTTGTTCCGGAAGCGCAGGCAAAGATCTTGTCGTGTCATGTTGTCATCGACATCATGTCTGCCATGAAACAAGATTTGTCCAGTCATGCTGTTGATCCTGCAACACTGAGTGTTTTTGGTCACCGCTTCATGAGTATCGCCGAACAAATGGGACGTGCTCTGCAGAACACCTCAGTGTCTCTCAACATCAAAGAGCGTCTTGATTTCTCCTGCGCCATCTTTGGACCTGATGGTGAGTCACCTCGGTCTTCTGAATTTTGTGAGGGAGCTTTACTGATATTGATCTAGCCGGCTTGGTTGCCAATGCACCTCACGTTCCCGTCCATCTGGGTTCCATGAGCTATGCAGTGAAGTATCAGCACGAGCTTCACAAGGGTAAGCTGACACCTGGAGATGTTCTGGTTTCCAACCATCCCTCGTCAGGTGGTACACATCTACCAGACATCACTGTCATCACGCCCGTTTTTGATGCTCAGGAGAAGGAAGTCGTGTTCTACGTTGCTTCTCGAGGCCATCACACCGATATCGGTGGTCTCGGTGGCACATCCATGCCTCCAAACTCTACAGAGCTGTGGCAGGAGGGTGCCGCAATCCGCTCATTCAAGTTGATCCACAACGGTCACTTCGATGAGGAGGGAATCACCCAGATCTTGCTGGAGCCTGGCAAGTACGAAGGGTGCAATGGTAGCCGCAGGCTCAGTGACAACCTCTCGGATCTCAAAGCACAAGTCGCTGCGAATAACAAAGGGTCCACTCTGGTCAAGGCCTTGATGGAAGAGTATTCTCAGGAAATCGTGCACTTATACATGGCTGCGATCCAGCAGAATGCGGAAATTGCCGTGAGAGCATTCTTGAAGAAAACCCTGAGTGAGCGAGGACCGGTTCTCTTGGCCCAAGATCGCATGGACAATGGCTCTTTCGTGAACCTAAAGGTCAGCATATCTGAAAATGGCAGCGCTGTCTTCGACTTCACAGGCACTTCATGTGAGATGTTCGGTAACATGAATGCGCCCCCAGCAATCACACACTCAGCCCTGTTGTACTGCTTACGACTGCTTATTGGCACTGAGATCCCCATGAACCAGGGCTGTCTGGCACCCACAGAGGTTATCCTCCCCACGGGATCATTCATCAACCCATCCGCGGGAGCGGCTGTGTGTGCTGGAAACACGCAGACATCGCAGCGCATTTGTGACGTTATCATGCGTGCATTCGAAGTTGCCGGTGCATCTCAAGGTTGCATGAACTGCCTGGGATTCTTCGGAGAAGGTGGCCGCGATGCCGAGGGTAAAGCTCTGGCAGGTCACGCCTATGCCTTTGGCGAGACCATTTGCGGTGGATCTGGTGCTACTGCCACTGCTCACGGTGCCAGTGCCGTCCACACTCACATGACAAACACTCGAATCACGGATCCAGAATCTCTGGAAAAGCGTTACCCCGTCATTCTGCGCGAGTTCTCTATCCGTACCGGCTCCGGTGGGAAGGGAATGCGATGCGGTGGCAACGGTGTGGTCAGAGACATCGAATGCCGCGCACCACTCAAGTTCAGTGTCATCACTGAACGCCGGATCACCTCACCTTACGGAATGCATGGCGGTGAAGATGGAGGCCGCGGTGGAAACTACTGGGTGAAGAAGAACTCGGACGGCACAGAGCGATGGATCAACCTCGGTCCCAAGAACATGGTGGCTATGCAGACTGGCGACCGTTGTGTTATTCAGACACCTGGAGGAGGTGGCTATGGTCGAATTGATGCCCAGTCGAGCGAGGAGCAGACACAGCAAATAGCAAAGGTGCAATACCCTCGGGCTATGGGCAGTGTGGCTGCCTTTGCCACGACACAGGCAGAGGCGTCGTAGATGTTAGATGGCGTATATACCCCTTTGATATGAGATAGACTGACTATACAAAAATCGTAATTTGGTACGGAGTATGAGATACATGTTGACTGACTTGGGTGTAGTGATGCTAAACGTCTCTCTTTGCGCTCTCAAGTATTGCCACTAAAGCAGCATCACTTTCTTCCCACAATTGGGTCTTTCCGTATCGGCAGAATCCGGGGATGCTCGGGCCTTGGCGGAAACCCAGGAAAGATATAAAAGCCATCAATAGCCGAGGACATGCATGTGCAACTTCCCGTCACCAGGATGGCTGTAGGTTGTTCAATACCTGCAAAAGAGGAGGATACACAGGTTAACAGTGCCTATACATCCCAGAAACCCCCTGCACAGTACAGCGCTCTTGCTTGGATCTACTTTCTTTGACTTGTGCACCTACGAACCCAACTCGATGCACAAAGCACTGCGGCGGCAACCATGGACTTGTACCAAGTGCCTGCGCCGACAGAAACGACTCAACTCCACAGCTACTGGCACAGCTCCAGTGCAAGATCATGTCTTTGCTTCTGCCTACGTTCATTCGTCCTCGTCACGACAGAGCGATAATGCTCAACTACGCGAAGTCTTCAATGAGCGAGTTAGCTGGCGGACATCCGAAAAGAAGAGCTCGGGCTTGATAGGGAATAACCAGTTGACCAACCCTCGAGGATTTAAGACATTTGCAGAGAAGTCTGTGGCGCAATGCAAGAGACTGGTCGAGAGGACGCTGGCTGCCTCCACAGTCGAGCAGTACAGAGCAATACCAAAAGATCTCGATAGACTTAGTGATCTACTATGTCGGGTCATAGATTTGTCTGATTTCATCCGGGGCATACATCCAGATGCTGCTGTTGCTGCGGCGGCCACGGCCTCTTATTCTCTCATGTTCCAGTATATGAATGAATTGAACACAACCACTGGGCTGAACAAACAGTTGCAAAAGGCATGGGACATGCCGGAAGTTCGTTCTCACTGGACTGAGGAGGAAAGAATGGTGGCCAAGTTATTGATGAAGGACTTTGCAAAATCGGGAATAGATCTTCCCGACAAGCAAAGAAAACAGTTTGTGTCATTATCGAACGAGATTGCACAGATTGGAACAGACTTCGTTAATCAGATGGAGCACGCCCGAGACCATATCTCGTTTTCTACTCAACAACTACAGGGTGTTGATCCGCTGCTCATCAGAAACATGAAGACTTGGGATCGGGCGCAGATACCGGTGTACAGTCCAGCTTCCAAGATGATACTGAACTCAGCGAACGACCCTGCGACCCGGAAACAAATATATGTTGCCGAAAGGACAGCATCACGCTCAACCGTGCGGAAACTCGAGCAACTTCTCCTCCGTCGTGCGGAGCTAGCTAAGCTGACAGGCTACGACAGCTACGCTCAGATGACACTGGCCGACAAAATGTCCAAGACACCCGAGTCCGTGAGTAATTTCTTGGACTCTTTGAACGAGAACAACCGGCCACAGGTCCATAAAGAACTTGCACCGTTATTAGAAATCAAGCGAAAACTTGATCAGGGAGCTAAGTCAGTCGACCCTTGGGATCATACCTATCTCCTGGCAAGATTGGCGCAAGCTGAAGCCAGTGCTGGTCCTCGGACTTCCAGATCACGTCTCCAGGAAAGTGCCAGTGCGTACTTCTCCCTGGGTCATGTCATGCAAGGACTCTCAAACTTGTTCGAGTCTCTCTATGGGGTTCGTCTTGTGCCGAAGGAAAGCGAGCCCGGCGAGGTCTGGCATCCAGAAGTCAAGAGACTGGACGTGTATACAGATAAGCAGCAACATATCGCTACTATGTACTGTGATTTATTTTCTCGCCCAGGGAAGCTTCCCAATCCTGCGCATTTCACGCTTCTTTGCTCAAGAGAAATCTCAGAGGAAGAAGTGCGAGAATGCCAGGAAAGGAACGAGCCATTGAACAATGGTATGCCGACCTATCTGGGGTCTAATGCAGTCTCTGGCGCAACTGCTCATCACCAAATCCCTATCATTGCTCTGGTCTGCGGCTTTCCAGACCCGAGCTCATCTGCAGGCCCTTCACTGTTGTCGGTGCACAGTGTTACCACATTGTTCCACGAAATGGGTCACGCCATCCACAGCATCTTAGGACGAACAACCTTGCAAGGCATCTCTGGCACACGATGTGCTACGGATTTCGCCGAGCTTCCGTCTGTGTTAATGGAATATTTTGCAACAGATGCATCGGTTCTCAAAATGTTTGCCCGTCACTGGCAGACTGGGGCAGTCATTCCGGACGACATGATCACAGCTTTGGCGGATGACAGAACGAAACAAGCTGTGAGAACTGGGGCTTGGAATAATGAAAGCCAGATTTTGATGGCAATCCTAGATCAAGTGTACCATTCCGAGGTGCCGGTAAAAGCACTGCAGATTGGACACTACAACTCCACCGCGGCTTACCATGATGTTTGGAACAAGTATGGGAGTGTTGCCGAACCGCCCGAAACGGCGTGGCAAGGCTTCTTTGGACACTTATACGGCTATGGTGCGAGCTACTACTCATATCTATTCGACAGAGCAATTGCACGTCAAGTCTGGCGAGTCGTGTTTAGAGACGGTGCTGACGGAGGCGCTGTAGACCGATCGGCTGGGGAACATTTCAAACAAGAGGTTCTTCGCTGGGGAGGCGGCAGAGACCCATGGTTATGTCTTGAAGGACTTATGGGAGAGGGTAGAGGCGTACTAGCTGAAGGCAAAGAGGAAGCCATGTTGGAGGTTGGTAGATGGGGAGTCGGAGCATCGAGTGAGGGTTCAATGTGAGAGTATCGAATTGAACCTGTTGAAGATGAAGTCCATTGAACAAAACAATATGTGAATGAAATGACCAGTGTCCTTCAGTGTCATGAATGAATTTATCGGTGCCAACGAGTGTACAGCAGCAGTAGTACTTACGGAGTAGACAGTCGTAGTAAGGTCAATACTCCGTACTCCGGTTCGCCGGACTCGGGATTCGTGTTCGTATTCGTATTCGCCGCCCGCTTACTAAACATTGAGATGATATTATTTCTACCCACGGCGGGACGATCACTCTTTTCAGCATCTCCTCCGCCAACTCTTCTCATCATCCTCGTAAACAAAAATCATCTCAATCGAAGACCGTCCAATGCAGGTCGTCTGGGAGGCAGACACTGCTGCCTTTGCAAGTCGGAAGCGAGCTGCACGGGCGTGCGTACGATGTCGCGCTGCCAAAAAACGCTGCCACCACACCTTTCAGCGTGCTCCGGAACAACAGGCACACTCGGATGGCCTCAAGAGAGTCCTTCCCAATCTGACTCACAAGGAACCGATCCGGTTTGTTGGCGACCTCAACCCGGAGTCGATCCTCACCGACCTGTCATCTCGTGCCAAAGGTGGCACACGCATAAGCCGTGTTGGCACCTGGGTTGAAAGGTCCCGCCACCCGCACGATGAGTTCCCTCCAGAGGACTTGGGCCCGCATGTGCGTTCGTGTAACAAGACGCCCATCAACGTTGAGAAATACGGCAAGTTCGAAGGTGGCCGCCGCGTACTCACTGGCCATCAACGGAATTACTTGCAAGCCGTGGGCGCGTTCAGAGTGCTGCCCAAGGCCACTCAAGATGCACTGATCCCGACATTCATCTCGTGTCTGGATGGCATCCTGCCGATCTTGTACGGACCCAAGCTGCTGAAGGAATGGACCGATGGTTGCTGTTCGATATTCCTCATCCAGGCCATATGTCTGGTCACCTGCAAGACAGAGGAGGCGGCTCCCTTCCTTCGGCTTTACGACGATGGACCACTTCTCGACCCGATACCGTTCGCGAGAAGTCTACATACCGGTCTCGACGCAGCCATGAAGGCAGACCTCGAGCCGGACCGCGTCACCAAAATCCAAATTCTGACATTGATGCATCTGCACAACGACGGACCCGGTGGTATCGAAGAATCCTCTCTGAATCTTTCCCAGGCCATCCACGACGCCTGGTCAATAGGGCTGCACATCCTCACCCCAGGTCGCACGAACAAAGATCAATTCAGCATGCTCTGGTGGACGATATGGGCTTTGGACAAGTTCAACGCCTGTCTCGGTGGCCGCCCCATCATGATTGCGGACCGTGACATCGACATCTCGCCGCCTCCGCTCGAGGACGAGCCAAAATCACAAGTCATCACCATCTGGCTCCGTCTCGGCGATCTACTCGACAAGGTGATCGAATTCTATCGCCCTACCGCCAACCCGGACGATACAGGCTGGGAGACAGAGTTCCCTACATTCGCATCATTGGTTTCAGACATTGACCTTAGCGCCCATCCGCAAGGTGAACAAAGTATGTTGCATCTTTTCAGCGTTCCCCCCATATCCTTTCTTCACATGGAATTTTCGCCTCCTGGGTTTTATTTTCCATTTTTTGAGCAACAAGACTGACCACCCCCCCTAAAAGACATCCTGGAAATCTGCTATCTCGTCATTGCCATTCTGTCATGTCGCGTAGGCGGTCCCACTACACCAAGTTACGCCCGACGCATCAGCGCCGCCGACCGCATCCAACAGCTCGTCTCTGGCGACGGACACAAACACATCCCACCGTTGCCTCTGGTCCCGTACGCCGCCGGGCTGAGTTTGACAGTGGTGTATCGCTGTCTCAGAGACAAAGCCAACATCGACCTCGAACGTGCCAAGGCCGACCTCGCCACGCGCTGCGAGACGCTCGAATCCCTCTCGACGTCCTGGTGGACGGCCGACGCCATGGCCCGCCTCGGTCGCAAGGCCCTCGCGTCTCTCCAGCAGCCCGGGGCGGCAAGACACTCGGTCGCCGGTATCCAGAACGACATGGACGCAGAAGTGTCGGTGTGCAAGTACGGTCCGTTTGACAAAAAGGATGGTCACCACCACCACAACAGCCATGGCGGCCATCACCAACAAAAACAAAAGGCAACAGCCCACAAGAAGCCCGGTGCCTCGGCCGGCGGGAACGCACTACACGTCTTGTCCGACGTCGCGGCTACACGCACGCCTGGCACTTTCACCTTCACCTCTTCATCCGCCGCCGCTCACAATCATAATCTCCACGCTGTACAGCCACACGCCCTCCCACCTACACCAAACTCCTCGGGCCACCACTTTGTCTCACCGTCGACAACAACGTCGCACGCGACGTACCATCATGCGGCACACCACACCGGTACACAATCGACAGATACAATGACACCGCTCGACGCATCGCCTTCTTCTCATCGTTTTGATAACGCCGCCGCCGCCGCCGCCACGATGCCGCAGTCCTCAGGTCTTGGACAAGATCAAGGACACCTTTCTGTCTCCCCGTTCGACCAGTACCAATACCAATTCAATGATTTGGACAACTTGTTCGAAGGCTTTTTTGATCTCAGTATGCCTACCATTTTCCAGGATCCATTGTTTGACGGTGACGCGTTCATGAACGCAGATCTTGGTCTAGGTGGATTCGACGACGGCGACGTCGTCGTCGACGATGCAGCGGCAGCTGATGACGCTACCATGACCGGTGTCGGTGTCGGTGTGGATGTCGATGCCGGTACGTACAACGCGGCGTCAACAGCAGGGCCAGCGTCATCATCGACCAGACCCACACGTCTGAACAACACGAACTCGACCTCGCAGAGTCAAGGAAGCAACATGCTCTATTCAGAACTCAAGTTCAAGAATTGATTGGACGGAAGACACCCAATAAAGAAAAGAGGTGGACACTATACTCTGACCGTCACAGAGATTGACGGATTTGATGAATTTATTCATACATCGAGAAAACTCATAACAGCGGGAATACTAGCGAGGGTATTGACGGACATTCACGGCGACGAGTAACGAACATGGCGCAGTACTGACAGGGAGGTATATGTGGTCACTTGGTACAGGAATATACAACTAATGTTTTTACATTGAGCGAATGAACAACAAATCACTTACTTACCTGTTGAATCCAAAATTAACCCTGTCTCGACAATCGTCATCTTAGTGTGGACATATTGGTGGCTTTGACTTGATTCACCGATACTGGGTAACGAAAATTGTAAACTACTCCGTATTGAAAACACTTTCTGTCATGGGATGGCGAGGACCGACAAAAGCAAGAGACAAAAGCAAGACACTCAGGACAGCATGAATACTTTCTAGTAGTTCCCAAAAAAAGTCTTCATGATTTAGATAAAAACTGCCTATCCGGTAGGAGCCTTCTCGTGTGGTTATTCATTGCTGCGGTGGTATCGAGTCTCGGTGAATTTGATATGGTACATAACTCAGGTTTCTTTAATTTTTTTGGAGACTCTGTAGTTAATTTCATTCTACTCCGTAGTGGTTTTACAATTCGTCATGTTCCTGAGGACCACCGTCATCAGTATCGGCCACAATGGTCTTAGCGGCGTCAACTGCTTCGCTGACAGCGCTCTTGACGGCTTCCTTCACACCAGAACCAGCTTCTTCGGCGACAGTCGTTGCTGCCGGAGCAGCCTTGGCCATCGTGTCGCTGGCGGCAGACGAAACACCTTCCATCGCATCCTCGTCGTCGCTCTTGGCGGCCAGTCCGTCAACGCCGTGCTTTCCGCTATCGCGGATGAAAGCTGCAAGGTCCTCAAGGGTTCGCGATCCAGAATAGTCGACTGGGGAGTCCTTGGCACCAGCTGGGTAGAGCTTGATGGTGGGGAAGCCGGCAATCTCATCGGGCACATCGTTCTGAGTAGCATCGATCTTGGCGACAGTGACCTTGGAAGAAAGATCGGAAGAAGAATACAGCTCGGCCAACTTCTCGTAGGTAGGAGCCAGACTAGATGGACATTGGTCAGTACAATGCATTTTCGAGGGGTTCAGGGGGGCGGAAGTCTTACGCTTTGCAGTGTCCACACCATGGGGCATAGAATTCAACGAGAACGTCCTTGGAGTCGTCCAGAACGATATCCTTGTAGGTGTGAGCGACCACAACCTGGACCGGACCTTCTTGCTTGTCGGGGATTGGCTCGGACTTGATGCTGGGTTCAATCTTGCCGTTGACAAAGTCCTTGACGAATGCACCAATCTTCTTCTCGGTAAGAGAGGTGCCTTCGAAGGGGTATTTTTCATTCTTCACAGTCTCCTGGATCGCGAAGGATGGGAACTTGTCGGTGGGCAGGTTGAGGTTGCCAGCGTGGGCGCCGAAAGCCTTCGCGTCGATGGTTGCAAAGTTGATCTTGCCCTTGTATTTCTCGGCCACTGGTCTCAGGGTTTCGGCCAGGGAAGTACGTTCTTCAGGAGTTTCGGCGAAGATGTAGGCGAGAGGGATACCGGCCTGTTGCATGAATTAGTCTCGTAGCTGGATATCCGGGTGTGTCACACTTACTGCCATGTAGCCAGCATATGTTTCTGGGCCAACCTCACCGACCAAGGGTGTCGATGCAGTCTTGATGAATTTGGTGATGGCCTCCTCTTCAAAAGTCTCACTAAAGGTATTCTTTCCTTCGTCAAAGTCCTTGTACAGGACTACTGCTGGTTGCTTGACACCCTCGGCCTTCGCGACGGCAGCGTCGTTGACGGCGCCAAAGATGTATTCGTCTCTCAGAGACTCGGCGAGTGCGGTATAGGTTTGGTTTGACGTTTTGTCGTCAGCGGAAATGTAAGCTACCACAACGACCTTGTCGGTGGTCTTGAACTCCTCGAGTGTGTCAGAGGTGAGAAGAGATACCGCGGGTAGTTGCTGCTTGGTCATGTATGAGACGATTCTGCCAGCCTTGTTAAACCTTCCGAGGTGGCCTTATGCATTCTGTAAGGCTCTACTTACGCAGGGGCTTTCCTCGCGCCGGGGTATGGCTTGATGTTTTCAAGGCCGCGGAAGACTTTGACAGTAGGATAGCCTTCAACGCCATAGTCCTTGCACAGCTCTCCTTCGGCAGTGCAGTCAACCTTGACCAAAGGAATGTTCTTCTCTTTCAGTGTTGTGGCGGCCTCCTCGTATTCTGGGGCGAGGGCCTTGCAATGGCCACACCAAGGGGCAAAGAACTCTGCGAGAACTAGATCGTGCTCGGAGACAAAGTCTTTGAAGTTGTCGGTCTTGAGGTCGTGAACGTCGCTTGCTGATACAAGCCTAGCGAGGGCAAGGCTGGCCGCAGCCAGGGAAGCGAAGGTGCGCATTATGATGGATCAAAATTAGTGACGGGGTATGAATGCGCAGGGAAAGGAAAGAGAATAGAGAAGGTGTTGCAAAAAAGAAGATGAGCAGTTTGAAGGACAGATAATGCGTCGCCTCAGGGGATTTTTATGGTGAGCAGACTCGGGCCTCTCAGCGACAATACAATGCGGCAACCAGTGAAGCAAAGATCCGCGAGCAGTGAACAATGAGGAGAGGTGTCAACTACTCGTACAGTACGCGCCCTGGTTACCGATCACCAATTACTCCATACTGTACAGGACTCCATAGGCACTAGTCTCCCCCCTAAATGCTTTACGCAAAGTGACAACGGCCCCTGAAACGCCAAACCAGGTACGCGCATGAGGGGCTGGACATCTACAGAAAACGTACGGATATTCTTTGATGTGTACGGATACTGTTGATATACACAGATTAGTAGACCATTGAGGGCAGCAAAGCAATCGTGTCAAAGTCCACCTCGTCATTATCTCAAGGTCAGCATCTAGCCACCTCTCACCCTAAAAGGCAGGACTGAAGAGGCACAGCACCCTCAAAATGTCCATTCGAGAGCCCTTTGACCGACCGAGGATGTATTTCTAAGCAAATGATGACTATTCACTCCCTATAACTTAGCCACAATAATCACAACTGATCTTACTGATCTCAGTCCTCCTCTTCTGATAATACAATAGTCGGTACTGCAGTATATCTGGCACGTTCGGCCTGGCCCTTTCGATGCCCTTCCAGCTCCAGTGCCATCTGATATGCATCGGCCTTGCCACGGTCGACGTCGACCAGTAACATCAGGGGAAGTGGGAGGAAGATGAGCACGGCCAAAAACACGAATGCAGGTCGAATCTCGCCGTATCGATCCGTAATAGCTCCGACAATAGCTGGTCCAAAAATGCTCGATCCTTTGTCGGTAATAGCATAGAGGGCATAAAATGCTGCTTCGAACCCAGGCGGAATCAATTCCCCAAAAAATGCGCGACAGTAAGATGACAACCCTCCAAGCACAAAACCATATATTGCACCAAGAGGGTACATCTCCCATGGCTGTTGAAGTCCGAAGACACCATACCTCTTGACCGCAGGGATGAAGCCCAATAGGCCGTATAATGGTATGATCTCAAACAAACAGATACATGCCACGATTGTTCGTGATGCGCGCAGATTGAAGATGCGTGAAAGGAAACTCCAGTAAAATGCTCCGAGTACACCAGCGATAGTTGCAATCACATTAATCAAGCCCAGGGCCTCGGTTTTCATGCCCAGACTTGTTTTCGCAAACAACACAGCAGTTCTGCATTATGGTCAGTGTGTCGCCATGAAAAGGTAGCATGGTCACTTACCCGCTCACGGTGGCAATGCTATCACTGAGCAGAAACCACGCACAAAGAAAAATCACTATGTCTTTGAGTTTCCTAGCATGGCCGATTGTCTTAAAAAGTGCTTTCCAGGCATATGTGACATATCCAATCCAAGCGTAACGACCCTTCATTTCATCTGGCAGTGGAGGTCCAGGTCGAGGCCGTAGCCATATAGCTGCCGGTATACTGAAAGCAAACCACCAAAGCCCGACCACCATCAGAACCAGGCGTAACGAGAACGTGGTAGATCCGGTGGCAACGACAATCAGGATCGAAACAGTCTGTACAAATAATCCCGCGATATAGCCAATGCCAATGCCATTCGAAGATATTCTTGTAGAGAGCTTGAGCTCAGGAGAAATAGCTGCGGGTGATTCCTCAGCAGGCGGCGCGTTGTCAGGTCGATTTTGTGGCAACAAAGCAGATGTCGAGTTGCGGTCTTCATCTTCGTGGTAGTCATTATCGTCCTCTGGTAACCTATCCTGCCTTGCTTCGCGGGCGATGGAGGGATGGTGGCGCACCAAGAGTGGCAAGAAGGAATTGAGCAACACAAAAGATGCGCCAAAGCACGTGTTTGCTATAATGGCAAACAAGGCCCCCAAAAGGTATACGCTGGGTACGACGCCGATGAACAAGGAGGTTGCTATGGCTCCAGTGAAGGCAAAGGCCAGCAGAAACGTCTTTCTAAACCGACCATGGTCGGCAGCGGCTGACATGCTGATGATCAGCAGTGCCTGGATCAGGACACTGAACGAGAATGTGTACATGGCGAAGCTTGCAGTATTGATCTCGATCCCGAGGAAGTAGATCACACAAGCTGGCAACTCGTTGTGCCGGTGCTTAGGCTCGTCGAAGATAGTGGCATTGGGTGTCGTGCCATGGTCCGTCTGCCAGCCTGCGCGACATGGTGTTGTCTTGTCTTTTAAAAGCACGCCTTGGTCCCTGGCGAGTTGCTCAAGGGTTATGGGAAGAAAGGATCCTATTTAGCAGAATCAGCGTCTTCCGCTCTTTCTTTCTTATCATCGGCTATCACACTTACCCATGGCGCAGATTGCAAACACCTCCGCCGCCCAGCCATAGGAGTACCATCCCCATAGCTCTTTCTCGCTCGTCGGTCGGGTATCCTCATCAGCATATCTCCTCTCGTCTTCCATGTCTGCTAAATCGTCCATCTCGGAATCCGGAACCCCCCAAGAGGAGTCCTCGTCATCGGCTTCGTCGGACGGTGAAGGGGATGCTATACTCGCTCTGTAGTGCGAGTTCTCAAGGAGTAACAAGGGGCGCGTAGAGGATCCTGACTCTTCATGCCTGGGGACCTATGCAATTGGGAGTGTTAGAGGAGATCTGGGAGAAGCTCTTCGAGATCAGGATGTACAATGCATGATCAACAGATGCTGGGTGTTATATGCGAAGTGCGCGGAGGAGTGCCAGTGTTGCGCATGACGATTGGCGGGCTCTGACCATTGTGTTTGGACCCCCAAAGTCCTTCCCTTAATAGTGACACGCCTGCCACCGCCTGGTGCTTACTGCAGGGTCTTCAACCAATCCATGTCAGCGTTGTCACAGAGGAACTCCATATATGTCAATAGTGAAAATAGCTAGACATGTCCTTGGTTCGGAGTACGAGAGTAATCGAATAAACAAACAATTCGCGCTCAACCAGGCTCCATAGATGATAATGGGATGGAGTACAGATAGATAGCTTAGTCACCCTTTGGGCTACTCACTGACGGTACCAACAAGGTCATGTTTAACCAGGAAAACGGCAATGAAACAGAGTGCTCAAAGTGTGGATTTTCATGTCCGTTTTAACTCAATTTAATGACAATCATAGAGGAACTCTGCCACCTGTGGCGAGTATATGAAAACGTTCACTCCCTATTGTTGAGGGCATACGGACTATTCAGTACTTCGTATCAGTACGACTACGAGTACGGAGGATGAGAACCGTATGCCTGCACTAATACGGATATTTGGCCTGCCGCTTTTGGTGGTTCGTCTGGCTCTTCGCCTGCATCTTCCCGTCTTGCCTTGTGCCTCGTCTCCTCCTCCACTCAACCCTCCCAAAACACGTTTCTCGCCGCTCTTGACCTTTGACCTGATCGAGCTGACACTTGTCGCAGTCCAATTGCTGTGCGGTCCAAGCGAGAGCCTCAAAGCAAACCCTGGTTTGGTCTATTTGCTGGTGCCTCTTGCTTTGACCAGCCGACTTTCCGCGCGTTGTCATTCATCACCCGCAATCAAACCCTTCGCAATTCACACCACCACAAATACCAAACAACCACCACTTCATCCTCTACTACGGCTTCGCTCACATACTTCAACGTCTAGATCTGCTTGCCATCCGACTCGAAGCATCTGAAGATTTCCTTTACTCCACAGAAAAGCAACTCATATTGATCTCCGCAAATTTATCCAGCGGCACTGCCGCAGCCTTCGATCCTCCTCCCTTCTTCGCTGTTGGCCTTCCTATTGTTCTACGCCACCACTCGACTCCTCATACCCCTCGGTCCCACCGCTCCTGTTTCGACATCTTGTGAACGAAAAGAGAGATCCTGACACCCTCCACCCTACTATTCCTCTAACCTCTACCAACAAGTTGGTTTGTTAGACAAAAGTCGTACGGAGGTTTTGAGTTGGACTTCACTGGTCGGCCACACGAGCGCGCTTCAAAGTGTGCCGGCCATGCAGCATCTGATGGTATATTTCGCGTCAATATGAACGGGGATAGGCCCATGGTCAATGGCGAGCGCATTCCTAATGGCGTTCAACACTCCCTCGCGAGTTCAACCTCGGATATAGGGCTGCTCAAGGAAGCGCAAAACCTCAAGTCTATTTCTGCCTCAACCAACGAAGATTCGAAACTTCCAGTCAATGGCCAGCATGTCGCAGGTCCAATTTCCGGCGCTGATCCGCTGCGGGATGTCGCGAATGGCCTCGAGCAAGCGTCTCAGGAAATCCTACAACTGGTACCCAAGGACAGTTATCTGCCGATGGCGGCGCTGATCAGTCGAACTTCTCAAATGTGTTGGAATGGCTTGTCCAATCTTGTAGGACAGCTGGCCGAGATTCAAGTCCCCCAACTTCCTCCAGAACAGACCAAGACTTTTGCAAACAACCTCCCGAATAATCAGACAAAAGCAAACCTGGACAAGAAGGATCGGCTGTTGAAATTTGCCAATGAGCAGAAGGCGGATTTCATAAAATTGTTGGTGCTCCTAGACTGGAGCAAACATGTGGACCAAGTCAGCAAGACCATTTCGATCAACTTCTGGTTGATGCGTCGCCGCCAGGCATATTGGAACGCCATTTCGTCTTTAGCATTGCTCAAGCAAGATTCTGCCGGATTCCAAGTTCCTAACCCTGATCTCAAGGTAGCCGCAGAGGTTCTTTCGAAGGGAAAGGTCGCCCAATTTCCCACATTGGGATACATATCGCAAAAAGACCTTTCAACCAAGCAGATTGTCCGATTTCTGAGAAACTTGGACCACGCACTGAGTGTAAAGCTTTCGCTGGCCACCAATCTCCCGTCCCAACTTCGTCGCTTTCGAGTTCACGATGGCCGTGCCACTTTCACGGTCTCGAACGAATTTGAACTTGATGTTTCAATACTAAGCGAGGCTGAGGATGCGCAGTTTCGCATGGTGGATTTTCGGTTTGCCTTCTCGCCGGCGCCCGCCGTCAATGATGCTTTACACTCGGAGATTGAGCGGCTTGCGAACTCCAATATCGACCGAGATGGACTCAATGGTTGTTACCTCTTTCTCCACGAGCTGACTTTATCCTACAAACTGGCCGAATATCACAGACAAGCACTGGAGTTGTCTCGAGGTCAGTGGGCCGGGAATCTACGTGTGGAAATGATTCGTAGAAATCTTGTCATACAATACTGGACGGAGAGACAGTCGACCAAGAGCTGGATTGAATTCGGTATCTCAAGCGGGACAGACGTCGGACACACGCCCGGAAAAGATCCAGTTCCGAGTCTCGAGGTTAAATGGATGCGCAACGGCAAAAAAGTTGATTCTTTGCAATTGTGGTTAGATGATTCCAGACTCTCGTTCGAGGATATACTTCGTCAAGTCATCGCGCAGCATTCCACACAGCTACTCGACAGCATCTACGACAAATTGATCCTTGCACCTCTTTTTGGTGACGGCGAATTAGCCTTGCAACAGGATGCATCCGAAGATGACCCTGACGAGTGTTCTTTGACGATGCAGTTATCTCAGAAATCACAGCTCTCAATCAAGGTCGATGCTGTAAGCGGGAATCTGGTGGTGAGCCCTGTTAGCGAACGGAGTGAACGATTGCAGTATGAGATCAATCGCGTCTACAACGTGGCGGACGAAGTCGTGTCAAAACTACTAAACTTCAGATGCAGCGTCATGGAGGCTGCCATTCTTGCTGCTATTGCAGGTACAAGCTGGGAATCATTACCTGCTTTCAGGCTCACGCAGGCTGAAATAAAGACACTATTCGGACCTTCTATTATCCGAATCAACCTTGTGCGGCAGGTTCAATGGGGTCTAGGATTTTTCCTAGTGGTAACTCATGGACAGAATGGCGATAAGTGGTGGTTGTTGCAGCGGACTTCCACCACGAATACGATTTCACAGGCTCAATTCCAAATTCTGAGCAGTCAGAAAATCGAAGTCGAGGAACGGTTGTGTCCAGCATATTTCGAAAGACTTGCAGAATATGCGACTGGAGTTATCTGCTTGCAGCGCAACGTCGACTTCTTGCGAGATGCAAAGACGAAGTTTGACCTACCCCCATTCCCGATCTTCGAGCAGAACTTTGCACTCCCTGAGTTGACCTTTGAACTCGACATGTCAAAACCGACATTTGCAGACCAGTTACATGCTTTGCAAGACTCCATTCCACCGGCCGCTGTAGCTGTGGCCTCGCCTACATCTCCCAAACGTATCAGACTGCGCTTTGGAGGAGTTGATCGAGCAACGGATCGTGTTTTGACCATTGCCAGAATTCGAGATGGTGCAAGCAAGCGTATCCTACATCGCTTGGACAAGTCCATGCTAGGAGATAATGTCGACCTTGACTCAAAAAGTGGAACTTTGACCATTCGGGTACAAAACTCAACATCTGAAGCAGCAGTTCCCGCCATCGTTGACAAAGCCATGAACTTGGAGAAGAGTCTGGCAATTATGGAACAAGTTTATCGCCTTCCTGCGCTCAAGTTAAAGGCAATCTCGAATTCCTCTTTTACTATCTCCTACCATCATGACGGGCCAACAGAACTTGGTGTGACAATCACAGTTGGTCCCGCATCACCGATACCTCAACTCGAATTCTACCCCCCTGACACCAACCCACATGTACATCTCGCCCCGTACTATCCCAAACTCTTTCAGTCGTCACGAGTACCTTTCTCGACGAAGGTCGGTAATTTCATGACTTCGTTGATATTGACCTACCCTATGGTAGAATACCTACAGGGTCTGCAAAAAAGGCACGGACTGGACGCTCAAAATCCTCAACCAAGATCAGGAAATCCCGAGTCAGACATTCGAGTGCATGTCCTTGTCAGAGGTGTAGCCGCATGGGCAGTCCAGTATTTCACCACACGAGCACGAGCTCCGGCAGATGTCGGGACACAATCACAACCACATCTACTGGCCCGGTTGGAAATCGTACAACACATCAGCACTTCCGACAAACCGATGTGGCTAGTAAGAGCTGCACTCGAAGATTTCCAGTCCTATTCGAGACCATCATATGTTACCCCAGCTCTACGCATCAAACTGCGCCAGGAGATTTTTGCACGATCCGATAATAAATCGAGTTGGCTTGCACTTGACAATGCTGCAGCATGTGTGGCAGATAAGCCTGAACCTCTTCTCTCCTCGATTCATGATGTAATGTGTGCATGGGTCAAACAGCCTCCAGAACCGATCGCAACCCCTGGCCAAAGCACCCAGGCAAGAAAACAGTCCGCCGCAGGACAAGATAATGTTCCAAATGGCACATCCCGACCCAAAGCGGCTGGTAAGCAACAGACGGGTGGGAATGGGATCCCGAACGGGCCGATGAAACAACGACCCTCGATTTCCAATTCGATTAGAGGTGGAAAGGGATCTTCAGGCATATCCAAAAATTCCGAGGTCATCACGCTGGATTGATTCAGCTAGCTTCATGTATAACGGACGAGGCGTTGTTTTTCCTTTTTATGATTTGAGCTCAACGTGCAGGTCGTGGATTTACGCGCAAAAAATACCCCTTTGTGGAATGGGTTTTAATGGCATAAATGGGGGGCTGGGTAATTGAATCGAAATGCCTATGGAGTATTTGAATTCGCAGGTGGCATTACGACCATGTCTCTATGTATGTCTTGAATGAATAGAAGGCTTTTCGTATCCTTTGAAAAGCCACGAATGAGCTAGATATCGCTCCAATTAGCATTGTTATGAGCAACCTTCTTGTATTCTATTTCTCAAGACACTCGTGACATGGACAAGACTGCGCAGTTGACTTTCTCTAATACATTTCTAAAAAGGACCAAATCGGATCTTGTGTATTTTTGATTTGCCAAACAACTTCGTGGCCTCTTTTGTTTGAGCTTTGCCAACCTATGCAGTACGTAGGTACAGATCGGGATACCCAAGACTGCATGCTTCGACAGATCTACGTAGCGACACGGTTGCTTCTGTGTCTCAACACAGGGCGATGTCCCTCTCTATACCTGGATTGCTACTGAAACAATGCTGTCGTCCATATTCAATGGCACTAGTCCCAATTAGGTAGGCAGTGCTCAGCGGGTGAAAGACTGGTGCACGCCGTCATCGAGTCAGAGAGGACAGAGAGCCATTAGAAAACTAAAACAATACCCTTTGCTTGATTTCAGCTGGGTCCTCGGCCTTGATGTTGGGCTCCCGCCAAAGGCTCAGTATTCTCTGCACCATGTATGGAGTACTTTCGAAGAATACCACTGGACGCTATACAATGGGGGCGGCTTCTTGTGGGGCGGCTTCTCAAGGGGCGGCTGCCTCCACCCTCCTCCACCAGCGAATCGAAGCGTTGAATGTAGAGGTATAACTTGGGCTGATCTGTTAATGGGCACATTCCTTTGTAGAATCAGACTCCGTGTCCTGCGATATCCTTTACCTTTTGTTTTCCTTGTTATCTCGTTGCTGTTAAAAGACCCTCAGAGAGTCACGAAATCTCCAAAATCTCGAGAGCCAACAGTTCAGGAACAGAGAATGATTTCTTTCAGTAAAACAGTTCTGCTGGTCATATGTATTTTTATGATCATCCGTCTGCTGAGGACGGGAAGGCGACCGAAAGATTACCCTCCTGGTCCACCGACGCTGCCCATGATTGGAAACGTGCATCAGGTATGAATGACTCTGACGCGCTGGACTCCACGCCTCGTGTACCGAGTACTCTGCTGATTGTTGTGCCGGGAACCTCGTTAGATGCCGACGAAAGATGCACATCTCCAGTTCGAGAAGTGGGCGCGAGAGTATGGTCCAATATACAGTCTCATCCTTGGATCCAAAACCCTGGTTGTGCTTTCTGGCGACAAAGCTGTAAAGGATCTCCTCGACAAGAGAAGCGGCAGGTACTCTCACCGGCAGGAGATGTACATCGGACAGACGCTTTGTAGTGATAACATGAGGATGCTCATGATGGTGCGAAGTTCAGCAGTGGTGAACACCCAACACTGTGATGATTACTGATTATTTTCTTCAGGGTTACACACCACAGTGGCGCAATGTACGTTCGTTCACATCTCGCCGGACCAAAGACCTGTACGATACTGGTCATTGGCGGCAACCTACCAATGTACCTAAGTTGACTTACAGTTACGAAACATTATAGCTTCGCAAAATGGTCCACACCGTCCTCAACGTCACCATTTCCAAGAGATACGTCCCGTATCAAATGCTTGAGAACAAACAAATGTTGTATCAGATGCTGGTTCAGCCGGAAAGGTTTTTGGAAAACATTCGCAGATACTCAAATGCCTTGACGACCTCTCTGGTTTTCGGTTGGCGGACGCACAGCTACGACGACGAGAAAATGAAGCAGTTGTTCGACGGCTTCACCGAATTCGCAAAATTAAACCAGACCGGGACGGCCGCACTGATAGATTTTTTCCCCTGGCTGCGAATGTTGCCAGACTTCGCCCTCCCGACACAAAAGTTTGCCAAGGATATTCACAAGAAAGAGAAGGCTCTTTACCTCGACCATTGGCTACACGCTAAAGACGAAATCAAGAAGAAAACCATCAAGCCTTGCTTTTGCCAGCAGCTCGCCAAGGCCCAAAACGATGAAGGGTTCAGTGACGAACAGGCGGCCTACATTAGCGGGACGCTCCTCGAGGCCGGATCGGATACGACGTCGAGCACACTGTACGCCTTTGTTCAAGCGATGCTGCTGTTTCCGGAGGCCCAGAGAAAGGCGCAAGAGGAGATCGACCGGGTCATTGGGAACCACCAGATGCCGACCATGGATCATGCCTCGGGTCTGCCATATATCCGGTCGTGCATCAAGGAGACGCTCCGCTGGATGCCGACGACGATTCTGGGTGCCGTGCCGCACGCCGTCACCCAAGACGATTGGTACGAAGGGTATCTCATACCCAAGGACGCCGGTGTCATGAACAACGTGTGGGCCATCAACATGGACCCGAAGCGCCACCCTGACCCGCGCGTCTTCAACCCGGACAGGTACAAACATGACAATCAGTGGTTGGCGGATGCGGCGTCGAACCCCGAAGCCAGCGCCCGCGATCAGTTCACGTTCGGAGCCGGTCGTCGCATCTGCCCGGGGATCCACGTGGCGGAGCGAAGTCTCTTCCTCGGCGTGGCACGTTTCTTGTGGGCTTTCAAAGTCGAGCCGGCACTCGATCGCGACAACAACCCGATCTTCCCGGACCCAGATAGACTGACGCAGGGGTTCGTCTGCATGCCAGAGGAGTTTCGCTGTAGCATCCGGCCAAGGTCGCAGCACAAGGCGGACCTGGTGGCCCGAGAATGGGAAGAAGCACAGCGCGAATGTTTAGACCCGGAGACGAAGCAGTGGCGAATTTCGCCTCTGGGCGGCTGAAATGGCTTGCATACAGCTGGGGCACTGGAGCGAAACATTGCAAATCAAGACAGAAGTAGCCTCCATGAAAAATTGGGGCCGATGCGGTACGTTTCTCAATAAACGATTGCATGTGGTTGAACAGTAAACTTTGTTCATCTCTTTTCGCTTTATTTTCAATTCACCATCAAACAATAGCCCATTGGTGCTGAGGCGATCGTTCCCGCAGTGCCACGAGGCGGGTCGATACGAATTCTCCTCACTATGATCGTATCTGTATCAAACTCATAACATTCTCCGAGCTTCTTCACCTGCTGCTCGTTCGATGATATACTCGAGGGCACAGACGGCATCAGAATAAGGGGGGCTGCTCGACAGGTCGTCCTCGTTGTTCATGATGTTGTCTCCCCGGGTACCACTAGAGTATGAGAGGATGAATCTTTTCAACAATGCCCGGGAATCTCGGGTACTGCCCAATGCACAGTCAAAAGCAGCCAGAATCAGTGCCGAGCTCGTGACACAATGATGTAATGTCCAAGGAGTCGTGACGGTCGTCGGGGACAGTTGCTTGAGCGCGATGAGCGCCCGAAGGACCTGCTGTAGATGTCCTCTCATGTCGTCGAGATGTAGTTGCCGCAGCGCCGGATCCACCGAGCCCGATAGTGAGCTGCAACAGAGCACTTCGGCCCGGAAACTGTCGACATAGATGGTGGCCATCAGCTGCTCTACTTTCATGTCAATGGCCCCGGCCTGTTGTGATCGTGTGAGGCGGCCGCGCGAAGCGGCCTCTTCCAGTGCAGCGACCTGCCTCAGAGTCCTGCTGACGATCTCGGGTTCAGCGTCGGCGGGGCTCTCATGTCGCATTCTCACCGTCTGCCAACTCTGTTTTAGCCGAAGAAGGTCGAGCGTGAACTCCCAAAAGGTCACCGGAGAAGTGTGGTGCTGCTGTTCGAGAGGCAGGTCAATGTCGCAATCCCCATTAGGCAAGAAAACAACTGGGATCCGACCAAAGGCGGAGGAGAATTCGTAGTCGAAGAACATTATCATTGACCTGGAATGAAGGGTGGTCAGGATACAGTACATCAGCAAAGGCGGTACTGCCTTTCCGAGGTCCACTTACCAGAGGGGGTGGATAGTTGTTGTCGCAGCCAGTTGACTACCGCGCCCTCCGACGTGCAATCCCAGAGACTGTGCTTGTTGACTGGTGGAAGCTTCACGCCCGTATTAGTGTCCACAGCAACATGATCATGGGACCAGCCTGGGGGGCACATTTACCGAGGACAGCCGAGGCCACACCAGGATTTGAGTCATTTGCAATGGTGAACAGGATCATTAGCGACGTCTGAATAGTTGCGAGAGTGGGTATCCCGTAGTGGTGCGCGAGTCGCAGGCATTCAAACGCCCCAGCCACTTGCAGCAGAGTCAGTCCAGATGAAAGATCAATGAATCATGATCGCGCTCGTGAGACGCGCCGCTGGTCAAAACGTACCGAAAACTCTGGCTTTCAGGACCCGATCTTGAGACTCGGGGCCGGAGAACTGACAACCGCACGCAAGCACCCCGAAGAGAAGGCCGTACCAAGCGGCATCATGAAAGGACCTTTCTTCAGATGCCAACTCAAGCGCAGACTCGATTCCCGAGTCTCCTATCTTTTCCATGAAGTCGCAAAGGCGGCGTTCAAAGCCCTCGGGGTCGAGTAAGAGAGGGTAGAATGTCTGAAGATTCTGTCGGAAACTACGATAATATCTGTTTGGCTCGTTAGTTGGCGAGTTCTTGGTCATGTCACCCTTGAGGCGTCTCCTGGGAAGGAAGTTTGACCTCATGCAACTTTCCACACCGGGAAGTGCTTTCAGGATCTCTGCCACCGAAGGATTCCCAGCGAAAGACCAAAGAGAACCAAATGGGTGCAACGTAGTGCGATTTGTGAGGCCAAAGACAGATTCGACCGTGAGTCCCTCTGGCAAGGACAAGGCGCCGTTGGGCACTTGCTCACCAAGGCATCGGAAAAGCGACGCCGATGATTTCCATCCCAGGAAGATGGTCTCACTCGTTAATTGCTCAGTGTGCCAGGTGTCCTTCAGGCCTGCCGCAACGGCGTCAAGGAACCAGATCAGCCGCGACGACGGCTCGCTGAGCTCATCCACCAAGGAACCTGGCCGCGCAGACTCATCCACAATAGTGACGTGCTTTGTCCTTGGAGACTGCAGCGGCACCGGCGTTGTTGCGGCAGCAGCATGAAATGGCGAGTCAGGCGTTGCTATGACGAAACGATGAGCCACTCTTCTCGACCTTTCTCTATCCAAATCATATTTGCATCAGATCGAGGTATCTTGCAAGGTCTCATCTGCCAGAAGGGCATGATCGTAACTCCCAACTTACCGCTCGGGCGTCAGACCTGTATCGTTGATCTGTAGTCCATTTTGATCCTCATATCGGCAGTATTGGGCACGGCCACGGATCTGGCAGGCTGAGCAGGGGGCTAATCGGTCACATCGGACCTTACGCTCTCGGCAGGAAACGCAGCTCAATGCTTGCCGAATTCGACTCTTCTTCCGTTTCTGCGCATTCATGGCCGCCAGACTTAGTCTTCGTTTCGTAACTGAAAATTGATTCGGGGCTAGAGAATTCAGCAGAATGATTTGGGAGGTATGTACTCCGCAGAGAGTGCCGATATAGCTTGAATGTGGGGCCGCGCTCGTAATCGTTCTTCGGGTTTAAAGGATCGAAAAGAGGAACAGTGTGGATGGGCTAGAAGGTGTCATCGCCTCCTCATTGGATCGTCACGATACTGCTTCGGACATATCAGCCCAGAAAGGACACAAAAGACGGAGTAAGCATATAAGCTTGAGTCATCGCGGCGAAGACGACGCACACAGGAGCGTTCCATCGTGAGATCTATACATTTTCCTGCTGCTGTAGCGACGCTGAGCATTACCGACACCTGCTGGTTGATCAATGATGCCATACCCGTAGGTCTTGCTATGGGATCTTTCCGGACGCCGCGCTGATGCGCTCGCCTCAGGAGTGGATTCTTGGTCCGACAGAAGGATTTTCCCCACCGTGTTGACCCCGGTGAGGCATTTGAAAGGGCTTGCACCAGGTATATATATTCTTGCTCTTGTTAGCGAATCGTAGGAGGCGGTCTTGGAAAGCCGAAGATACGAATCAAGGCCGCTATGTCACACCAGGAAAGCGAGCTCGAGGACCTCTCTGCGCGTACCATCACTAAGCAGACGAGCAATCCCCCTCCTGACGGCGGCTATGGCTGGGTATGCGTTGTCTGCACGTTTCTCATCAACGCACATACATGGGGGATCAACAGCGTAAGCATACCGTCGCATTGTCTCTCTTTGTTTTCGACAAAGACACAAAAAAGTCTGTGTTGCTAATGGCGCTTACTACATACCATACAGGCCTACGGCGTGATCCTCGCCCACTATCTCTCCTCCGACACTTTCCCCGGCACGACAGCTCTCGAATATGCATTCGTTGGCGGTCTGAGTATTTCTTGCTCCATGTTCGTCGCTCCCCTCGCCACATACCTGGGCCGAAAGATTGGCACCCGCTTCGTTCTCAACACCGGCACGATCCTCGAGGTTCTGTCCTTGATCACGACGTCGTTTGTTAAGACCGACTGGCAGCTTTTCCTTGCCCAGGGAGTCTGCTTCGGCCTCGGAATGGGCTTCTGTTTCAGCGGTTCCATCGGCATTATCTCGCATTGGTTCTTGCGAAAACGGAGCTTCGTCAATGGAATTGCCGCTGCTGGCTCTGGCACGGGTGGATTGATCTATTCGCTCGCTGTTGGGAAGATGATTCCGCAGCTGGGATATCCATGGGCAATGCGAATCCTCGGTATCCTGTGCTTCGTGGTCAACGGCATCTGCTGCAACTTACTACGATATCCGCCCGGGGATCATTCCTCGGTCACGGTCGCCAAATCGCCAGATTCAATACCGCGCCACTCTCCTTTCTTGACGTTAAAATTCTTAGCCTTCTTAGCCTGGGCCATCTTGAGTGTGCTGGGCTATGTGGGGTTGCTGTTTAGTCTCTCCAGCTACACGGTGGCTGTCGGCTTTACGCAGCAACAGGGCAGCATCGCGAGTGCGTTACTGAACCTGGGCCAAGCACTCGGTCGTCCCGCTGTCGGATTGCTGAGCGACCGCCTGGGCCGTACTGATGTCGCCTTGGTCTCGACATTTTTTGCTGGGCTTTTTTGCCTTGTGATTTGGGTCTTCGCCAAGTCGATTGGGGTGATCTTCTTCTTCGCCATCGTGGTCGGGCTGAATGCTGGGACGATCTGGGCGAGCGCTGCGCCGTTGGCCGCCGAGGTCGTGGGCCTGCGTGACCTCCATACGGCGTTGGCCATTCTGTGGTTTACCCTTGGAGCACCGACTGCCGTTGCGGAAGTGATAGCTGTGCAACTACGGGACAGCAAGACTGCAGAAAAGCCCTACTTGCGGGCCCAGGTGTTTGTTGGTTTCATGTACCTTGGAGCAGTAGCCTTTTTGATCGTGTCCAGGGCTTCTTTGTCAAAAGGAGGTTGCAGACAGCGAGAAACGGAAAGCAATGTCGATTGATGGGTCTTACCTTATGGACTGAGACGCTTGACCCGCTGTTTGGGGGCTTTTTTGGTAGAAAATTTGTCTAGACTGCATCGTCCAATTCTCGTATTCAGATGTATCCAAAGCATCATCAAGAGCTATCAGTCTCTCGGAGGTGGTTACCTCTTCTTATATTTAGGCAAATGCCGATGTGTGACAAGGCTCAAAAATGAATCCGCTTTCTCACTCCCCATGGGCAGAGGTTCTCTGACCAAGTGAATGGCAGTCTCTCAGAGCTCTGACATCGAGATGCAGTCCATCTGTATGCCCCAGATAGTTGCTTTGAGACGGACGGCCAACATAATCAATAAAACAAACCGACGAAATCTTTTGTCATGGTCCCTCAAAAGAGCAGTTCTCGCCGTTATGGTGCAAGTCTATCACTCTTCGCGCGCTCGAAGCCTCCTTCAGGATATTTTTGCCCTTTAGGTTAGGCTTCAATATTGTGTGCAGAACTATAGAATGACCTTAATTTCATGCATCTGTTATACTTGGTCACCTCGAGAGGATTGGTCCGAAACTACCGCTGTTAGAGAAGGCAAGGCTGACGAGGCTGAAGACCCTGCAATCAACGCGTCACGCGTCTTAATTTAAAGTCTGGGGTGCGCGTCTCAGGCTGCGGAGGGAAGTCAAACCATCAGCACTGAACTCCATTCAAGCACAGTGACGGGTGTTCCGTACGGTGTCATCATATCGATTTCATCTTATCGTCTTTCTTGTTCAGGACGTACATGCTCAAGTCTTTGTGGTTCAGCTCCAGGGTCCCACAGCCTCGCCACGGCACGACCGCAGTGTTTCATTTGTCCGAGTTTCGTGACCAGTACTACCGTCATCTCAGGATACACCACTCCCCCTTTCGCGTGCTACCGGTGCGTAACCTCGTGGCCGCCGCCGCGATGTCGCTCAAACGCAAAGATCCTCCGACGTCGACGGGCGACGGTGCAAAGAAGCAGCCTAAGACGAAAAATTCCGACCTCACCTCATTCTTTGGACCGCCCAAGACGAAGACGAGTAATAATAATGGTACCCTTGCCGGTGCGGCAGGAAGTGTGGCCGATTCCACACCTGTCTCAAAATTCGACAAGGACAAATGGGTTGCAGGGCTGGGCGAGGAACAGAGGCGGTTACTCAAGTTGGAAATTGACACGCTCGATCCCAGCTGGCTGGCGCAGTTGAAGGACGAAGTCACCAGTCGAGAGTTTCTGGATTTGAAGCGGTTCCTGCAAAAGGAGGTTGACTCGAAGACAAAAATCTACCCTCCCTTGGAGGACGTGTACAGCTGGTCCCGCCACTGCCCTCTCCACAAGGTCCGCGTGGTCATCCTCGGACAAGACCCTTACCACGGCCACAACCAGGCCCACGGTTTGTGTTTCTCGGTGCGTCCGCCGACCCCCGCGCCTCCGAGTCTGCGAAACATTTACACGGCCATCAAAAAAGATTACCCCGGGTTCAATCCCCCACCCAAAAACTCGGGCGGTCTGCTCACCCCTTGGGCGGATCAAGGGGTCTTGTTGCTCAACACGTGTCTGACCGTGAGGGCGGGCGACGCGAATTCGCACGCGAACCACGGGTGGGAGAAGTTCACGCAAAAGGTCATCGACACCGTGGTGAAGCTGAGGACCAGAGGGGTCGTGTTTCTTGCCTGGGGCAGTCCGGCGCAGAAACGGTGCGCCGGCATCACGGGGGCCCGGCACCTCGTTTTGAAGAGCGTGCATCCGAGTCCGCTCAGCGCGCACAGGGGGTTTTTTGACTGTGGTCACTTCAAAAAGGCCAATGACTGGCTCGAGAGTCGGTACGGGCCGGAAGGGGTGATTGATTGGAATCTCGACAAGAAGAGTGTGCCGATAAAGGGGCCGTCGAAAGATGTGCAGGAGCCGGTCAAGGTCACGGAAGATCAAGAACGAACCCTGAAAGAAGATGGGCCGGTGACGGAATTGGTCGAGAAGAGCACTAGTGTTGCCAATGGAGAGAAAGAAAAGGACAAGGACAAGGACGAGTTTGAGGTTGACGACGATGATGACGATGCCATTGCTGCATTGGAAGAGGTAGCGAGACTCGAAGCAGAAGCTGATGGGAAGGCCAAGGAAAAGGAATGATCATGTTCTTACGTAGCATGGGCTTTTGTGGTCTTGCTGGAAGGTGAAGTTTGAAGCCATACTGCAGCCCTTTCCAAATGTACGTCTGGGGACATGAGCTCAAACACAGCCAAAGCAGCTTTAAAACGGGAGGGGCCAGGACGATCAACTCCCATGAATCGATGCGGGTGTTGAGTGTGAGGAAAGGCAATGGACCATCTTTTCTTTCATCATAAAGGGGGGAACAAAATCCAAAAAGAAGAAATTTTCGTGGAAGGAATAATAACCACCATGTTGAAAACTCTGGACTCTCCTATCCGGCATCACAATCATCGTCGACACCTTCAACGCCCTTGTCACCATCGAGATGTGGATGTGACGGGGTCTCACATGTGGACAGAGACTGGTCAGTATCCTTCTCAACCGTCAGGAAAGTGTTCCACTCTTTTCTCTCCTTTTTTTTCTTGTCTCTTTCTTGGGCTTCGGATGGTGAGATGGTTTTGGACATGGCCTGAATGGAATGGGAGGGAATGGACAGAATACCTTGTAACAGTAGCCGGGAAAAAAAATTCAAACCACTTCAGGTCACAATTCAACGGAATCGTATAGACTAGGAAATCTTTGGGCAAAAGGTAACGTCTTGCCTCGTTCATTTTGTTAATCATACTGTTCCTGTCTGTGTACCTGGCGACTTGGTTCCATTGAATAACCTGACCTGACCGGGACGTATCGCGACCCTTCACCAATTTCATCCACTCCGTCAAGGAAAAGCGACGAAAAAGTCCTCCCCACCCCCCCCCTTTGGTCCCATGGGCTTGTAATGCTGTCCCAACCCTTGCTGACGTCTCTGCCAAACACCCTTAAGAAAGTAGCAAGTTGAGCAAGTCTACTTAATACTTGTACAATCCCTCCAATAGACCTTTGATCTGAAGAGCCAGGACCTTGGAATAATATCTACACAGAGCAAGATTTCCACCCATGAACCAGAACCCTGTTTGTTTTCAAGTGTCAGTTGATGAGCTGAATTAAAAATGAAAAAGAGGCAACAAGCAGCAAGAAAAAACATACCTGGGTGTCCTGATTTTCTCCAGATTGTCCTCATTTCACCTTCGGAATCTACAATAATCATCACACACACCATGGATCAGTGCTGTACGACAAAAGAGTTTGATACGAAGAAACAAGAAAAATACTCACCATAACCCCAAATATCACCGACTCGGTCCGCAAGTTCATCACCAAAGATTTCTCTTGCTTGTGTTCGCATGTTTGCTATACGAAAGAAAATACACCGATCAGTAACCAGGCACAAGATCAACAACAGACATGAAGGAATGACAAAACTCACAATAACCAGTTGCAAAGATGATCTCATCCGCTTCAAGCTCACTTCCATCCGCGAATCGCAATCCACGAGCCAAAACCTCTTCGATTTCTTGACCCTGCTTGACCTTGATCTTACCGTCGATGATGAGTTGAGAACCACCGACGTCGATGTAATACCCTCCGCCGCGTTGGAAGTACTTCATAAACAATCCCGCATCTTCGGGGCCACGGTCCAATTTGAACCCAGCCTTGGTGAGACCGTCCAAGGTCTTCTTGTCGAATTCGGCCTGTGCGGCCGTGACGTTGACTTGCAACGCTTTGAGGACTTCGCTTGGCAAACTGTGTAGCCACATGTCGGCATCGTCAACTGGTGGTCCGTCTTCGGAGTAAACGCCCTTCAAGCCGATTTCGGTAATGGCCTCGCTGGAAATGACACATGTTGTTGATCGTTGGACAAGTGTGACGTCGTACCCCTTTTCGTAGCTGTCATAGATTTCAGCACCTAAAAAAACAACAGAAGTTTTGGGCAGGAGGAAAAAAAGACTTACAAATCTTGGGCGATGTCGTGGCCGGAATTGCATGATCCCACCACTACGGCCTTTTTGCCCTTGCCTTCTATTCTGGCTCCTCTGAACTCGGAAGAATGACAGAGTACATCGCCTTTGAAATCGGAGAGGCCTTTGATGTGGGAGGGAAAGTTCTTCTTTCCTGAATGTCCTGTGGCTTGAATGACGTGCTTTGGATGAAGTGTGCGAGCCTCGGTGGTTCCGTCAGCCTTGGTCCGCTTGACTTTGACGGTCCATTCTTTCTTGCTTTCGTCCCAAGAAGTCGACTCGAGAGTGGTCTGGACCCAGACATTCAACTCAAGGAGCTTTGCGTATGAATCGAACCATTCCGCCAATTTGTCCTTGGGAGCTTGATCACTGTCAGGTATTTCCAACAATCACGAGTCAATAACAACTTACTGAAGATCGGCCAGTGAGGAGGAAAGTTCAAATACGGCATATGATCTAGACATGGTTAGAATGTTGAGTCTCGGAACATGGAGGAGAAGGCTAAAACATACCATACCAGACCGGATCATGCAGGACGAGCTGGTGATATCGTCGTCTCCAGTTGTCGCCAATGGCATCTTCTCGATCGACAATGAGAGTGTCGACGCCGAGCATCTGTAGTCGAGCTCCTACTGTCAAGCCAGCTTGCCCAGCTCCTGTGAAATGGTTAGAAAGGATAGCAACAATCGACAACTCCAACAGCTAGACATACCAACAATCAACACGGTTGGTTCCTTGCCTTCGAAATTAATCGCGGCAGTCCGTCTTTCCTGCCAATTCTTTCTGTCTGGCTTTCCACCATGCTCGACGCCCTTGGTCCTGCGATGGTAGATTGCTTGTTCATGACCCTTGATGTCGTTCAGGGTGGTGAAGAAGGTAAAGATCTTCCACTGACCATCTTGCTCGGACAGACGAGCCAGACCTCGGCCCTCACCGGCTTTGGAGGTAAAGGTAAAGAAGAATTGCACTCCTTCCACATCTCCTTTACCGTCGAATGGGGCGAAGTGAGGAGCTCGGTAGGGTGTACTGTTGTCGATTTTGATCTCAGTCAAAGGACAGCCATCGGCCAGGAATGCCAAAATTTTGTCACGGCCTTTCGAGGTGTGAAGCTCCCAAGAAACACCTAGATGATCTCGCCAATAGCCATCGGCCAAGAAAAGCTGGGCTATTGCTTTGGTGTCCTCATTTTTGAGAGCCGTGTTGAAGGATTCTACGATCTTAGTGGCAATCTCACTCGGATCTGCAACTTTGGTCTTGGCTGTTTTGGGCCACTTGCATAGTGGGATGTTGACGGAACCAGGCTCACATCGATCTTTGGAGATCGTGAGGCCGGGATTAGTCTGTGATTGGACCTTGACACTCATAGCTAACAAGATACTGGCGATGCTGGTGTATCAAAAAGATGGAAGCAATGAATGATGAAGAAATGACTGGTTTGGAGAGCTCTGTGACGAACAACAGCGTTATATCAGCACATTTAAGTGCTTGTCATTGCGGTTCGGCTCAGCGGGGATAGGCGGATACTCATTTGCTAGAAGCACATCATTCTTTCGGGATTCCCTAAATGAGAAGTCCTGAAAACTGAAGTGGCAACTGACGATGGTGGTGTCATGAGTAAGGAGAAGGAGGACCCCGCAGCTTGATACTAAGGGCTGGTGAGGCGCAGTGTGACGGGGTAGAAGTCCGGCACATGTTATTCATTGCAGCTGCTTGTGGTAGAGAAGAATTTCCTCAACTCCGTCTCCCCGACCGGATTCCCCCACGACCCCCGCGTTCGGACCGGCCACTTGCTGCTGCCGCCGGTGCGGCTCACGTTACCGACTAAGCCGTTTACATGAGACACGTCTCCAGTGGTGAGACACACTTTGATCCGGCGGTTGCACACAATGCATTCATGCTCCAGCATCGAGGGGCTATGCGGTTCAGGTCGACGGTAGTTCACCCACGTGCAGGACGATCCTTTCTGCATGGGAAATCATTCGTCATTGAGATGATACAGTCTGGACAGCAACTCGAAGTTTGCTGCCATGGTGGGACTCGTTTCCACCAGATCAGAAATGTACCTGAGCATCTTTGTACACCACAGCTCGTAACCTGGAGGGAGCGTCTCTCGCAACCGCTCCTCAGCCGAGTTTTTGAACGCATTAAAAATAAACAGCTGGCCAAATAATTGTCCCGCGCAAAAAAACTTTAGAGGCATAAAGTCTGGCATGGTACAAAGCCGATCCCATAGCAAAGCCCAGTCCATTGCAAATCTCAAGGTGCTCGAGCACATCTTCAAGTCATTTTCTGTAGCCGCAACAGGGTTCAGTAGTGCTTTGTAGAGAAAAGGGCGGCCCAGGTGAAACATTGAGATTCGATAGCGTGCTTGGAGCAAGGCTACGACTACAGCATCACTGGGACTGTCGAATACTGGTTCGGGGTCTTCATCTGCAAAACGCAAAGCTTCAGGCAGATTAGCACGCCACTGCTCCCTAGAAGATGTTAGTAATGTACGCGTGCAAGCTATGCATTGGTAGCAATATCTGAGCCGACGGGTCCGCAAACTACTTACAATTGATGCCTCAACTCCTCTGCCAATGCGGTTGAGGGGTTGCTGAAGTAGAGCTCTTCTCGAACGCGACTGAGAATGATTCTCACGGCAATCTGTGCAAGAAAGTGGTAATGGTAGTAAGAGTCGTCCGGATTCTGGGCGCCTGATTTGCTGATATAAGGATATGTGATGAATTTTGGCAAGGGGACAACATCTTCCCACTCCTTGAAGCCGCTCGATGGCAGCTCCAATTCTTGGACGATAACACTTTCAAGCATGAGGGCGCTCCAAAATAGCCGTGAGTGCATATCGGCGACCCATTCGTCCTGGGGATCCGGTGGACATTTCCAGAACGCTGCACAAATAACAAATGCCCGGCTTGTCATCATCCACTCGTCCACTGGCCGCATGACCTGCACAAAGTAAAGGGCTGAGGATAGGTAGAATTGACAGCTCTGAATGTCCCGCTCGCAGAGGCAGAATCCGACACGTTTACGAGCTTCGTTGAAGAAGCTCAGTCCTGGACAGTCTTCCTGCATAATTTGTTGAACCAGAGGTGTGATGTCAGCGTAGTGAGATGTATCGAACCCGCCTTCTCCGAAGGCCTTTAATCCCATGCAACCCAAGGCCATAACGTTTAGGACAAGACAAGACTCGACGTCAAAACCAAATCCCTCACGAACGACCACAGCAAGTGTGTTGAGAAAATAGTAGTCTCTATCGAGGAATGGATATACACGGTTGAAGGTATCGAAATAGGCATTAGAAAGGACTTTGACGCATGTCAGGCTCAGGGTGGACAACCACTCGCCGGTCGGAAATGTCGCAGCTGCTTGAATCGTGGGTTCCAGTGGCGGTCGATTAGATTCCAGATGAGTATGGAACGTTGGTTTCATATCGCAAATGGCCGTGGAAACGCTAAGGGCTAGAGAGGAGTGCACTCCAGGCCAATGTATCGTGCGATGAGCACTGAACGATAGTACGGTTCCGACAGCCGCTGACTGACTCAGAGGTCTGCTTATCTGAGTTTGAGGAGATGTCAATGGCGCATTGGAAAGTGCGGAATCAATATGATAAGGGCTCATTGTAGGGACGTGGTTGACTTCGTGTCGATGATTAGTCTGCGACGATGGACTCGGGGTATTCGTGGCTGAAAGGTGATCAATCTTCGACTCCATCCTCCGCAGAGTATTGAAGATCATGCTCATGGATGTTTCATTCCTACAAGTGACCTGGTAAGTAGGGTTTGGGAGAATATTGACTGAACCCAGGCATACTTGGTAGGTTTGCGCTCGACATAGGTACATTCAATGCCGAGATTTCGACAGAGGCTGCAAGGCATGTCCTCGTCACACCTTGTTTTCTTTGCTCTACAAGCCTCACATGCCTATGATGACAGTTAGCCTTGTGCTAGGAATGATTGCTCTGGTGTATCCGATCAGATCTATTCCATACCTGGCGAGCAATAAAGTTGCGCTGCCTTTTTGCGGGTCTCGAGTCATCGTGGGAGCTCTCCCGGTCTTGCAGGGAGGGCATCTCTTGATCGATCATTTGGGTCTAGTAATGCATGGAAATAACATGTATCAATCGAAAGAGACTCCAGGTACTCCGTACAGTTCGTGTCAACATGCGTCACGTAGTTTGATCATTCTTCAGCCGGATATTGGTGAAGTCTCCTGTACGAGTACGACGGAGGAAAACAATTCTCGCGTAGTTCAAGGATATTATCGGCCATCATCGGTAGGTTCGGCATACTTGCCTTCTAGGAATTTGCCCTAAGCCTTCTAGGTACGCCCAATGCCTAAAGCATCTCGCCAGTCTACTCAATTGCCTCAGCAGCAACTCATTCTGGGATGTCAATATATCTGACATAGCAGAGACGCTTATCAACTAGAATGGGTCGTGCGAATGCTGGCATGAATGCGGCAATGCTTCATTTACGTTAGTATCATCATCACATATCCTTTCGATCAAATGTTAGCAGGACATCACAGTATTCAAGTCGTTCTCGAGTCGACAAGGCATACAAAACAGGCAGGTCGCAACATCCCAGGCTTATCTCGACTTCCCATCGGCACGCGCGTTCCGAACAGGTTTCCGACCCTCTAGCCATGGTAATAAATCTATACACCGCGAGAACCGTTGTTGTATTGCAACGTTTCAGAACCGAGATGTCAAGGTACCATCAACGATATCGTGGGCGGTGAGTGTTGATGAATGCGGGGGTGAGCGATAGGCGTGAGTGACACCTAAAGGCACCCCTGGAGATGGCTGGTTCCCGGCTTACCCAGAGAAGCCTAGGGCACCTGTTCACGCCACACTCCAGCCTTGTTCCGGGGGCGTTCCAGGTATAAAACAATGAGGCTAGTAGCGCAGATCAGGCTGAATCTTGGCACATTTCAGACTTTCAGCCACATTGCGTACTATCGAAGCTCTGACCTGGAATGTCACGGTAGCACTTCTACAAGTCTCCCATTATCTCGCGAAAGGTGAGTTACATTGAGTATCGACACTCGACTATCGATGCTTGTTTGTCCATCCCCTCGATTCGGCGACATGTAGCTTAATTTCACCACGAGGTAGCACGGACTATCCTCCTCACAGCCTGGAAGATCGCAATGCTACTGAGCCCTTTGACGATAAAACCGGTGCAATGCCTCTTTTCTTCCGACTTCGAGCTGACGCTCTGTGCGTACTACTAATCAAGAAAGATGGGTCATCTCCGGGCCACCGCTGTTGTCCTTGGACTCAGCGTTCTCACCAATGTTGTTGATGCAGTCAAGGTCAATCCTCTGCCAGCACCACAATCAATTACATGGGGATCGTCTGGACCAATATCAGTCGGCGCAAACTTGACGTTGAATTCACAATGTGGAGAAATTGTCACTGATGCGTGGAGCCGATCCTGGAACACCATCAGCACCTTGAAATGGGTCCCAGCAGCAGTGGAAGCATCCATCGCCAAGTTCGAAGCCTTTCCTACCGAGACACCATCATCTTACAAGTCCAAACGGGCAAATTCTAGCCTCACTCAGGTTGAGGTCAACATAGCCAACTGCGATGCAGATTTGCAGCAAGGTGTTGATGAGTCGTACACTCTGGCAATTGGGCAGTCCTCGCCGTCGGTCAACATCACCTCAAAGACCGTGTGGGGAGCGCTCCATGCATTCACTACTCTTCAACAAATCATCATTTCAAATGGAAATGGAGGTCTCATGGTTGAGCAACCCGTCTCGATCACAGACCATCCCAACTACCCATATCGAGGCGCAATGATTGACACAGGCCGGAATTTCATCAGTCTGCCCAAGATTCGTGAACAGATCGACGGGTTGGCACTGTCAAAGATGAACGTGCTTCACTGGCACATGGCTGACGCGCAGTCTTGGCCCGTCCAGATGCAAGTGTACCCGAAAATGACTGAGGGAGCGTATTCTCCACAAGACACCTTCTCTCACAATGATATCCGTGGCCTTGTTTCCTACGCCCGGGCTCGCGGAGTTCGTATCATTCCCGAGATTGACATGCCCGGACATGCATCCCAAGGCTGGTCGTCGGTTGATCCGAGCATTGTGGCTTGCGCCGGGTCTTGGTGGTCGAATGGTAAGTCGCTGTTGGTGCCCATCGTGCAGAAGTTTTCTGATGATTTTCCACAGATGACTATGCTTTACATACCGCCCTGGAGCCTAACCCCGGACAACTCGACATCTTGAACAACAAGACTTATGAGGTCGTCAAGAATGTCTTTGGCGAACTTGCCGGCTTGTTTGGTGAGAGTATCTTCCACATTGGTGGTGACGAGCTCCAAACAGGCTGTTACAACTTTAGTACAGCCGTGCAACAATACTTTGCTCACAACAAATCCAGAACATACAATGATCTGGTCCAAATTTGGGTCGACAAAGCCATCCCCACGTTCAGATCAGCTGCGAATAAGACGTTGATGATGTGGGAGGACATTTTGAATGCAACGCCCCATGCTCACACTGTTCCGAAGAATATTATTCTCCAAACCTGGAATAATGGTCTAGAAAACATCCAGAATTTGACCGCCAGAGGGTACGACATTGTGGTGTCTTCATCCGACTTTTTCTACCTTGATTGTGGCTATGGAGGATGGGTTAGCAATGATCCCCGATACAACGAGATGGTAAACCCCAACGCTTCCGTCCCGACATTCAACTACCTTGGAAATGGAGGATCGTGGTGCGCACCTTACAAGACCTGGCAACGAATCTACGACTACGACTTTACCTTGAACTTGACAGCCCAGCAAAAAACCCACGTTCTCGGGACTGAAGTTCCCCTCTGGTCTGAACAGGTCGACGATACCGTTGTGTCGACCAAGATGTGGCCTCGGGCTGCTGCGATGGCTGAACTTGCGTGGTCAGGAAACAAAGATCCCAAGACTGGCATCAAACGGACGACGGAAATGACACAACGAATCTTGAACTTCCGGGAATACCTGGTGGCCAATGGGATACAAGCTGCACCGTTGATGCCCAAGTACTGTTTGCAGCATCCTCATGCATGCGACCTCTACTATAACCAGACGGCTCTGTCGGAGTACTCGACCGCTCAGTGATTCATGTTAGAGGAGCGATTTCAAGTAGTAGTAATAACATACACTTGGCACTGGCTGTACGCACGGCAGAGATTGATTAGGGGAAGAGAGAATAATTATACATTACTTTCACATGTGCACATACACGCAACTCAGTAGCCCACACGACCAAGAAACAATCGAAAGCCTGAAGAAAAGCGTGTGACGGAGTGTGAATAGTAGCGATATTTCAGTTCCGATCGCGGAGACGCAGAGTCGACGTTCCCGAGGTCTGTTTTCGAGACGCACGACATTTCTCCAACCACAGCAGTCCAAAGCACTAGTGATTGATTCCGAGACGAGGGACTTTGCGGGAAGAAACTGAGGGGGCATGGGGAGGTGTTTTTTGTGGAGATCCCCTGGACGGGAGGTGTGTATGGAGGAGGGTCGTCTCCAATGCAGTAGATATACGTTGCCATCACCACCTCCTCGGTGCTATATCATAAAACCCACAGCCCGACGATAGTGGTCTTGCGAGTAAAACAAATAGTGCGTAGAAACCTCACTCTTCAACCATGCCGACAACATCGACAACGACCAACGGCGCCAATGGCGCACACGACTCCCGATCCAACTCGATACCGCCGGTCACAAAGATCCTCGCCTCGTTCGTCGCCGACGCCGACCCCTCGACGTACCTCACCCCGCGCGTCCGCGACAGACTCAAAGAGTATATCCTCGACTTCATCGGGGTGACGCTCGCGGCAGGTTCGACGTCCGACTCGACGCCGTCGTTCCTGCAAGCCGTCACCGCGCTCGGAGGCCGGACGGGATCCTCGACGGTGCTGGGGCAAGGTAAACACTTCACGCCTCAGTACGCGGGGCTCCTCAACGCCGCCCTCGGCCACAGCCTCGACTTCGACGACACCTACGCCAAGGGCACGCTCCACGCGGGGGTGACGGCCATCGCCGCGGGTCTCACCCAGGCCGAAATCAACGGCGACGGCGGCAGCAGCATCGACGACCTTCTGGTCGCCGTGGCCGTCGGGTACGAAATCACCTGCCGGTTGGGTCGAGAGATGGGAAACGACGCCTACGCCCGAGGCTTCCACAACACGTCGACCTGCGGAGTCTTTGGAGCCGTCGCCACCATTTGCGTCCTCAAACACCTCCCCGTCCAAACCGTGCTGGACGCTTTCGGGCTCGCGGGGTCCAAGGCCGCCGGGTCCATGCAGTACCTCGCCAACGGGAGTTGGAACAAGCGCCTTCACCCGGGGTTCGCGGTCCACGACGCCTTCGTGGCCGTGGCCCTCGCCGAGGCCGGCGTGTTGGGGGCCGCCGACATTTTCGAGGGGACGTTTGGTTTCCTGCACGCCTACTCCCCCAAACCCGACAAGGACCTGGGGCACCTCACCTCCGAGCTGGGGGAACGGTGGGAGTTCCTCGACACTTCCCTGAAGCCTTTCCCCGCCTGTCGAATGACCCACGGTTTCATCGAACACGCCACCCGGTTGGGTAGGGAAAAGGGCCACACGAAGGCATCGGACTACAAGACGGTGACTCTCTCCCTGAGTCCCGCCAACGTCAGCGTCGTGGGGGCCCCGATCCCCAACAAGGTCCACCCGGCCAACATGGTCGACGCTCAGTTCTCGGCCTACTTCACCGCCGCCCACAGTTTCTTGTACGGGTCGGGCGCGGGCGTCCAGGCTTACGAACGACAAAAACTCGAGGACCCTCAGATTCGTGAATTGTCCGACAAGATCACCTGCGTGGGGGACGAGAGTATCCGAGAATTCGGATCCAGGATCGAAGTCGAGTACGCCGATGGAAGCAAGGAAGTGGTGGATATCCCCTACCCTCTAGGCGAGGTCCAACACCCTTTCACGAGGGACCAGGTGGACCAGAAATTTTTTAGTCTGGTGAACCCAGTGTTGGGAGAGAAGAGGGCTCTCCGAATAAGGGACGTGGTGAATGAGATCGAGAAACATAATGTACAGGAGATTTTGGGCCTGTTGTACTAAATATCCACTAAAATATACAAGTTTGGCAAGGTATTTTACATTGTACTCTTTCACTCACAAAGTCCATGCAAGTTGATTTCCCAGGCAGGTGAGTACTGTTACTATATACAACCAAGTCTGTAAATGGGCAACAGAATCTCAGTGATAGCCAGAAAGCTAATCTGACGTAGATATTATGGAACTTCGTCTTCTTTCCACTTCGTCCGCTCGAACTGGCGGTCCCTCATAGTTCTTTTTCCCCCAGACGAAGTACCACACGGCCGAAATGGTCACACCGCCGACGAACACCACCGAAGCATAATTCATACCTTCCAGCGTGACCGGGTTGAAGAAGGGGAAACTGAAAACCGGGATGATGAATAAAGTCCAGCCTAGAGGGAAGAAATGAGTCAGCCCAGCTGTAGATGAGAGGATGTGGAACAAGGTTCGGATATCACATTTGCGTGGGGCATTTGGGGCTTCGGGGGGGGGAGGGGGTCTTACATATTGTGATGACATTGCAGAATGCACCCAGCTTCCCAAAGTCCCAAGAGCCTTCTCTGAGGTGAGTGCGGCCGCCGAGGAGGGAAACGATGACGGGCATGACGTAAGAAATGGTCAAAAAGATGACTCCAGAGCCGCTGAAGGCATTGAAGGCCGCAGCAGACCCAAAGTAGATGAGACCCAACAAGATCTGTACGGACATGCTGAGCATCATGGCGTTGAAAGGCACGTCGAGTTTGGGGTTGATTCGTTTCCAGAGTCCAGACCCAGGCATGGCTCCGTCGCGGGAGAAGGCCCAGATGCAACGCGACGCGGCGGTGGTGCAGGCGGTGCCGCAGAAGATGGCGAGGACGATGATTGGAATCGTGAGCGCAAAGGCGCCGCCCTCATTGCCGATGGCCGAGCGAAGAATGAACGGCAGAGGTTGGGCGTAGGGGTCGTTGATGACATCGAGAAGGTCAGGCAGCACGAACATCAACGGCAGGAGAAAGATGATGCCGCAAAGCCAGTTCAGTCCCAGTGCCCAACACATGGCTTTGGGAACTTGCCTGCCAGGGTCGCGGACCTCCTCGGACATGCTAAATAACTGCTGTGAGCACACGCACAAAGACCGAGAGTTACGGGAAAGGCTTACGAGATGATCATGCCGGTGGCAGAGGTCGCATAGGCAGCGTGCAGGAGTCCGATGCAGAATGACCAGCCTGGGGTCCAACCGGTATTGGCTTGAAACTCGCCCAGGGCGAAACTACCGCTGTTTCTACCGTTTTTGGCGATGACAAGAACGCAGATCAGTATGGCAAAGACACCTCCAAATGTCCAGTAGATGGTCATTGTCTAGTTAATCGTTAGGTATATGATGGTAAGTCGCGTTGGGAGGAGAAGGACCGCTAAGGTCGATTGAAAGGAAGACAGATGCGCGGAGGTGAGGAAAGAAATCAGTATTCTTACATCCAGAAGCGGTAGCCACCGATTGCCCAGGGCGGATATGGCATTGCAAGTCAGGGTGATGGCGAGGAAGATCAGATAATACTGGTAGGTCTCTGCGGCAAAGATGCCTTCGCCATTGTCATCCTGGAAGATGTTGATACAACCCACGAAAAAAAGGGTGGTTCCGAAGTTGACAGAAAGAGTAATGATGATGTTGCCTAGGGTGTATGACCAGCCACAAATCCATGCGGTGATCTTGCGGTAATGCGGTGGGGAGAGCATGAATGTCTGATAGTAGACGCCTCCAGCTGTAGGGTAGACCGAGGTGATTTCACCCAGAGACACAGCCAGACAAAGGATAATGGCGCATACTCCGCACCAGCCCCAGATCACAGCGACGGGCCCGCCACCTGCGATAGGATATAAAAGTGTCGTAGCCAGACCATACGGGACAGATGCCAGCACAAAGGACATGAACGCAACCTGGAAGGTGCTTCGACTTCGAACCAGCTCGGCCTGGTAGCCTAGGATATTAAGGAGCTCGTCGGCTTGCTCCTCGCCTGGACCCGCGGCGACACTATGACGGTGCTCCTTGTTCTCGACAGCACCGTCGCCGCGAAGGACACCATTGTCGCGGTGGGCGAGTTCGTGTGTACGAACCATCTCGGACCGGAGTAACAATTGAATGAGCGGCAATCAAGGCTGGAAATCCGAGCACAGGGCACAGAATGGGTCTCGACAGGCAGATCTTGCCTCGGTCGATAAGTTTCGTTCAACTGCCTAGTCACGTCAGAGGTACAGAATATCCGGGGAAGAGAAAAGACAGAACCGAGAGGGTTAAGTAACCAAACCTGTGAGAAGAAATTTTTGAAGTGATCAGCACCACTGGGGGGCATGACGTTTTGCATCATGTCGAAGCTCAGAGGCTTAGCCAGCCCCAAGCAATCCATTGCTACCTCAGATGGAGACCAGAGACTTCAAGGTAACGACGGCCCAGATTTTGGTGTGATATAAAAAACCCACAACGCGTCCACTTGGGCAGATTTTGTCAAAGAAAAGAGCCCGAGCCAAGGTGACCAAGATATGCCAAGGCGCCAAGATACACGTGCCACACATATTACACGTACAGGCGAGAGCGGAGAAGCCCCGCTACCAAGGTACTAATAAACCGTGTTCTTCTTGTAATGTATGCCATCAGCTTATGTACCAGTTAGATAATCATGTTGGCGGACGATAGGACGAGAATTATACGGATTTGACACATTGGAACGTTTAAACGCCCTCGCTCGCACATTCCAACCGCCTTTTCCATCTTCATATCTGCGCGCAGGCCCTGGCGCTTCAGGCGTCATGGTCAATTGTCCAGTTTTCCCTTCTCCTCGTTGGTTCTGTCATGCATCAAAGTGGCCGCAATGCCGTCTGTCATCTTGTGGTCCACGTTTGCAACGAAAAAGTTCACAATGACGCCCAGGCCAGAGAACGCAATTGAGGCCAGCAATACCGTTCGAAATGCAGCCATACTAGCGAATTCGTATGATGTGATGCCGGCCAAGTCGATTGCAGGTGTCGCCCCAGGAACGTCGCCGAATCCCTTTCCCAAGGTTAATGCTGCAAGCCATGCAGGTACACTGGACAGCGGCAGCCCAGCTTTGACAAGTGCCGCTGGCACACGCCTGGCAACTGTCGACTGCAGACGGTTTGTCAAAATGGCAACATAGACGGTGGAAAGAATGCCACCGCCCAACGATCGCATGGAACCGGCGATTCCGCCTGCGGTACCAATATCTTGCTGGTCGTGTACTGCAAATGTGCAAAGAACCGTAGTCACTCCCTCATTCCAGCCGATGCAGTAACACGCCACGAAGACCAGACTAAGCGCCCGACTTTTTGAGGTCGGAGTGCAGGTCGCCACCACTATACCCCCTTGTCAGTGCTGTAACCAGTGGAAGGAAGATTGACTCTACTTACATCCTAGGAACATCCCTCCGAAGAAGAACGCCACAATCACCTGTATTCTGGCCTTCCCAATATGCCGCGACAGAAGACCGGCAGACACTTGACCTGCGACGTACCCCAGGGCGATCAAGCAGGCTAAATAGCCTCCATTCAAGGCTTCGCCTTTCGAGTAGAATTCCTTGACCATGAGAGGCCAGACGATCGACATTCCATAAAACTGTCCAGCGCCCAACGCCAGAGACGCAACACATCCCGAGAAACCTTTGTATAGAAACAGCTTGAGCGGCAAAAACGGGGTCTTCAGGCTGGCGTATATCTCCCACAAAACAAAGGTGGCACCGACCAGAAAGCCAATGATGATCGTCGTGATGACTTGAGCCGACTTCCAGGCGTAGAGACCTCCTCCCCAAGAGATTCCCATCAGAAAGAGCACAATGGCGGCCGTGAATAAGAATGCGCCGACGTAGTCGAGTTCCTTCAGTAACGCCACCAACTGCTTTGCTCCCTGCTTCTCTCGCAAGGAAGGCGGGTGGTAGAAGCAGATGTAGAGTGCCAAAGACACTCCATCCACGCCAGCAACGACATAGAATGAAGTACGCCATTTTGCAGCGGTGTGGAGAATGGCGGCGTTCGCAATAGCTGGACCAAAACCGGACATGGGGAGAATGGCCAGGAACAGAATTCCTATGGCGAGGAACCGGTGTTTCATGGGGACCAGCTCCCCCAGGGCGAAACTGTAGGAAAGTTGTGAAGCTGCTCCCAGTCCACCAAGGACCATCCCCCCGATGACGGTGTTGATACTGTGCGCCGTCGCTACGACAATGGCTCCCACCAGGGCGAAGATTGCTCCGACGATGAAGATGTAACGACGGCCCAATATATCTGATAGGCGGCCGACAAAAGCCTGCCCGACGGCCATGGAAAGTGTGTAGGCGATGGCGATCCACGCGTAATTGTCAGAGGGGCCCAGGTCCTGGTTGATGGTGCTCAACACCGGAGAAGCGACCGAGAAGAGGCCAACTCCAGCCGCAAGCCCAAACCACATTGCAGCAAAGGAGCCTAGGAATCGAGAACTCAGGTAGTAACCGTGTGGGAGCTCGCCGAGGACGCTTGTAAAGCCATGAGTCTCCCCGATGTCGAGGTATTTGCCCTGGTGTGGAACCACAGCTTCAACATCATCGTTCGACCCTGGCTCGACTGCAGGGTCGATGTGGAATGAATCGGGCGTTTCTTTTGATGCCATTATTGCAAATTCACCTGTAATTTTATCCAACAAAGTTTGGACCCCGGATTCTGAGCAACCAAAGACCACATTTTTTTTCCTGGGGGCTGAAACCCCAGACCAGGGACTGTTATATGATGAGAAACGACTACACAATTACACATGACTACAATCAAGAAATTGGTGTTGCGCTGGAGTCAGAAGTTCAAGTCCTTATCTCCTCGGCGATATGAAGTGTTAACGGCGAGGTTCGGTAGGAAGAGGGTTTCCCTACACCTATTTCCTCGGTCGGGGTTTTTAATTGTGGGGAATCCTTGTATGACCTCCTTTCTGAACCTGTGGGGGGCTTCCGCAGGTATAGAAGGCCAGAGCTGTGTTCGTGTCGTGAGGCTCCAGCCCTTTTTCTCACAAACAGTTAGGCTTTTGGAAATCTCAAGATGTTGTCGCTTGGCTTTTACAACGTTCTTCTCTCGCTGTGCTTTGCTGCGGCAGGGGCGGTGAGTACATCCGTTTTCAAACCTTCGGTGGTTCAGTGTTGCTAATCAACCAAAAATGATAGGCGATACTCTATTGCGCTACCCGGATCATTTATAACCTCTATTTTCATCCTCTGGCCAAGTTCCCGGGGCCCAAGCTCGCCGGCGCGAGCGAGATTTGGTACAGTAAATCATGGCAAGTCCTCCCAACTCCCACCGCCCGAGTGATCGTCGGCAGCAGTGACACTCATTCTCGGGAACGACAGGATCGGGGGTCGGTGGCCGTTCGAGATCAACAAGGCCCACGAGCGGTACGGCGACGTGGTACGCATTGCACCAAACGAACTTTCGTTCCGGACGATACGAGCCTTCGAGGACATCTATGGGTTTCAGCAAAAGAAACCCCAATTCTTAAAGTCGGCCTTTTACGACAATCCTGACGAGATGTCTCCCATGGGAGCAGAAAGGGACCCGATCAAACACCGGGAGACGAGGCGTCTGTTCACCCACGCCTTCAGCGCCACGGGACTTCGGGAGCAGAAACCGACCATCATCGGATACGTCGATTTCCTCATACAAAAGCTTTCCAAGGAGGGGGCTGGTCCAGATGGAGTGCTGATCGATCAGGCAAGTGAACCTGGAGTGTTGTTTGCAGTGTCAACTTTTCCGGCTGACGTCAAACCACTCTGGCACACACACAGTGGCTATTGTGGGTCAGCTTCGACATCATCGGCGAGTTGGTGTTTAACGAATCCTTTCACGCGATAGAGAGAGGTAATCAAAGCCTTTCCTTCAGCCTCATCCCACTTGATTCGATTGTGGTGTACTAACAGAAGGCTTTGGCTCGCAAAGGCCAAACGGACTCGATGATGCAGATCCTGGTCAACATCCTCTATGCCGGATCTTTCTTCCAGATCTTCAAAAGATTACCCATCTTGAAACCTCTTGCTCCCTTTCTTCTCCCGTTGAAACAGTTGATGAAGGATCGATCCGACCACCATCATTTCACGCACGAACGAATGCAGCAACGCATCGACAATGAGAACCCTCACCCGGACTTTTTCAGTGATTTGTTGAAAGATGAATCCAAAAGACCCTCGTTCGAGTTTCTCCGGACCAACGCAAGCTCGTTGTTGATTGCCGGCGCCGAAAACCCTGCCATCACCATATCAGCGATGATATACTACCTCTTCACGAGACCCGAAATGCTCCAAGCGCTACAGAAGGAAATCCGAGGGGCATTTCAAAATGACAAAGACATCGACACCTACGATCTGGAGAGTCTCCCACTGATGTCCGCCATACTGAAGGAGACGCAACGCCTATTCTCACCTCTCCCGATCAGCTTACCTCGAGTCAGCCCTGGTTCGGAGGTCGACGGCCGTTACATACCAGAAGGAGTGAGTCCCGCTCGCACTTGCTTTTTTCCCCACTCTAGGCAGCGGACATTTCACGGGGTTAGAAGACCAACTCACTTATTACTTGCGTGTGTTTGTACAGACCGTTGTTTCGTGTCATCAGTACGCCCTCGCTCACAACCGTGCCTACTTCGCCGACGCTCACGAATTCCGTCCCGAACGATTCCTCAACAGGTCCCATTGGCTTTACGACACCAGATACGCCAACGACGATCTGGCCGCGTCCAAGCCTTTCTTGACCGGTCCGCGCATGTGCATCGGCAAGCACCTCGCGTACCTGGAGATGCGCTTGTTGATAGCCAAGTTGGTTTTCAATTTCGACTGGGAGATCCTGCAGACCGTGGGACCGGGCAAGGAGTTGGACTGGATGCGTGACGTGAGGGCACAGTTTCTCTGGTCGCGCCCGAACATCAAACTTCGTTTCATCCCTAGAAATGTCCCAGAAGGGGTGGGAGCCACCTAGGAAGAAAAATTAATGAATGTCGAGGTGCCATTAGCTTCCTTCGCTCACAGCTGACTGACATCCTGTTTGCAGGATATATTTGCCAAACGACGAGGGATTCTAATTCCTGGTCTACTTAAACATCGCTCCCCATTCGGAAACGATGATGTTGCTATCTGTCCATGACTATCTGCCCAACAAATCGAGTAGCACAAATCATTCCTTGATTGACATTTGAAACTTTCCCTTGTAAATCCCTGCTGGGCAGCCTCGAGCTTTGCCATGGCCAGTAAGTACTCCATTTCTACATATTCTTAGGGATGTACTTCTCTCGCCATATTTTGAGTGAAGATTGCCTCTGTTACAAGGTGAGCTAGTAACTCCACGTTCGGGTGTCGAACCTTCCGCAGCCTATTCGATCCTGACTGGCAGTTTAGACTCACTGCACCCTGAAACTGCACGTCCTAGTCCAGTTGGTGCTACTAAAACCGACTGCTCGTGTTGTTTGAAGCCTTAACAACCGTCACACACTCGGCTCAAGTGACCCGATTGAAGCGCAATGACGGCAACTGCCTGCGCTCTCGTACCTCTCATCTCTCGACCACCCTTCCTGACCCTATTGTTATCAGAAAGGAGTTGAAAAAAGGAGACATGAGCACCGTGTCACACGTCAACCAAGGTTCGGCTGCCTGGCTGAAAGGTGACTTCCCACGCGCAATCAAGATATTCGAGGATGCAATTCGAGACCGGGAAGAGCTCTTCGGCTTTCATGGACCAGGAAAACTTCCGGTGAGGCTACTATATTTCCTACATGACGACCCTCGTCGCTTGTTATGATGTGAACGAATATCTCAACAGTTGTGGGCGTTTGTGGTATCGAAGACAGGAAAAGGGGATCAAACCCTCTCTGTACGGCCGGTGGGTTAGGGGGATGGTCCCGGTAGTTTGGTACCCCTTCCGAGATGGGCATCACCAAACCCGAGTTCTTTTCCGGGGCCCCCATGACTTGATTGAGAAACCAAGTCTTGTAGACCTCCAAGCGGCGCAGACCCTCTTGGTGCTGCTCTTGCGTCACTCCTCTACCCAGGTTCCATCGCCTCACTTGGTTGTTCTCACTCGAGTTCACAAGGTAGGATGAAGTCAGTGTGGATGAATGAACAGGTGACTATCTTGTTCTGTCTGAAACCTAGCCACGACATTTGAACAGCCTGATATTGAGCCGTATACAAGCTACTCTTCAAAGCTTTGCTGCTTCATCTTTTGTTCTCGTGGATCCACCAACAACTCCGGTCACTTTACGGCCACTTAGAAGGAATTCCGGATATTCGAATTCCCCAGCACCTACTGACCCATCTTTTAGGTGCCACGTACCTCCATCAACCACCAATACTGTACCGGTAACAAAATTGGCTGCATCAGAGAATAAATAAACCGTTGCATCTGCTATTTCTTTAACAAAGCCCCACCGGCCAAGGGGGGTTCCTTTTTTTCTGGATTTCGTTTCCCCATTGTTTGGGTCTCCTCCCTCCTCAGCTTCCTTTTTGTGACTCTTGGATAAACGATTCATACCTTCAGTACCGGCTATAGGACCAGGCGCTATCACGTTCGAGGTTACACCAAAAGGTCCATACTCAATCGCCACGTTGCTGGATAGAGCGTCCACTCCTGCTTTTGCCACAACTGCGTGAGTTTGTAATTGACGACCTGTGTAGTGCATAGTGGCAGACACGTAAATGATTCTTCCTCCAGGGCCACCAGCATAACCGCCACCTTCGGGTCCATCGCTGCTGTCGTCGTCGTCGGCCACCGACTGTCGCCTTGGAATACTAGAATATGAATTGTGTCTTTGAGCAGATTCGACAAGTTTTGGCATGGTAAGTTTTGTGACGTTATAAGACCCAAGTAAATCTATGTCGATGACCGTCTTGAATGCGTTTGTCGATAACTGTGACATGGGGGCAAGGAAATTGCCAGCTGCTCCAGCTCTGTAGATACACAGAACTTATGGGTCAACAATATCTGCGCATACGAAGATGTTTCGTGATAGAACGCCAAGGTTGGTTGGGATAAGGGACCAGGAGGGCTTCTCACTTACATTACAAAGTCGATCCCTCCCAGTTCAGTCACACATCTGTCAATTGCTTTTTGAAGGTTTTCCACGTCTCTGACATCCACGTTCCCGATCCCAAGGACTTTGCTACCAGTTCGAATCGATGCTATTTCCTTTGCGACTCGTTCTGCCTTTGTGGCGTTGCGACCCACGATGCACGCGTTTGCACCCAGATAGACAAGAGCCTTGACTTGTCCAGAGCAGATGGTCCCAGTGCCTCCGGTACAAAACACCACTTTGCCTAGAAAAAGGTTCTCTTTCCAAGAATTGGAGAGATATGTTGCTGCTGCTGTCGTTTCCGACATCTTTTCGTTTCGGGAATCAAGGACACGCACGGTTTGGGCAATGGGAAACAAAAACTACAACGAGATGTTGCAACTGATGTTTGCTTTTATCCGTCTGTCTGTATGTGTTTCGTCATTTCAGGTACCAAATCTTCTTCTATAAACAGACAAAGCTAGTAGTACATGGTCTAACAGAATGAAACTTGTGCTGTTTACAGAATGCTGGACCCACCGACCACCTGACATGGTCGAACCCATCTTCTCGGCTCTCCGGCCCAAGGTCCAATTTGAGAAACAGACGCTCCTCGGCCTGATCTATGTCATCGTAACACCCCAAGCCGAGGAGGATGGCCGTTCACTATCTCCTGAGGGAGTCTGTGTGCTCCCAATGATAACGTGTTGCCAACGATGCCGGGCTCTAAACTGGACCTAAGCACATGGATCACCTTTCCACATCTACTCTGTTGTTTGTTTGGTCTGAAATACCGTTGCCATCTTGAGAGGCTTACATGCTCTCTCTCTCTGATCTCGCCCTCTTTAAAAAAGGCAGGATATACCTTGTAGCCCGAATCCCGTCCTCCTCATCTATATCTTAGAGAGCAATTAGCAACATCTCGTTCACTCCCTTGATTGAAGAAAAAAAAAATCCATGGCCTGTATGTGAAGCTCCCAAATCTCCCCGAGAAATCCATTCTCCATTCTCCTTGGAATAAGAATCCTTCCATGTGACAAGACTTTGAATAACTTAGGCAGCTGCAGTGACAACCGCATGCTCCATTGCAGGGATGCTCGCAGCAGCAAGCTACTTGGACGCGCGTTTCTTGATCGGCCACGATATCCAAGACAACGCCGTTCTCGACACATGGCGGAAAGCCAACGAAAAGTACGTGGCAGGCTGCTTTGGCAAGAATCGGATGACAACATCGTACCACCGGATAAAGAGGTGGGCTCAGGACCCGACAACCTCCAGTAATCTCTTCCTCATCTTCGAAGGCCGGAGCTGGACCTATGGGCAGATCTATCTCGAAATAACGCGCGTGGGCAATTGGCTCATGACCGAGCTTTCCATCGGCCGCGGAGATGTCGTACCCCTGGATGGAACGAACAATCCTGAATTCCTCCTCATGTGGCTCGGCCTGGAAGGCATAGGCGCGACTCCAGCCTTCATCAACTCCAATCTGGCGGACCGACCCTTGGCTCACTGTGTGAAACTATGTCGCGGAAGTCATCTTTTGGCCGACTCAGCCGTACGCAGCCTTCTGGAACGAGGTGATCCGTCTGCGTCAAAAGAGCTCGAGGATGCTGGATATCAGGTCGTCTATTATGATAGGGAAACTGTCGATCTCGTTATGTTGGACACCACCTTTTTACCTGATGCCCGTACGGAAGGATTGAGGCCTGATTCTCCCTCCTGTCTGATATTCACCAGCGGTACGACCGGCTTGCCGAAGGCGACGGTTGTGACACGGGCTCGGGACGTCCTTGCAGGCTGGAAAGTGTCCAAGTACCTTGGTCTGCGCCCCAAGGTTCGGATGTACACTTGCCTGCCCCTCTACCACGGCGCAGCCAGAGGCCTTTGCTTCGTAGCCAGCATACATGCTGGCAGTACGGTCATTCTTTCTCGAAAGTTCAGCCACAAGACTTTCTGGCCAGAAGTCAGACATCATAACGCCGACATCTTTCAATACGTGGGCGAGCTCTGTCGATATTTGCTCAATGCAGCCGAGGAACCCACAGATAAGCAGCACAATGTAAGGATGGTATGGGGTAATGGCATGAGACGAGGTGAGTTGGCGCGCCCCCGGAGAGACTTCACCCCAAACCGATCACCTTCAATCTTTCCTACCGACGATTTTCGGATTCTCCGGGCCTGGACTGAGTAACGAGTTGTTCTGACGTTTGCAAAATCTCAATGCAGATGTGTGGGATTCCTTCCGTACGCGCTTCAATATTGACACCATCAACGAGCTGTATGCCGCAACTGATGGTTTGTTTGGCTCGTATAACAACAATCGTGGAGACTTTGGAAAATATGCCGTCGGGAAACGAGGGTTTCTATGGCATATGACGAACGGCGCCAACGAAAAGCGCATTCGAATAGACCCTTTGACAGAGGAAATAATACGAGACAATCGTGGATTCGCGTTCCCATGCCGAACTGGGGAGTCGGGTGAAGTGGTTTGTCGTGCTGATCCAAAGAATCCCGGGAAACTGTTCGCAGGATACTATGGGAATCCCAAGGCCACAGACAAGCGGATACTCCGCAATCTTTTCGAGCCAGGAGACGTATGGCTTCGTACAGGAGACATGATGAGAGAAGACGCTGATGGGTGCTTGTATTTTGTCGATCGCCTGGGAGACACGTTTCGCTGGAAATCGGAAAACGTCTCGACGAACGAAGTGGCCGACGTCCTGGGTCAGATGGAAGAAATAGCACAGGTGGCTGTATATGGAGTTCAGCTGCCTCTTGCAGATGGTCGTTGTGGTTGCGCCGCTGTTGTGCTGGCTGACAAATTTCAAACCAGCGAAAACTTCAACTGGGACAGACTTGCAGCTTCTGTAACGTCAGTCCTTCCTCGCTACGCTGTGCCAGTTTTTGTCAGACTCGTCAAAGAGCTTCCGCAAACGGGAACGATGAAGATTCAGACTGGAAAATTGAAAGAGGAAGGGATCAGTGAGACTCTTTTGAAGAGTCACGAAAGTGAACCTGGGAGTTCAATTTACTGGATGGCCCCTGGACAAAAGACATATACCAAATTTGGCATAAAGGACTGGAACGCCTTGAAGTCGGGGAGTGTCAAGCTGTGAGAAGAGGATTGCAATCTCGAACTGCTAGGCAATTGCTATCGACTTTTCTCCAAGCAATGATACTGCGAAGGCCAGCTAAGCAGACCATCTCGATAAGACAACAAGATCCCATATCATGAGCTCAATAATCCTGTTCACTGAAAAGGTAGACCTCGTCAGAGGGAAGCATCGACGGAAAGTTCTCTGACGAGAAGTCAAGTTGCCCAAGGTCCTGTAGCATATACCACCAATCGTCGACCTCTGGAAAGTTCAGCAACTGATCTATATCATAGTCTGCGGAAGTATTATATCGCTCGGTTTCCCGGAGAGGATCTTGTAGGATTGCTTGCGGCTGTTGCGGCTGTTGTGAGTTGTCTGAGATATTTTCTCGGCTAATTGGTCCAACGGCCGCCTGAGAATTCGAAGTTTTCTGCTTCTGAGTCGAAGTGACTGGCGATAGTGCTTGATCTTGTTTTCCCGTAGACAGAAATTGATCATGGGCAGAGACCAGACTACAAAGATCCGATGGTCGTATATCATCATCACCAGAAGTTAGATTCGATATCGAATCTACAAAAAGACTTTTGTCAGCAGATCGCCAATTGCTTGGTCCAAGCATGGAAGGAACACATGATTTCGAACCTCGTAGTTTGAATTCCCGCATGGCTTTCATCATGTATAGTTTTATATGGCCCATGTCAAAGCGGACATCGCGAATGCGGAGGATGGTGGCGAAGCATCTGAGGGCATTCCCCTTCCCTAAGCTAGACGAGTTCCGAAGTCTTTTGTTCAAGCTCATCAACATGAACGGTATGTCCACAGTACTCAGCCTGTATCACTATTATCTCAGTGTGTGAAAACCAGAAAAGTGAGGACGGAAACGAACGTGCTGAGCGATAGATATTCTGCTGAATTGTTTTGTACCAAATGTTTAAAACATTCCGTGATGGCATCGACAGCATCTGTCAACTCTGAGTGACGGTTTTGCAGATGAGTCCTATGAACCTTTTCGGGAAGTCTCAGATGGCTAGACAAAAGATAGCCATGATAGTTGCATATGGCTATTCGAACATTGCTAAGCAGTAGGATCCATGAGTAAAGGTCGCTGGTATGGAACCTGGATTGGGACTTACTGATAATGCAAGAGGAGTGACGTGGCATAGAGTGAGATCGGTTGTCGATCGCTTTTCGCCAGTGATTCCAAGCGAGGCAACGAAGCTCTTGCCCAATTGTCCAACGGCGCTTTGGCAGTTTCCAGTACCTCAAGGACATTGGTTGAATTGTCTTCTTGATTTGACAGTTCCGAGGAGCGACCACTTCCCGAGTAAAACAACGAAGAAAGGCCGCTCAAAGATGTGGCAAGATCGCATTGGACGGTGACCAAGTTGCAAAGGATAATTTTGCTATCGGTATCGAAGACTTTGGAAATGGCAACTTCGGGTTCGAGATCATCCATAGTGATCCTGTCCTGACTGAAATCGAATTGCAGAGTGCTTATCTGCATTGGCCGACGAGCACCCATTGATATGACTCTGTCACGGAGAATGCAACACCACCACAGTCGCTTCAATGCCTCGCGCTCCTTCTCGGACAGTTTTGATTTCGAAGAGGAGTAGCGATGAGCATTCAGCGAGATCGCGCGCTGGGTTGCAACGGCCAACCATGTACTGTTGGACAGCTGGTCTTGTTTTGTTGCGTGGAAAGAGAGTAATAATGCAGCCTGGCACACAATGAATGGGTCGCGCTCAATCTGGAAGTCATAGAGCAGCTAAAAACGGAAGACGAAGTCAGCGTGGGCTCCCTCGAGCTCTTGAAGGGTATCTAGAACCTTGGCTTCACGATATAAGGCTTCTCGGGCCTGACCATACGAATCATAACCGCATTGTCGGATAGCATCAATTGGCAAAAACTGGATCGTGTTAGCGGAACATCCTCCCAGCGGATAGACATGTGTCAACTTACATTACATGTGGCACACATCAAGGCCTTCAGCAACAGCAACGAGACGTCTGGCCTCGAGCTCACCCGGTTCCAGTATGCAGCACCAAAGTCCGCTTCATCAACGATAGGTATGGTGTGATGCATGTAGAGGAAATAGTGGTTGACAAACATGTCTAGGACTTCTTTTTGTGGCAAATGAAGACATCCACTTGAATCGAGAAACATCACCGTCTCGTTGTTCAAATTCTGGAGGTTGGAAGCCGAGACATTAGAATAGTATGAAAATGGTAGGCGCATGGTGCGTTTGGGAGCTACTGTAGGGAATGGAGGTCAGCCAGTTCACTCATGAAATGCAAAAGGGAGTAATAAGACTGACAAATTGACTCCGAAGAACGAGCCCATGGATGTAAATGGCTTGTTGGTTGCGATGACTGCGTGTATTCACCTAATTCGGGCTCGATGTCGTCCACGCTGGCCAAAGAACTCCCATCCGGGGATCCCGATAGGTGTAAGTCTTGAGAAGATATCTCTCGAATCGGCCCTCCGCAGGCTGTTGAAAGGGATTGTTGTGTTGGCGCTGGGACTTGTGCTGATGGAGAAGTAGATTTGCTGGGTAGTAAAGGGTATATTGTAGGATTGTACACCTCGCAAGAAACGCCGTCTAGTCGACAATTTGTGCAGGGAGGAGCCACAAACGCGACATCACATCGCACCTTTCGCTCATGGCATCTGTTACACGCTCTGCGAGCGCGCTTTCTCTTCTTGCTGGCTAAATTTGTTGTTCCACTCAATGGTTGGGAAGCTTTGCGTGTAACAGACATGCGCTGAGCCATTGTTTGTGAGACCGGTAGTCGTCGTAGTGAAAGAGATATTTGAGAAGCACGTAGCTGCGGAGGAAAGTGTCTGTCAGTTTATTGAGTCAAAAATCCGGGCCTGTCAGTGTCACCAAGGCCCACGTTCCCCAGATTCCCCAGGAGGCTACTGTAGAGCTGTGAACTAGGTCCCACCAGGTTAGTCTTCTCAAGAGGCTGTCCGGGACCAGGCTTAAGCATGCCCATCGCACTGGAGAATCCTGGTCAACGATTTTGTTCCGTCCTATTCGGTCTTAGTCCTTACTCTTTTGCTCTCTATTCGAGGGAAGCATGAAGGAGAAGGTTCGACCTACCAGTAGAAAGTCCGCACGGCACAATGTCTAGAGGTCTGTGGCCTGGTCAGACCATCGCTGGCCTAGACCTGTAACGCCGAGAGTCTGTTTGCAATGTAATCTTCCCTGGAGAGCTTGCCGAGGTTCGCAGCCGAGGTCTGCTCTCGGTCTACCCTCGTTGATGGACACTCATCCATCAGCGATGGCGTTAGGACTTGTGCTCAGTTGCCTCCTCGGTGATGGAAGAATTAAATCGTCAGGCTGAGGCTCACTCCACGCGCACTATTGTGTTGTCAGAATGAAGTTTTAAGAAGGATATCGGCCATGGAGCCCCATGCGGCCGGCACCGACAACTTGTCTAGGACTGACTCGCTCCAATATTGTTCAATTGAACATGGCACAACAACGACTTCAGCAAATTGCTGGACATGGAAATTTTCCTCGAGGTCTGTTGGAAGGAAAGACTGCCATTGTGCGCGAATTTTCGTAAACACTCTCAAAGAAGGCTAATCTAACTTGGCCGTTTAGATCACCGGATCAGGTCAAGGAATCGGTGCTGAAGCTGCGAGGCTCTTTGCTAATGAAGGCGCCAAAGTTGTGATATGCGATGTCGACAGCAAAAAGAGCAGCGCTGTTGCCGATGAAATCTGCGCTTCGTTCCCTGGTCGCGCCATCTTCGTCCCAGGCGATGTAACGGATCCAGTTTATCTTCAAAATCTCGTCACGAAAGCCGGAGAATTTGGTCAGGGCAAAATTCATATCATTGTAAACAACGCAGGGTTTACCTGGGATGGTGTTATTCATAAGCTGACCGACAAGCAATGGGAGACGATAATTGCCGTTCACAACACTGCCCCCTTCAGGCTGATTCGGGAAGCATCGCCCTATTTCCGGGTCAAAGACAACGATGTCCGAGTCATCATCAACATCTCGAGTGTGGCCGGCACCCATGGAAACGCTGGTCAGGCTAATTACTCTTTGGCGAAAGCTGGGATGATTGGGTTGACCAAGACAATTGCGAAGGAATGGAGCCAGGTATGCGCCTCTTGTCTAACGAGAGAAACTCAAGTCCTTGCTTACCTGACTTCAACAGTTCGGCGTTCGCGCTTGCACAGTTGCCTATGGACGCATAGAAACGCGCTTAACCCGTGCTAGGGAGGAGGGGGCCTTTATGGTCACACCCGACGGACAGCGTGTCGCCCTTGGAATTCCAGGTGCACAGCTTGCCAAAGCAAGCAGCTCCGCCAAAAGCTCGTACGTGCATAACACTCTTGAGCGTGCTGGGACCGTCGCAGAGGCTGCAGGGGTTATTCTAGCAGTCGCAAGTCCGTACTTCTCCTACGTCAACGGCCAGACGATCGAGGCGACTGGAGGCATGTTTCTGTGAGCTTACTGTTCTGGAGATGAGTATTGGAAGGGACGAATGGATGCATAGAATAGCAGCAAGCATCTTTCTGGCACTCAATGTATGATTCAGGACATCAATGACATATATGGCATCCATTGTATTCATCAGATCTCTAGCCTACCAAGACTTTCGTACAGCAATCCACTTTATGCCGAATCCACATTACTTGTCGACTTCGAACATCCTGCACGACCTCAAATTTGAAGAATGGGGAACTCTCCTTCATGCAGTCTCATACCCGTACATGGGATACTCCAAGAACAAAGCCACCTCCTTCTGGTACGAACCCACACTCAACTCGGGAGTGTAATGGGTCCGCTTACACCCCTTGGGGACTTGCACACCCTTGAACCGATCGGCAATCCAATCCAACCAGACCTGTTGTCCGGCATACAGCACAGGCACATGCGTGACGCCCTCGAACGTGGCGTACTCCAACGCACCATCCGCGTACTTGGAACACGTCTCGTTGACGGCCGCCGTTGTCCCGTTGGGATTCACAGACGGGTCCGCCGTGCCCTGGAGGACCAACATGGGTCCGGCGAACGGTTTGCCGCCGTTGCGCGTCAGATTGTCCAGGGCGTTGAAATACCACGTCTGGTTCCAGTCATCCTTGAACAGGTTCGGCTGGCTGAGCAGCTCGAGGGCGACGGACTGACAGCCCTGGAGACCCTGGAGGAGTTGTTGCGTCTGCACGCCCTTTTCCGTCAACCACGTCGAGAGCTGGAAACTTTCAAACACGGACTTGACGCCCGTGCCGACGCGGACGAGCATCGAGTTCAGAGGTCCCGAACTGCTCATGTTGCTGTTCGATGCTGGACTGATGGTCGTGGTGGGCGACCCCGCGATCGTGCCCAGGTAGCCTTGGACGGGGTTTTTCGCCAGATTCTGCGCCGCTCCCCACGCCGCGCCGCCACCTTGACTGTGGCCCATGACGACGAACTCCTTGCTCAAGCTGGGCCATGTCTTTTGCGCCGCTTGCACCGAGTAGATCAGGTCGTTGCCGTGCGCGGGGCTGGAGAGGTATTGGTGCTCTATGAAGTTGCCCTGGGCGTCATGATCGACGCCGAGTCCGGCATAGTCGGGCGCGACGACCACGTAGCCTTGTAGTGCTAGGACGAACGGGGCACTGTATTGATACCATAAGTTGCGGATGTGAGAGGGTCCGCATTCGGCGCTCCAGCCGCTTGTCCCGTGGCCCCAGACGACCACGGGCAGACCGGTGATGTTGTCGAAGCGGCGAGGGAACCACGGCCAGAGCACATATGCCGATGCCGGGATGGTCGTGCCGTTGAGGTTCTTGGTCATGAAAAGCATCCGGGACAGTGCGACATCTGGAGGCACGGTGTAGAGTGACGTGTTTGTGAACTGCTCGACTTTGATCACGGAACCAGCTGGAGCGTGTGAAGAATTGGACGGGATGTCCGTGTAGAAAGGGTCGAGCTGGGCTGAAGATGCAGCCCAATTGGATCTTTCAAAATTGACAGCTACCAGGATGGCATCGGATAATTCATCGGAGAGGTTCGCTTTGGCAATCAGAGACTCGGCCTGTGAAGGGTTGAGTTTGCCGTACGTCGCATTGAACGTGGTGTTTTGAGCTTCAGCCGGGTTCTGTATCTGCGACTGAGCACAGCAGAGCGAGATGAGGAACAAAGTCCAAGCTATAACGAGCATATTGGGCATCATTCTGGAAGACTGTTTCGAGATTCCTAATTCATGGCAATTTCGCACTCACCTCGAAGAAGGAATCTAGCAACCGTTACATCGTCACGCCCATGGGGGTTCCATGTCATGGATATATACCATGCCCACCACCATGACGTTTAGCATAAATGGGTTGTGTCGGGCATTGTGCCGACAGCTCCATCGGTTCTTTTCATTGATTGTAGCAAGACTTCCTCCGATCAAAGACCTCGAGCCGTGTAGATCAAGGAGCTTAACACCGCTACCATTGCCGATTGAGCCGTGTGACTCCGCAGAGAAAACAAAGCTATGAGGTCTCGATGTGGAGAGTCTAATGCGGAGTTCTTGTTGTATATGGATATGGAGGTGGATGATTGTTAATATATTCGACGTCAATGATGGATACAAGTTGCGTCGCTCAGAATCTGCCATACATAAAGTACCGTGATACTCCCCCGTAGAGAGTATCCAAGCATTCCGAGTGCAGTGCCGATATCGCAACAACACTTCGCCGTACTAGTATCAACACTACCTCAGAAGTCAGCGATAACGATCCCTCATCAACGATGAAAAGTGTATGAGGTTATCGTTTGCTTCCTCAGTTCATACCAAGGAATGCAAATGCAGCATATCTTCCGATTCCAACGACAATATACAAGAAAGATGGGATACATTTCTAAACGAGCACTTGACAACCTCGTACCGAACAAGCTCCAGGAGATCCGATCTTATTGCTTCCACAACCAATATGATCAAGCCACCAACCCGGACGGCATTGTAGCCCTTGCTATCGCAGAGAACAAGCTCATGCGAAATGAGATCTGCGAGCACATCAACAAGAGCATGAACATCAATCCGTGGCATCTGACGTATGGGCAAGGTCCGAATGGAGATCCTGCCCTCCGTCGCACGCTGGCAGAATATGTCAACCAAGTCTTCAACCCGTCGACACCAATCAAAGACAACCATATCTGTATATGCAACGGTGCTGGTAGTGCCGTCGACAACCTCTCCTTTTGTCTAGGAGAGCCAGCGGACGGCATCCTTGTCGGGCGACCATTATACGTGGGTTTCTTTCCCGACATCGAAGCTCGAGCAAAGTGAGTGCGTGTTTCCATCCCCTTTCTTTCAGACACGTACCATCCCGTGCCTTTGATCCAGTCTGATATCCGAACCCAATCTCTCCAGGATCAAACCTGTTCTCGTTTCGTTCGGGGCAGATGTGAACCCAACATCGGCCGCCGCAGTCTCGGCGTACGAAGACGCCCTCCATCGGTCCAACGCTTCAGGCACAACAATCCGGGCGATCCTGATCTCCAGCCCGCACAACCCTCTCGGCCGCCCTTACGACCCTGACTTCCTCACAGGCATCCTGAAGCTCTGTTCCAAGTACGATATCCACCTAATATCCGACGAGGTCTACGCCAAATCGCACTTTCCGAGCAAAGACATTCCCGACCCACCGCCATTCGTGTCGGTGCTCTCCTTCCCGCTCGAACGGTACATCGACCCGTCTCTCGTGCATGTCATATACGCCATGAGCAAGGACTTTTGCGCCAACGGAACTCGTATAGGCGCGCTGATCTCACCGTTCAACACGCAGCTCATGCGTTCGTTTCGGTCTGTGGCGAGCTTCACCAGAGCGTCTCAACTCGCGGAGCACGCCTGGCTCAATATGTTCAACGACAAGATGTGGCAGGAATGGTACTTTCCGCTGTTCCAGTCCCGAATGACCGACGCTTATGCATACACGACGTCCTACCTAAAGGCGAATGGCATCCCGTACAACCCCGCTAGTGTGACCAGTTTCATTTGGTTGGACTTGTCACGCTGGTTGAAGGAAGATAGTCAAGATGCCGAACTGGAATTGAATTGGCGCATGGCCAAAGGAGGAGTCTGGTTGGCCATGGGTGCTAGCTTCGCCAGTGAGAAGAATGGCAATTTCAGATTAACATTTGCGTCCCCGAGGGAAGAATTGACGATGGGTTTAGAGAGGTATGTGAATACCCAACGAGATATGACGAGACACTCACCATATACGCCCTAATTTATAGATTGATTCAGGTTCTTCAAGAAGTCGATCAAGAAACAAGACGGTGAGAACACTCTACCACAAAACACCACACCAAAGATCAGTAAATCACTCACTCAGCACGTGTTACTACTCTGTAAGGGTAGACTGCAATGCTATTGGATACGTTCAAAGACCACCAATGACCCACGGAAAGCAGAAGGGGTAGTGTTAAGCATACTCAGTCATAATAAGACGGACCTCCCTTGAAAACCAATGTCCCGTATCATATCATTGCGACCTTCAACACAATACCATTGCTAATAATGCAATCAAGCATCGCCCTGAATATGTTGGAAGCCTTTTAACATTTGCTGACCATCACATCTACTAAAACTCGGCGCCAGTGTATACATCATCGAGGAACCTGTCTGTTTCAACCTGGATATCCAAACGCCTTGTTGGGCTGGCGCACAGGAAAAAATGATCTGCTCCATCAACCGGATAGTAGACGACATTGACACCCGCTTCCTCCAATGCCGACACAAGGAGTTCACTCTGGGGAAATGGAACAAGTCGATCCTCAGTGCCATGGGCGACAAAGAATGGACAGGTGGATGACGTGATGTATGTTGTTGGGTTCGCTCGCTTAACTTTGTCCTCGTTCTCTTCGATTGGCCCTCCGATAAACTTCGACTCAGATGAGTTGGGATGATTGTGTTGCTGACTACCAGGCAAGGCCTGGTTGTCCATCAGAAGGAAATCAATCGGTGCGTAGTATGCCACTACGCCTTGGACAGCGCTTGAGGTATCCAGATGGTCACCAACGTCAAACTCCTTGGTGCCACCCGTTGCTCCCAAAAGCGCAGCAAGGTGGCCTCCTGCACCTTCTCCCCAAGCTACGAAGCAATCAGAATCGAGGCGGTAGGTTTCGTCGTGGGATCTTAACCAGCGGACGGCAGCTTTGCAGTCTTCGAGAGCAGCAGGGAAAGATGCATCCGTGCTCAGCCGATAGTCAAGAGAAGCCACAGCGTATTTGATTCCTCTGAAATGTTTGGGCATCAATTCAGACTCCTTGCTACCATAGCGCCATTCCCCGCCATGGATGTAGACAATAACAGGTCGCAAGACGGGCCCTTTGGCAGGAAGGTAGAGATCGAGTTTTTGTCGGCGATGACCATTCGAGACATAGGATATATCGTGGATTTCTTCAAACTCCATCTTTGGGAACGTGGTTGCCCATCAAGAGCCGTGGTGCTGGGTCGATGTCTGGAGACTGGAAGGGATGCTTGTCGAGGAACGAGATATGACCAGGAGATTGGCGATCAAGTATCCGGGATCTGGTTGATGGAGGACAGACAACGTCAGATTGGGAGTCACAAGGTTGTGTCACCATTACACAGAGACGTATCAGATTTATGAAAAGAGGTTCTGTGGATCATATCAACTGGAAGAAAGAATTGTGGACGATTAAGAACTGATGGACAGTGGTTGAAGGACTTTGAATGGTAAGGGCGAAGAGTGAAGGATTGATCGTGTTATATTCGAGGAAAGAAGGATAGGGAAAGGCGCAGGACGAGGAAACCGCATTCACGGCCGTCATCAGTGTCATTTCTTTTCTCGAACTTCAATGAACACTCAGCGACTTGGTGGATTGAGAAACTTGTCAAGTTCATCGACTGTGAATGTGAATAGATTCAGTGGATGCACAGCAATTCAGGTGTTAGTCACGTGTTGCACGTGTTGCATTTCTGTCCGGCTTCATCTCCATTTCACTCACATTCCAGACTCACAGATTCATATAACTCTTTGCCCTGGCAGAAAGCACACCATGCATGAAGAGTTGTTCATGACGCGAGCATTCCGGCAATACGACAACGCAGAAACACTCTGCTCATTATCCCAAAATCAGGTGGCACAAGCACCCATGACAGGTCTTGAGGAGATACAGAGTGTGTGTGTCGAAAAAAAATCAGCAAACAAAGGTCAGCCTGGCTCTGATACTCCCCAGTACTGCGCCTCTGAACAATCTCGCTGGCCCACAGTTGCGCCCAGATAGAGAGGGATGCATATTGGCGCCGTGCCTATCCCTCGCTAAATCTATATGTGTGGAACTTCCAACCACCTTGAACGTTGCACAAGCCTTTTCAAGTTTGTCCACTGATCAGGTCACTGACCATTATCCAGGTGATCTTCTCGCCTCGGCCCGGTCTTTGAGCTCTCCGTAATCCCACCTACGAGGCTAGAAGACAAGGCCAAGTTAACAGCAGCATGCTTGATGTGTTGGCGCGACATCCATACCTGCATGTCTGATCAACCATAGCGCCTCGGTGTCGAACAATACTGATGCTGGAATTCCCATGACTGTCCTCTGTTCAATTCTTTCAAATGGTAAGATGAGCCAGCAAGGGTCCCATTCGATAATATTTCCAAGAGGATACTGAGCAAAACCACTCACGCTCGAAGCCACCATTCCCAGACCTAGGATAGCGTGCATGGCCGTGCGAGTCTGGGTTTCATTGCCAACAGATGTGAGGATCAGCAAGGTGCCAGTGTACGGCGTGCATATATTCGGAGTTACGGCAAGTCATTGTCGGTGTATGGAGTGTTTGTTGCATGAAGGTCTACATGGTCGAGGAAGGACGATCAGGCCGCCTTATCTACAAGATCACCGTCCTTGGCCGCCGTAAAACTTCCCATCATGCCGGCTGGGGCTTTTCCAAGGCAAATGGCGGCGCCGAGCCCTTCTTCCCTGAATACGCCAGTCGAGTCGGGGAGAGCCCCGGAAATTGTTGCGGTACACCCCGGCCCAGCCTTTTGACAATTGAATAGGCAATCCTTTGGAGCAATTCACCTTGAATCATAGGGGCCCTAACTCACCTAGACTTGATAGTGGATCGCGGAAACAAGAAGCCAACTTCCTCGCGAGTGAAGCGTTTCTTCACTATCACGAATGAGACCACCACAACAACACGACCTTTCAGTGTCCCTAAAACTCAATCCCCAGACTGCCCCCGCAGGACAAAGGGCTAATGAAATGCTCTACCGGTTTGCTGGAGAGTCAACTTGGCTTTAAAACTACGCTACAGCCTCGGGTTTGGCATGCATTGGGGTAGCTGCATGAGACCTTGTTCGAATTCTTATACCCTCGCTTTTTTCATCGCTCTCTAGGAATTTTGACTTTCATTTCTCATCAAACGAACGCAGTCCATCATCTGTGAACCAATTCTGCAGAGATGGGCGTAGGAAAACGCAGGTCTGCTCATTCGAGCATTTACAATAGGCTCGTAACTGTGGCTGTTGCTTTTGGGTCTATGGTACGTGATACATTATTCCTCGCTGACAACACAACGACTGACCTTCGCGGTAGACCTATGGGTATTGCTCAGCCATTATTGGAAGTACCATTGGCCAACCCGGGTGGTATGAATTCTTTGACCTCCCCATGCAAGGAGAACCAGGTTACGGCGGCAAAACCACAAATGCCATTGCGACTGCCAATGGCCTCTACAGTGCTGGTGGAGCAGTCGGGTCTCTCTTCATCATGTGGTCAGCCACTACTCTTGGTCGCAAGAGAAGCATCCAACTTGGTGCTATCCTAGCCATCATCGGCGGTGCCTTCCAGTAAGTATTAATGTCCTTGTTGAAACTATGCATTGCTAACAGACTCAAGGGGTGGTGCTGCAGCCTTAGCGCAAGTATACACTCTCCATCTACAACTCTCAACACACTAACTCCTCCACTCCAGTATGTTCCATGTCGGTCGAGTTATTTCAGGTTTAGGGATTGGTATACTGGTGACGGCTTGTCCGATGTATCTTTCTGAATTGGCACCACCCGAGAACCGAGGATGGCTAGTGGGTCACCACGCCATCTTCCTCGTTTTTGGCTACATGCTCTCAGGGTGGTTAGGCTATGCCTGCTATTTCGCAACAGACAAGAACGCGTCTTTCGCATGGCGATTTCCTCTTTGCATCCAGACACTGCCACCGCTAGTGCTGATAATCACATCGATCTGGATCCCACGATCACCTCGATGGTTGTTGCAGCAAGGTAAAATCGAAGAAGCGTGGAAAGTCATCCAAGCCCTCCGAAAATCTCCCGACGACCCAGACGATCTCGTTGCAAAGGAAGAACTCTACCAAACCAAAGAGCAAATCGCACTTGACTCAGCGAAGCTCAAAGCTATCGGTTACGGTCCCTGGATGGCATGCATCAAGAAGAAGAGCTATCGCAAAAGGATGATTATTGGATTTCTGACTCAATGGGGTGCCGAGTTCGCTGGACCTTTAGTGATTGTATGTTTTCTGCTGCCGGTTTTTTTTTTCTACACGAGCAAAATTAACCATGATTGCCTCCACAGAACAACTATTCCGTCATTTTGTACACGAATCTGGGTCAAAAAGGCTCGATGCCTTTGCTTCTGTCTGCTCTCTGGCTTACGACTGCTGGCGTCATCTACAATCCCGGTGGGGCGTGGTTGCATGACAAAGTCAACTCCCGCCGATGGATGTACATGATTGGCACCGCAGGTTGTCTCGTCACAACATCATGCCTCTGCGCCATGATCGCAACCTATGCCGGAACGACAAACCAAGCCGGTAACGCTGCTGGTGTCTTTTTCGTCTTCTTCTACCTCACCTTCCAGGGCACCTTTTGCGATACAACCATGTACTTGTATGTCAGCGAGATCTTCCCGACCGAGATTCGTCCGATCGGTATGGGATTCAGTTTGTTTGGCCAATTCGCCGCGACCATCATTTTGCTACAGACCGCCCCGATCGGGATCAACAATGTCGGTTGGAAGTATTACCTTGTCATTGTCTGTTGGTGTATCGTCTATCTGCCGATGATTTATTTCTTCTGGCCCGAGACAGCACGATTGAGTCTCGAGGAGATTTCGGCCAAGTTTGGAGACGATGTGGCTGTTCATGTCAATGACGTGAGCGAGGAACAGAGACGAGAACTGGACGAGTTTCTCAAGAGTAAAGACATTGTCCATTCGGATGTTTCGGGGGTGAATGATGGACAAAGACAAGAACCTACTGAGATTAGTGAGAAGGGTATGAAGGTGTGATTGGCCTGCGCGTGGATTTTATGGTGAGATGGAAAGGAGAAAAGTTGCAAGTCTTCCTGAGCTGGTCCGATACGCTGGTGATGTCGTTGTAAATTGTACTCCGTAATAGTATCTTGAATCAATCGATTTTGTTCCAAAATTGTTGATGGAATCCATCAAAGTATACTTACTTACACTTGGTATATACTGACGCACAATCAAGACTGTATGGCGTTTGATGTGTCGAGTGGTTTGTGTCTTTTTTATTCTTGATTGAACCAAATATATATCCATACCTAAATACTTGGGAATCTCTCGTATCTCTAGAGCATATCCATATTCTTGTCGTCCTTGTCTCTCATTCGGGGTGGGTGTTTTCATACCCATCTCGCCAACCTTTTTGTCTCTCTCTCTCCCTTCCCTGTTTTTCTTTCCTCTTTGCTCGACTTAAAAGATGGCGATACAATTTGGTGGACTCGAAACCCCTCCCGGCATGTTGAACGGTGAACTCGAAACGAAAAATTCCCACCTATTGTGTGAGGAACACAATTTGCTCAAGTCTTCAAGATCAAACAATTCACCAATTGGCATACCCCAACCTGACAATAAATATTCATGTAGAAATATTCCAGGTATTTTTTCGACTTGACTTTCATCATCACCATCTTCTTCTTCTTCACCACCACCCCCACCACCACCAGCAGTATCTTTAGGTCGTCTTCTTCTTCTTCTCCTTCTTTCATAACTCTCCTTTGGTGGATAAACTTCAAAAGAAATCGCGTCACTCGCCACGGCCGAAAACCCCGTGTCCCATAACCATCTCAACATCTCTTCCGTACCTTGGACGCCGGAATGTCGAGGATTCTGGGATTCTGCATACTCTTGCTTTTGGGTGGCGGTCATTCTCGTGTCCCATTCTCTCGTGACACCGATACGTACAAACAAAATGTCACCTCTTTTGAATTCGACCCTTTGTTCGGTCGCAATCTCCAACAACACCGAAAGGGAAATCGCAAAATCACCGAAAGTCGAATACTCCAAACCTTTCCGGTCGGCATACCTCACAAAATCCAACAATACACCGCGGCCACATATCCCTTGTTTGGCCCATTCGTGGATCCCGATCCGTCGACACCAAGGGTCTTTGATTTCGGATTTCGTTACACCTCCATAGAACAATCTTTCCTCCGAACCCGTCCCGGCGCCAGTCTTGCCCACCTCGTCGTCCAAGTTTCGTCGCAGCGGTTGTGAAAAATGTCTCAGTCCGTCCCATTGACTGCTTTGCTGTGGATTAAACGTATAAATGTCGTCAAAGGCGACACCGTCCAACAGTTCGACAATCTCGTGTCGACAAGGCGATCGGCCAAAGTTTGCGATTTCCAACTTTGTCAATTCCCACCCCAAACTCACCCGCCGGCCGGTTCGGACGCACGTCGAGGCCGCCGAGGCCACGACCTCGGGGGTCAACAGGACCAGACGGCCCAGCCCTTCTTCCCTCGAACCCGGTTCGCCGGGCCACACTCGTTTCTTGTCGGGGAGGGAGTCAAACGGCAACAAATGTTCCGGGTGGATTTCGACCGTCTCAAAGTCGTGATTGTCGCTTGAAGCCATGACGTCTGAGTCTGGAGCCCCAAATGTTGGCACTCTGGAATTAAATCAAAGGCAGCCAAACAAGGACAAGACAGAAAAGGAAGATGGTCAAGGCGAGCGATAGCAGTCTCAGGTCATACACAGTATATGTTCTGTCCAAAGTAATAACTAAAATGTCAGAGATGACAAGTGTCCAACCAACCAGTAGGTAATCTCGCAAGAACTGCTACATCCAAACGACGATCGATTCGAACTCTGGACCAATGGTTCTGAACAAACAGGATCACCACTTACTTCGAATCACAACCATTCGACCTAAGCAAGCTTGGTTGAAGTTGGCATTCCATCCTAAATTTCGACTCCACTGGTTCCCCCGCGTGGTTCGTGAAAGCTGGTGTAATACTTCGGACGTGCCACAACACTGAAGAAACGGTATTGCGGGTGGTCATCATCTCGATATTGATCCACAAGATAGGAAAGCCCGATCCAGACACTTCTGGAATTTTCATCCGTGGAAGGGCTTTTGCACCAGACTCGTCCAAAACGACCGTGGCGAACCCAGACAGGTGTCTCTGAGGTGGGATGAAAAGGTAGCCTGATCGCCATACTCGTAAAGCAATGCCTCATCAGCATATCATAGAGTCCAGCCAAGGCAGCTCGTCCCTGTCGAAGGTGAGAAAAAGTCGCCTGACCTGGCCACAGACCACTAGTCCATAAGATCAAAGCTCTCAAGGATTCGGATGAACTTCTTGGCAAGACCCCAATATCTCAGCTTTCGCAACATCGTCTGAGCCTCATGACTTATGGCGTTCAACCCTCCATTGCTGTAGACGTTTTTAACCAAACCGATGCTTGCATACCCTCCATGTTGGATCCAAGTGGCGATGGCAGCCTTTTGGCCTGCTACCCGATTGGAAAGGTCCAGTCGAACTGGAGAAGAATCGAGGTTGGAGTCGGACGACGGTTGAGGTCCAAACTTAGCAAAGGCTAGAATGAAGATGTAGCCCATGAAAACCCGCATGATCTCACATGGCGCCGAGACAAGGTACTCGTTTGCCACTGCGATGATTTGTGCCGCGTGCCATGCCAAATTCCGGGCCTTCTGAGGGTTCTTTACTAAAATTGCACCGAGTCTTCGTCTAGCTGACACGGCGCTGGGGTCAGGAGACTTTGTTTGTGAAGCCGAGGTCCGGAAGATGTGGACGATCAGGTCCATAGCTTCGTCGGCACTATACAAATGGGAGTAATGACAGATGAGGGACGCAAGGCTGCGATGGGTGGTCAGCTTCCACGTACTCGGAGGGGACCATCATGACTTACTTGTAGTGGATCAATTCGGCCGTAGTGGCCGGAGTATACATGGATTCGCAGATTGTGTTGAGCCCATGGAGAAGCATAGACTTGGTATGTTGCTGAGCGGCAGACATAGAAGGCAATTTGAGGTACTCATTGGTCGCCATAATGTCCAACTGCTTCAGGTCCCACAAAAGGCGGCCTATATACTGCGCACAGAGTCTCTTACTCCAAGCAGGTAAATCCAAAGGGACCTCCTTGCCGGCCAGCAAATTGCGAAGGATACTTGACGTTGGGGCTCCTCGCGCGGTCAGGGAAACTCGGGAATGCAGTACATTCCATGCTTGAGCCGAAGGTGCATCCCATAAAGGCTCGGCGCATGGCAGATGGCTTGGAAGTTCAGTAAGATCAACAGCTCCCCTCTTTGAGGTCAGAGTGCAGAGACTGCAATCATATTCGAACACCGACCATGCAATCCGCTTCTCTTCCTCTTGATCCTTCCAACGTAACCATTCATTCGTGGCATTAGCGACAGTCAAGGCATCTCTGATATCTTCGTCCTCGACCTCCGTGCTGACACGAGACTTCAGAATGCCCATTCCTCGGAGACATCCAATAAGGATACCCCTGTTACAGTCGGCATTCTGATACAAACGCCTGTTGCCGGAACCCAAGGAGTAAATTTGGTGCAGACAGCAAGCGATCAGATAAGCGGGTTTGTAGAAGTTGGTGCTATCGGAACCACCCTATACCATTGTTATTACTGTAAGTAGACGGTCGATTGAAAATACTTGCCAGCCAAGCGATCATTTGAATGCACATCTCACTCAGCGAGGAGGCTTGTTCGGTCCCCTGTCGGTCATCAGAGTACATGGCCCCGATACATGACATTGACGCTAATGTCACCGTCGGCACCTGTGCCATATTAAAAGTAGGGATATGCACTAGAGGCAACACAGCATGAAACTCGGTAAAATATAGATCCAATGAGTTCTTCAAGACATCCATAGCACTCATCATATTCATGTCTGCCGATTCAACATCGGGTAGGCATGGCGTGGATAGAAGTTGCACCAGACTTCGTATAATGCTGCCGCTGTCACTTGAGGTGATAGTGCCTTGGAGGATATCCCGCAACGGTGGCAGTTTATGTTTCTGTGGTTCGGGATTTCTTGTATGATCGAAAGGCCATTGTTGAGTCCCCGTTTGTGAGTCTGTACGTTGGGCTGCCGTACTCATATTGTCTTTGGGTCTCGAGTGCTGCATTCCGACCGCATGAGATGACGGTAATCTGCCCATAAGAGCTTCAGAATCTCCCAGCATCATTGGTTGATTAGGTAAATATTGGAAAGATCCAGGAGAATAAATCTGACCCATGGATTGTGCCCTGGCATCGCTCTTGTTTGGAGAATCCAGCTCCAGACCCAGCCAGTCAAGACCTCCTTCGGCCATGCCGGCAATCCTGGGTGCCGAATTCGAAGGAAAGAAATTGAACTCTGCCGGGAGGTACGCATTCTCACATGCTATGTATGGCTGAGTGAACGTTGCGTTGCCATCTGTTGGACTCATGGTAGCAAAAGATGTCATATCCGTCGTCATGATGGGGGGGCCATTCGCATCCGAAGTTGACTGAAAGTATTGAGCAGTCTCAGAGTACGCTTGAGGCCCTGCTGAACTCTGAGGATGAGTGTGAATATATACATTGTTGGCTTGAAGGACCGGCATGTGTGAACTGGCAGGGTCTTGGTAGGGATTCGAAACATCAAATCCATTGTTCTCGCACATGGCCTGCTCCTTGACTGGGAGTCCATCTGCGGTGTTTGGTTCTGTTTTCTCTTGTGATGGTTCGGTCCCCGCCTCGGTCGTAGACTCGTCAATTGCATATTCACAGGCAGCGCCAGACTTTGTGCAAGGCAGACACGGCTGATCCCTGTCACACTTCAATTTCTTCTTGACACAGCGAAAGCAGCTTTTCTGGGCCGTTCTTTTCCGACTGATGTATGCCTGATGCGCGGTCCGCAGGTGCCGTAACAGGACATCGTTGCGGGAGAACTGGCGTCCACACTCGGTACAGGTAAAGTGGTCACGGCGAGCAGGAGGTAGGTGGGATTGTAAATGACGAGCCAAGTGGCTTGGTCGAGCGACAGCAAGACCGCACTCCTGGCAGCAAAGGACTCGTTTCTTGCTTTCAGTCTGTGTCGGAGTCAGGAAATGTGCGCATCTTAATGCTTGAGCTGCGCTTGGATCCACGAACCATGGTGACCTCTTAGTCCTACTGCCAACGTATACATCAGATCAGTAGCAACCCAGTGCTAAAGGCCATGCAGCTAACCCTTGTCAACCGAAGAATTATCTCTGCAACTTGGTGAGTGGCCCATAAGGATCGAAGGTATCTTGGGATGGGGAGCCCAAAGTGACTTGGATATAGGAGGGTTCGTGTAGGCGAGCGAATTGTTTATGATGGCTTTGACGAGGAATCAGGATTGAATGTCGAATTGCGAATAGGTTGCTATCGTCTGCAAGAATGACTGTTGTTGCTAACGTACCGTAGATTTTGTCAACGCCGGGATGACGGTTGTGGAAGATCTTTGGAGGGCAACGGCATAGCCTAAGATACCTAATGGTGAGCCCTACCGAAGCTGGGGAAGAAGTATCGAGCAGGTGCCCAAAGGGAGTCACTGGAAATGATTTCCAGGTGCATCGGGGGCCCCTGTCTAGGCATCTCCGGGTGATGTTGGTGGCCTAATCAGCCAAGCTACTGTGGCGTCCTCAATGATTGACAGCTGGGCAGAGAGGCCCGGCTGGAGCTCGTAAAGCTCAACGGCGGATCCGTCACCAACACCACAATCCCCATACCTCGTATTCCTCCTCCTCAGAATTCTGGTCTTCCACCAATCTGATTCAGATGCAGATGAGCTCCAGCCATTCACCGAGACTTCATCGTGCATGAATGTTGCATTACCTCCTCAATTCTCCGAGAAAACCTTCGAAATCATGATGTCAAGGACTGGGACAGTCAACGCTGTCCGGCTCGCAAGTCGGAGCGGGTTCTCTTGAGAAGAAGGCTGACCAGGTAAGGGATGAGCTATGGAAACTACACTGTGTCACTTCGTCGATGTTCCCTGGGTTCATGAGATCTACAATGATTGCTTGTTCAACGACGAACCTGAATTGCTTTAATCTGATCACGATCTACCCAATTTTGGGCGTCGACTCCTTCTGATCTCCCCAGGACTTGCATGCTCCGGGAGTGCCACCACCTGAATGAGGAGGACGAGTTTTCTCAAATGTTGCAATCGACGAGCATATCGAGATCCTGGTTTGTGGTATTGCCTGAGGTACAGTTCGGAAGCGCAACCAGGTATTCTACTGGTTGTTACAACAGGAGTGTTCAGAATTAACATATATTTTATAGTTGTGTCTCAGTGATTTGCTTTCAACCTCTTCAGCTTCATAGATGACACCCATGCGCGCCTCCGGCAAGTTCCCTTGTCGAATTGCGAATTCTACTCGGCTCCCTCGCTTCGTAACTTGCCGTATCCCTACATCTTTGCCTAGCCTGTACGCTTTCTGGAGTCTATACACATCGGCCACCGTCGACCTAGATTCCTGTCAGACCTATCACAACTGTCCTATGGTGGTCACTTACCTCTAGGTTTACACCGGTGATAAACTCGGCCTCATCGCTGGCCAGGTAGCAGCAAGCATTGGCCACATCCTTTGGAGTACTGCCGCGTCCCAGGGGAACTGTCGAGACAAACCCAGCTCGGTTCTCCTCCGTATCTGGCTTTCCAATGAAAAGGTGAGTTCTGCAGAATAAGTCAACATAGATCTAAGCCGCAGAGTTCTAAGTCAACTCACAAGCCAGTGCTTCCAACCACAGGGCAGACGGCATTGAACCGAATCTTCTGTGGACCGTACTCGACAGCCATAGTCTTGGTTGCATTACTGACAGCTGCTTTGGAAGCGTTGTACCATGTGAGGCCGGGACGTGGTCGAATGCCAGCGGTCGATGCTATGTTGATGAAAACCCCTGGCTTTTTCTTCTCCAGAAAGTATGGGACAAGGACGCTGCTTGAAAGAAATATCGACTTGACGTTGACATTCATGACCAAGTCAAAGTCTTGATCGGTGACTTCGACGGTCGGCTTGTTCTTGTAAGTGGTTCCAGCATTGTTGACGATGACATCGAGGCCGCCGAATTCGTCCTGGGCAAATTTCAACAGTGCCTGCCAATGCTCTCGCTTCGTCACATCGGTCAGCATAGAACGACATCCCAGCTCTTTTGCTACAGCTTCAGCTGCATCTTTGGACAGATCTGCAATAATGACTTTGGCACCCTCGCCAACGAATTTGGTTGCTATGCCTTTGCCGAAACCGCTGGCTCCTCCTGTCACTATCGCGACTTTACCTTCGAGTCGACCTTGTCCCATGTTGGCGTATCTTTGTTGATGTCTGTCCTCTTCGGAGTCCTAGATCAGATGATTGAAAATGCTATGCTCAATGTTTACTTGAGATCGATTGTGTGAAAGGGGCTTTTTTAACCATCAGCTCAACATGAAGCCCCCGCACATAATCTGTATCCTCGGGTGAACACACAGCGGCGTCCAGAAGCCAAGGGTCAAAAGCCAAAGGCACCCCACGGCTCAGGCTGACCCGGACTTGTCCACTTGGGGGGGTTGTCGAGGAAAGTGGCACAATCCGATCCCCAAGAACGATCGACTTGTGAGACCTGTGTGGTAAGGGAACTCATATTTGCCATGTTCGGGGTGTTCATTCGGATGAGTAGCCAGTTCAGGACGAAATATCGATCAAATGGACGTTGCAGAGGATTAAACGGCACAATATCTGACTACATGCATCAATTACCGGTGATACGAAGGTGGCCGGCCTAACCACACTACCAAGAATCACCAGTTCAGATCCAGACGTATCACTCAGCATAGTGATATGCGACGATCGTCTCACAAAGTCGTACATGCTAGATCCATGGTCACATATGATTGACGATGATGTTTCAATATGATGCACTCTATCCCAGTTTCTACTGAGAGCTACCACGAACACTTCGCACAGCACCCCGGATTCTGCTTGACCGAGGATATAACAGTGCGGGGAATTAAATCTCGAGTTTACTTCCCTACATCGAAGGCACAGGCTGGTACCGGCCGGAGAACATTGACCGAGTTTTGGGGATATCGATTTACTCTTGGGCATATTTTGATTGAAAAGATTTCTAACGTGCAATACCCTATACAGATCAAAGCCAACAAAGGATCAAGATGGCGTTTTCTTCGAGTAAAACCATCAAAGCGTCCGAGATCCAACAACACAACAAAGTTGACGACATCTGGATAGTTGTCAATGGAAGGGTGTATGATATGACCAGATTCGCACCGGAACATCCAGGTGGAGTAGAGATCATCTACTCGTATGCCGGACGAGATGCTTCTCAAGCCTACAACGAGATACATGAACCCAATCTCATAAGAGCCAATCTCCGCCCGGAGGAGATACTAGGGGACCTAGATCCGACTACAAGTTTCCCAGAGGCCTCAACAACAAGCTCAGGATCAGCAGTGCCTCCAAAGGAGGGAGAGAAGCCACCTTTGGAAACGCTACTCAATCTGAACGACTTTGAAGAGGCGGCTCAACACTCGATATCAAAGAAGAGCTGGGCGTTCATTTCTGGGGCATCCAACGACAACATAACCCGAGACGCCAACAAGAACTTCTACCAAAAGATTTGGTTTCGACCTAGAATATTGAAAAATGTGGCCGAAGTTTCGACAAAGGCTTCAATGATGGGTTGCAATGTTTCCCTCCCGTTGTGGATTTCTCCGACCGGTATAGGTAAAGCTGGTGGACCAGAAGGTGAGATTGCTTTGAGTAAAGCAGCATCCGAGACTGGTATCATTCAAACTGTACGTATGGGGCAAGATAGGCAGACCCGCCCTGTTCTTCGTGTGGTAAGAGTTGTACTAACCGCATGCCTTGTACTGTGTGTCCTAGATATCAACCAACGCTTCATTCCCGCTGGAAGAAATCCTCTCCGCCGCACCTGGTCAACCGTTCTTTTTTCAGTTATATATCAACAAGGACAGAACAAAAACCGAAGAGCTCTTGCGCACGGTCAACAATAAACCACAGATCAAGGCACTTTTTGTGACTGTCGACTTGCCCGTGGTTTCGAAGAGAGAAGCCGACGAACGTATAAAACACGAACAGTTCTTGTCTTCCGGTTTGAGTGGTTCTTACTCTTCCAGCGACAACAAAGGTTCGGGGTTGGCGAGAAGTGTGGGATCCTTCATCGATCCGAGTTTCGAGTGGAATGACCTAGCCTGGCTACGAAACAAGACAAAATTACCCATCGTCCTCAAGGGTATACAATCCGCAGCCGACGCCAGATTGGCCATGCACATGGGTTGTCAGGGTGTCGTGGTGTCGAACCACGGAGGTCGAGCTCTGGACGGTGCACCGGCCGCCATCGTCGTCCTTCTCGAGTTGCACAAGGAGTGTCCCGAGGTCTTTGATTACATGCAGGTCTTTATCGACGGGGGCATACGACGAGGATCGGACATCTTGAAAGCTGTTTGTCTAGGTGCGAGTGGTGTAGGTATAGGTCGGTCGTTTTTGTACGCCTTGAATTATGGTAAACCAGGTGTCGTACATCTCATTAATAGTAAGTTTTTTTTTCTGATTTCCTGTCTGACCCCGAAACCACCTCGCCTCTCCCCTCGCCTGACCCTTCAACTTCTCTTTCTTTCCTACGGCTTTGATGGGTACTGATATGCGCGTTATGTTGCGTCGTATAGTATTAAAAGATGAGGTCGCCACGGCAATGCGTTTATGTGGACTCAAGTCCCTCGACGAAGCAGACCCAGGATTCGTCAATACCGCCGAGCTTGACGTTTTGGTCGCAAGAGGTTTCGGACACCCTTATGCGAGGAAACATACGATGAAGAGAAGGCCTTACCACTTGTGACCAAGCGGCGATTCATGGCTGCTATGCTACGATACGACGACACTTGAAGAAGGATTCAAAGCAAAATTACGAAATACACCAAGTGATAATACACAACATACAAGGAGAAGGTGATGATGGTCCAGTCAGGAAATCTTCTTTGATGTCCCCAGATAATCCCTAGAGATCAGGGTAGCTCCTAGTGACGCTAGATTTCAATCTCTTTAACGTTTACATATATCGTTCAAGATCTTTAAAGTTGCTATGCTGGATGCTCCCTGTACGCCATAATAGCTTTACGCCATGCCGTGACGCCTTTGAATGTCAAGACCATATAACCATCATCACTATCGTCGCTAGTCCTTCTTTGCCTCGGGGAACTTCTCGTTACTTTTCTCTTCCTGGTTTTTGGGTTCTTGATTCTTCTGTTCCTTGACCTTTGGCGTCTCCTTTGGGGTCACTTCTTTGGCCTTTGAGGTCTCCTTGGGGATCTCCTTTGGGGTCTCATCTTTGGCCTTGGGGATCTGGCTCTCTTTGGCTTTTTGGGGTTCTTCCTTTGGGATCTGCTTTGAGGACTCCTCCTTCTTCTTCTCGTCGGCAGGCCCACCCGCCTTGTCCGGAGCATACCATGTCCTGGCGAAATGGTGCTGGATGTAGCGCAACCCGTACGCCGGGTCCCCCGCGTGGCTGTGCTTCTGGTGTCCCGCGAACCCGTTGATCGGCAACACCAGCACGTCCCCGTACAGCTTCGGTTCGCGCTGGTCGTGCAGCGTCGACCACGTCACGTTCTGGCCCTGGTCGTTGAGCACCTGCATGACGGCGTCGGTGATCATGCCCGGCCCCGTGGCCTCGAGGGTCTCCATCTTGTCCAACGCCAACTCGCCCAGCGTCACCCGCTTCCGCCGGGCCATGTACTCGAGGTTGCTGATCACCCGCTGCACGGCGACTTCGAAGATGGGGTGGCCCGGTTTCGACATCAGCGTCCACTGGCACAGGCCGATGGGCCGCACAAACATCCGGTACGTGTGGTCGTCGTACTCGATGCCGATGATGGCGTTGACCGTGCTGGCGCCCAGGTCGATCGGGATCCAGCGATCCGGGTGCACGAGGTTCGACGTGTCGATGTCGCTGTACACGCCGCCCGCGGCGAGCATGACAAGGTACCGCAAGAAATCGGCCTTGAGGACTGGCGCTTCGAGACTTTCCCAGAACTTGACGATGGAGGGTCTCGATGACGCAAAGTGTTGTTTTACGAATGCCAGAGCGTCGGATTCTAGATAGCGTCACGAATCAACATCGAGTTCTGTGTTTGCGTGTGTGTGCACTTGGCCCGATTCGAGAAACCAAGTACTGGCTGAGTACGTACCTTTCAACAACTTATACTCGAACCCCTTCACCTTCTCCCACGTTTCGGTTCTCTCGGAAAACCTCTCGGCACCGTGCTCGTCTGGACCCAGCCATGCTTGCCATACCGTCCGGGGAAACCGTGAAGGGTATGACTTGGATGGCGTGAATGTCGATTGTAGTGCGTGGGCGAGGTGTTGACCTTCATCGAGCTCCATGTCATCTCTGTGCCTCGAGCCCGAGACCGTCTCCGAGAGGCTCTGGCTGTACTGAACTGATAGTGACTTTATCGATGCCAATTCCGTTTCCGAAGCTCGGAAGGCAAAGTACAACATGCATATCGCAATGGCCACGAAGGTCGTGTACTTGGTCATACGGCTGGTCGACGACATGGTTGATCTTCGCGCTCTATGTAGCGCCGCCTGCCTGTCCACCAAGACACTCTCGAGAAGATGAGAACCGATGACGAGAAAATCCCGACTCTACCGAGCCAAGAATCGAATTAACCAGCCAACCTCGACTTCGTCCTCGAGATTCAGACAATCTTACTGGACTAAAATCGACTTTTCTGGTGCCAAACTGCACAGACTTCACGGACAGTGCCCCCCGGTACGCAAGCGAACGTACTTGTGATAAGTGTCACAAAGGCGCGTCTCTCTCAACTGAGGCCTAATACCAAGGGCCCAAAGATAGCCAGGTTTGGCATCGTGTGTGTGAGAGAGAGTGAGCCAAGATGTGCCGTCAAGGGGATGGTACTGTTGATAGGGACGACTTTGGTTCCCCTGTGAGCCGACCAAAGGAGTAACTTAGAGTTTGTGAAAGCAACTTTTGTCTGGCAAGATAACAATGAAAAAGCCTCTCCCTTGATCGCGTCGATTGGCTGCCACTGGGCTTCTTTTTGACGTTTCCAACGACCAGTCTGGCCGGACCGCCGGCGACGAACTCATCGACGCGATTAGGGGTCAATTACTTGACATCTGTCAACAGTAGTACTGTGTGGGCCGTGCTTGGGGAGTGATTGCACACAATCGTGGGAAAAGGATCTGCAGGCGTCGTGAATATCATCATCTCGAAGATTGAGGAGAGGTATATATAAAAGCCCAGAAATCATCAAAGTGAAGTTCCAAGAGCCTTGGTCGGGTTTTACGTGATTGTACTGAATTGTATGTTGTGATGGGAACCATCAGTGATGGCAGCCCGGCCAAGACGATGCTGACTTGGACCCCTGTCCGTCTCGAGGCTACACAGTGGGCCAGCCACCAGGGACTGGCCTCCCGAGACTCACTAATTCCATCAATAAATTAGCCTTCTGCGGGAGCGTGTCGTTTGATAGATCGCCAGGGCACTGATAGTTCAAAAAAAAGTACATGTTGTCGTTTGCCCCCTTTTCCCTAAACCAAAAACCTCGGTGCTCACACATGGCGAACGTCAAGACCCAGGACCGTACCACTTGCTCGCCATCTCGGTTGTTGGTAACAGCAGATGACAGGACCTAAAGCCCACAGTCGCGCACAGTTGACACGTAGTAGATATGTGCTCCGACAACTACCATTCGCATTGATGTTTTTGTAGTCCATCGACTGGATTTCTGTAACTCTCGAGTGTTTTTCCAGCAGTAAAGTCCTCTCTCTTTCAACAGGGTAAAATCGGCACTTGCAACAGTTCCCAGCAGAGTCAATTTGATGCTTGCCTCTTACCAATCTAGAGCAATATGATGTTTTGGCAAAGAGATCCTCCTACCGCACATTGACACCCAAGGGAGACTGTTCGAAAGGCGACAGGCGAGAAAGGAGGCCCGTTCGCAAGATGTTTGGAAAATCGAGTTTGAAAATCGTCAGCCTTGTCACCACCACGATATGTGCCATCACGATCATTTCCGACTTCATTGGCATGCTACATCGTCCCCAAGCTCTCAGTGGTGCTACCAGCAGCATAGGTACCAAAGTGCCACGATCAAGTATTGCGAAGCTTTCAATGCTCTATGGGGAGCCTAATCCCCTCTATGAACGGGCGCTGGCCGCCAATATTCCGCACAACAAGAACTTCGGATACAGCATGTATGTGCTGAGAGAAAAGACTCTTCCAGGCTATTGGTCCAAACCGGCATACATTCTGGACCAGTTGCTTGCTGAGTTGGCACTGCCGCAGGAGGAGCGGCTAAAATGGTTGGTGTAGGTGCTAAGATGCCTTTGATCGAATTGTTCCTTTGCTGAACTGGATGATAGATGGTTCGACGGAGATATTGTCTTGATGAACCCGAAGATTCCTTTGGAAATCTTTTTACCCCCGGAGGACAAATGGGGCCATATTCATGCGTTGGTTACCAACGACCATCGAGGGCTAAACAACGGCGTGTTTTTCTTGCGTGTGCATGAATGGTCGGTATGGCTGATGACGGCCACTCTGGGATTGGAAATCTATGAGCCTGATACTGAGCTGGAGTTTGGCGACCAGTCCGCAATGGGAATCTGGGTGCTGGAGGTAAGTGTGATGTTCGTCGTCGTGTCAACCTTGGGTTACTAATAATCTGTATAGGAGAGATTCCGTGCAAACATCATGCATGTGCCACAGAGGTGGTTCAATGCATATGCTGGTAATCGTGGTGAGACGAATGGATTGTTCGCGGATCCTTTGGCACCACAGTCGAAAGTCCATGCCAATTCGATCAAAGAGGGAGACCTGCTTGTCCACCATGCTGGTCACAAATCTCTCAGAGCACAACGCATGGCACCGTGGATGGACGTTGCTGAGCAGCATCTGCCACAGTGGGAGTTGGAGCTGGAAGAAACAACATACCAGCAAGAAATCGCCGATTTTTGGAAGACTGAGGCGCCAGAAGAAAGCCAACGAGTCGACAAGATGATTAAACAGGAAGAAAAGAAGAAGGCCGACAAAAGAAAGACACAAGCGAAGATAGAAGTAAAGGCGGAATAAGGCGTATTGCGAGGGAACTCGACAACTAGAGAAACAGTCTTCAACATGAGAATGGACTTTGAGAGGGTTGCACTGGGAGGATCTATTTTACCTTCGATGAGACCGGATTGTTACAGAAGAAGAGGATGGAATGATTTTATATTATAATGACTTGATGAAGTAAGGTTGATGGTGTTGTTGAGCAAGGAAGAAAGAGTACGAGGAGTGAGGAATGTGGTTGGTGCAGGATGCTGGCATCAACTCACCTGCTCATCTTCAGCATCGCCTCGAGGCTATAGACAGTTTGCTTACGGGGAATTCCGGGGCCTGTGTAGCCGGATAAACAAAATTTAGGGGCAACCTAACTGGGTCATAGGCCTAGAACAGACTTGTTACGAGCCGATAGAGGCCCTGGAGAGTGCCTTGTTTAGGGACCTATGGGCACTGTACAATAAGCCTAGTAGGCCCATTAGGCAAGGATTCTGCATCGTCAGCTGCTCCTCCCAACAAACACCATCAACACCCTTGCCGTGGTTTATTTATTTCTTCTCCTAGCCGTCTATTTGTAATTCGTCTCGCTTTTGACGCGTTCATATCTGCAATCTCACTCGGCTACAACGGAGAAAGAAGCGCGCAGTTTGATCGATGAATCTGTTGTACATCAATCATGATACGTCGCCACCTCTGGCCTCGTGGCACGCGTTGAATACCAAACCAACAAAAACCCCCTTAATTGTGACACACTACATACCAAGACGTCAAATTTGCTGGTTTCCTCCCTTCCCGAGAAACATCTGTCTTCTGACCCCCAGCAGTTTTGCAGATCTCAAGGGATCAAACCACGAGTTGGAATGCTTACCAGGATCCAGCCACCGTTACACTACTCGTACTGAAGAGTCGATGGAGAAGTTACGGAATGATCTTTTCAACACCCAACAACTACCCAAGGTACTGACTCACTCGTACATTCATCACAACATATGTACAAGTCTACCAGTTGTTTCCCGTCAACGCTTTCCTCCTACATTCCACTTTCCCTAGGCGAAGACATATGTCAGACTGAGTGCAAGGACTCACGTCTTTGCTCTTTTGAGCCCCGAGTCCCTGCTCCTGAAGCCCCAAAAGACTCTTTTTGCCCCCCGACATCCCTACGCCGACGAGCAGTGGCCTCCTTCCCCAGATGTCGGACCACCCGAGGACCATGAACTAAACTGATTGAGACGAACTTGGTCGAATTCCAAAATCCTCATTAGATCGGCGTTGGCCGTTCTCCAGAAAACGTTTTCCACCGATTAGACTTCACATCTTGGTTCCTTTGCCACGTTGTATCTTTTCTCCCCAGTTGCTCATCTACAGCAAAAAGAGGTGCTGTGATACTATGGTGTGATGGCTGAAAAACAACACCACCCTCAGCAATCTCAACATGGCGGCTTCGACGTCGACCACGAAGCTCATTACAATGAGACCGTGGCGGCGGGAACAGCGCCCTTGGGTCCCATATCGACGGCAGCACAAGCACACCACGATCTCACGTCGACCGTCGTCGACAAGGTCCCCGTGTGGTACGGCAGCCTGTCCAACGTCCGGTCCTTCGGCCGCTTCAACCCCTTGACCAGCTTCAAAAGAATCATGTACGCGTTGATCCCAAGCTTCATCACCACCCCGTCAGCCACGACACCGTCCAAGTCGGGAATTTCAGCGCTCGACGGCCTGCGAGGAATTGCGTGTCTGTTTGTGTTTGGGGAGCACTATGTCATCTGCTACCAGTCTCGCGACACGCAGGTTTGGATTATGAGGGTGCCCTTCATCCGGCTCATCTACTACGGCAAGGCGGCCGTGTTTCTCTTCTTCGTCATCTCAGGCTACGTGCTCAGCGTCAAGCCGTTGCGACTCATCCGGTCCAAGTCGTACCTCGAGCTACACAAGACCATCTCATCCAGCTTCCTCCGCCGCGCCATCCGTCTTTACCTGCCGTGTCTGATCGCGAGCTTCATTGCTTGCAATTTGACGAGCCTGGGCTTCTTCGACAATGCGTCTGTGGTCTACAAGCACTTTTCGCAATTCATCTTCTTGAAGGAGCGCCCGCCGCCACGCGTGAGTTTCACGTCACAGTGGCGAGGGTATCTCAACAACGCCGATTTTATTTTCAGTGGCACGATCCCCTGGGACAAGGACACCAACGTGCTTAATTACCACTCGTACGACGACCATCAGTGGACGATCCCCAAGGAATTCCAGAGTAGCATGGCCGTCTTCGCCTTGTTGGTGACGACGTCCCGGATGCGCCCTTTCTTCCGTATGGCCACCATCTTCTCCCTGGCCGTGTACGGCATGTGCACGGCTCGTCTGTACACGGCGCTGTTCTTCGCCGGCATGGTCTGCGCTGAGCTCGACCTCATCCGTGCCGCGTACTACGCCGACTACCAAGCACACCACGGCGGCCGCGGTGGACTGCTGCACAAGGTCATGCACCTCCCTGACGCGTGGTACAAGTGCATGTGGATTTCCCTGTTCACGGTCGGCGTATGGATGATCTCGTCGCCTCAAGAAATCCAGCGCACCCCAAACTACCTGCCTGCGTTGTTGGCCAGCTGGGGCATCTGGTGGCCCGATGACAAACTCCTCACTTTCGGTTCGATCCTCGTGGTCTGGAGCGTGGCCACCTGCCCATCGCTCGGCCCGCTGTTCAACAACCCCTTTGTCGCCTATCTCGGCAAAATCTCCTACGCTCTGTACCTCGTCCACGGAACCGTGATCAAGTCGATCGGGTACAATGTCCTGCCCCGAACTCTGCGCCTCGCCACGGGTGCCGGCGCCGACGTCGAATTGAACGCCGAGTGGTGGGCCACGGTCTCGAACTCGAACAAGGTCGTGGCGTACCTTTTGGGTTTGAGCTGCGTGGGAACCGTGTGTTTCTGGATGTCGGATCTGTTTTGGAGGTTTGTCGACATTCCGTGTGTGAATTTCGCCCGGGCCGTCGAGAATTACTTGACGCGCGGAGCAGACACAAATGAGGAATCATTGATGTTGTTGCCAAGGTCGAACCCGAGAACACCGTCCGTGGGTGGTGTTGGTGGTGTTGGCGGTGGACAACGTGCTGTGTCTCTCAACAACGGTGGATCGCGTGATGTGTCTTTGTCGTCATCGTCGATCGAACAGCATCAACATCAGCAATACAGTTCCAATCCCGTGTCGCCGGCGACGAGCAACGCCATGGCTGCACTGGGTGTGCAGAATCAAAAGAGGAAGAATGGTTGAAAATTGAGTTGCGAGTTTTGTTCGGTTCGGAATTGGAATACTTTCTGGCACACGGAAATCTTGCAAAGCATCGGAGAAAGGGGCGAGTTCGCATCGTCGTGTGTATTTATTTTTATCGTTAGTTACGTGGCAACAGAGATTGTGATTTCACGTTTTCAGACCGCACATTCGATAAGTGTCTACAAGAACATGGATAACGACCAAGGGTAAAAGTAATTCCAGCTTCATGTTGTCCCAGTTTCTATTTGTCCATTTGGTCCATTGTCGGACGAGGTACTGTATCTGTATGTTCGATCAAGGATATAAAAAAGTATAAAAAAGGTGTGAGTCCTCGATGTCGCCCGCCCTTCTCGAAACCGCCGCGCCTTACGCCATGAGTAAGGATACCACTAGGCAGTCATAATCGATCCAGAATCCGTATGACAGGTCATATATGAGAGGGATGAAAGTCAAAAGCCCAAAAATACCAAAGGTCTCAAACGCCCTGTAATGAAGTGAAAAATAACGTATGCCGGCCATGCTTGGATCCAGACTCGAACTCGGTCGTCGTCGTCGTCGTCGTCGATTATGGATGTCCATATTCCCAAGCGTCCACAACATCATCCTTTTCCAATTGACTCTCAACGTCGTCAAACTCGGGTCTCTTTTCTCCATATTTAGGTAGCGCTTCTTTGTCGACCATGGCTGCTTTGCCCTCCTTGGCGGCCTTTGCGGCGGCAACGGCGGCGGCCTCCTTTTTCAATTCGAGCTCTTCCTCTTCCTGTTCCGTTTGCATGGTGGCCGCCTTCTTGAGTTCGGCCAACTCTTTGGCCTTGGCCGCGTTTCTCTGTGCCCTCTCCTCCTCTCTCCTCCTGGCGGCTTCGTCCTTTTCCGCCTTCTTTCGGGTCTCTTCTTCCTCGATGATCTTGTTCCTCTCTTCCTCCTTTTCTCGGTTACGTTGGTCTTGGTTCTGGTTGTGCTTGTCCGAGTTCACCCGGACGTACTCCAGGGCCGACTCCTCCAGGCAAGCTCGGATGTCCCAACCCACGGCGTTGGCTCGCTCGAACGGGTCGACCACCCTGACGCGAGCGTCGAGCCAGTCGTCCGCGACCTTTTCGATGGCGGGGAACTCTTCGATCTGGCTGGCGCCGGCGGCGCCGGGTCCGGACTGGCCAAAGTATCCCGCCAGAGAAGGTAGGGTCCTCAAGAGGTCCCAAACGCCACTCAACCGAAGAACCTGAACGGTCGAGTCGTCCACCGAAAGGGTCAGGGTCATGATGTCCGTCTGGGCCCCTCGGTTGTCGTGGGCGTTCATGTCCCACCTGGCTATGCTGTTGGTGATCATGATACGCCCGGCAGTGCAGACGTCGGTCACCGTGGGTCCGTCCATGACCATGTTGGGACCAAAGTCGACGGCTTTGGACCCATAACTCAGGTAGAAATGTGTCGTGTTGGTGACAATCACGCCCAGTTCGGGTCTGTAGACGGCCATGCCGCAACCACCCGCATTCTCAATGTGAGTCCGGGGAAAGGCCGCGAAAGCCTGCACGCCGGCCGCTCCAAAGGACGTGGAGTGCTTGTGGGAGAGTGGGATGGGCACAAGTTGCGTCCCTCCGCGGAGACTAGCGTCGTGATCTTCGTGGTAGCTCAAGAGCTCCGGGGTCGTCGTCTGCTCGTACACAATGTCGCACATGCCGGAGATCAAGTGGCATTTTAGGACCGTCAACGGCTGGAATCGCCAGATGAAGTGGATGTGTTGACTCGGTTGACGCGTCGCGGTCATCGAGTCGTCCTCGTCACTCTCCCGCACGAAGAAAGGAGCCCAGTTCTTTTCTGTTTGTGCACGTTCTTCTTGTCCCCGAATGGTCAGGATACGCGAGCGTTGCGAGAACGGCCGGAAGACCCAGATGGCTCGCTTCCAGTCTGATTGTGTCGAGATCATGTTGAACACCACCACTGGCTCGGCGCCCTGGACACCTTCTTCGATGATGATGCGGGCGTCTTCGGGTCCGTACAGCGCCCCGGCAATGTCGTACTCGGTCTTTGTGTCGAAGATCTTGGGGAAGACAATTTCCTGGTCCTGCCATTTCAGTCTGTACCGATCGAGGTGGATCCAAGATTCGCTGAAGATTTGGCCTCGAAGGAAACTGATGAGGCAATTCTCGTTTTTCCCGTTGGGATGGTACATGACCCGCGACACACAGAGGTAGACGCCGTAGTCCTGCATGAAGACACAGGCCGTGGCAAGTCTATCCCATGACATGTCGACGATCTGTGACAGGGGGAATTTGTCTTCCCCGATTCTGCCGACGGTAGGTCGGTAGTTAACCATGGGATGTTTGTCGAGGTCTGCCGCAATTTCCATGAGGTTGTCGTGCAGGAAGAACGACTCCTGTACTCCAACTTGCGCCGAATGGGCGAGCGACGAACATGACAAATTTTTGGCAATATATTCTCCTCCAGGGATACCGGTGTTGTCGAAACCGTGTATCCGGTATGGAGTAAAAGCTCCTCGTTCTTCGTAGTCGAATTGCGTCTCGAACTCGAGGACGTCCTCGGCCGAGGAGGAGTCTGACGGTTCTTCGATACTCTTTCCATACTCGTCTAGCGCAGGTTGATATATCTCGCCCGACGACGAGGCTCCTGGGGATGAGGTTTCTGATGTCGTCCCAGGTAACACCTAGATAAATGCACTTAGCCGGGGGGATTCTTTCACATTATAGATAAAATGCCGCCAATATCCTTACATCACCGAGTATATTCTCGCGTACGTAGTACGCCTGGTGAACGAGTAACGATAGTAACACTAACGTTGTACAGGCGAACAGTATGCGTCTCGTCACCAATGGTCGTAAATTCACGTTGAAAGAGGGACTGGCAGGCCTTGGGCCTTTTTCGGATAACATGTCTTGTGGTCGACTCTTGTTTAGATTTCGTATCTTCGCCTGCTAAACGGACGACACGACACGACAATGAAGCTTCCGAAACAAAAGAATAGAAAAAAGAAAATCATACGACGCAGGACTAAAGCCAAGCAAATCCGATAATAGCCCCCAGTGCGCTGCCATAACGAAGATTCAAGGTGGCCAGGGAAAAAGGGTCAGTGGGCACTGGGTTGCATGATTTGGTGTAGAGGCTGTCAATGGTGTTTTGACTGCTCTGTGACACTTACGCGTGGGCTCACCTTGTAGAGATTATTGCGTTGGCGTCGTCCATTGACGCGACGTGTATCGTATCTCTTGCGATAGAGGTTTGCGTCATAGAGAGATGGTTGTGCACGGTTATATCAGCTAAATTAGTTCTCTGGTGTTTTTGTAGATGGCATTTTGTTGTTTTCTTGCATACGAGGAACAGAAGTAGTAGGGACGTTCCGGAACCTGATGCAAAGCCCTCCAAACCCTGGCGCTTGAATTGAGTGAGCCTCGGTAGGATCAAGAGGGAGCCTCTTAGCTGCCATCGCCGGGCCGGAAATATGGGATCTCCAGCGGACAGGATCATCCCACAAGTAAAAATCCAGGGACGCACATCGTGGCTGTGAGGATTCAAGAGGATTGTACGGTATCATGGCAAAGAAATTCGAAGTGGAGGTTTGATGGGCAAAATCCCCTGGATCGATAGCAAGGGGCATTGGAAGGCCTGGGCCCATTCTCGTCTGATACATCTTGATTTGTTCATTGCACCGTGGTTGACAGGTTGATGGGGCTGTCAGCGGTCGTGCTACTCGTTCCCCTGAGCATTTGACATTCATCTTGGTGAAACAAGTGGTCTTTCTGTACGATAGTGGGCGGAGATGGTCGGCGCAAATCTCTCCTCTTCAAAAACATCACAAGAGATAAGGTGAGATTGCGATGGCGAACTTGTCGATCGATGATGTCGACACCGATTCCGTTCAAGAATATTTCAAGAGAGGCCGATGCGTGTCGAGTTCCTAAAGATCCACCGTACGACCAAGCCCATCAAAGATTTCTGTCGAGTATAGAGACCATTCTCCGCAATATCTTCCTTAGTCAGCGAGTCCATCAACTATTTTATCACACCTTCAATTCACTCAACACTTTCCAACAACTACTCTCACATACTGTCTATCCCTCCCTTCACAGGACAACATTATACAACACTCCTTGGTGCAAACATCCACCTAAACAGTCACAGATAATTGATACTTGATATATTACGGTTTCCAAATTTTGTTCAACAATGGAACTCGTAATCTGAACACAAAAGGCCTTCCTTCATCGTACCCAAAATCCCTTCTGAAGGTCATTAGCGCAATGTTTACCAGCATGTCGCCTGTGACCTTTAGCAATATTCTGGAGAGAGTCGGGAGTAATGGGTGGTAGGGTTCGTGTCGCATCGGTGTTGCTCCTTTAAAAATCAGGCTACCTTGGTTTTCTATTCCCGTGATCCCTTTGGGGGTTATGGGATGAGTTTTTGTTATTGTTCGCCAAGAGAGATTTCGGTGATTCACTCAGACCGAGTGAATGTCCATGCTATTAATATTACCTGCTTACTATCTAGGCTCTTGCGTGATGAGGTTCTTTCCAGACCGTCGTCCTCAATCACTAATTGAACGGGTATGATGCGTTCCACTGGGCGAAACTGATGTTCGGGTACAGAGCCAGGGATGGGTCGATGATGGGAACATTGGACTCGTCGTCGTACGTACCATCCCAGCAGTACTTCTGCAAGCACTTCTCGCACTGATCAGGTCGAGTGATATTCAACTTGCTCAGGGTTCTGTCCACTGCAGCGCAGCCAATGCATTGAACCCAGTCTGACTCGAGAGTGCTATTCCCTTGGGTGACCACGTCCCAGCTGTTGATCAAGATTTCCTGCATCTGAACTGCTGTGAAGGTTGTCTTGAACCAGGTGTAGTTGGTGTATCCGCTGTACGGGGTGTTCATCATCTCGAGAACAATTGGACTGCTGAGGTCTCTCGTCGTGGTGTACTCTGGGTTGCAGCCAAAGAAGACGGGCTTTTGAGTGTAGTTGCGCTTGATCATGGTGGCAGGAGGAGGAATCTCGGGGAACGGTAGGCCATTGCGACGAGCCTGGATATAGGTATTGTAGAGGTTGGTTCCGTTGTTCCAGCCGTATGGGTTCGCGTCCTCATCATTGTCCCAGGAGATACTGTAGCAAGTCAATGTCTTATACTTATAATACAATCAGGGGGGAAGATCTTACATGAAGTCGACATTCCGGGCTGGTTGAATCATTGGCCAAAATGGTATGGACTGACCCATCTCCGATCCATCGGCGAGGCTGAGTGTGGCAGGCTCGGGCCCTTTGGTACCCGGCATACCCGCGAAGGGATTCGGTATGATGGGAGACACCGTCTGTTGCTTGGTAAGGTTGAAGTACTCTTGGAATGCATCGAACAAGCTCTCGACGGTTGCTGCAGGGAAGTCTGCACGTTTTGCAAGGCTGTGCTCCGCGGCGTTTGATCTCTTGGAAAATTGCGCCAGTGTTCCATTGGACAAGGCTTCGATATACCAGAAATTGAATGCAGATGCTGCAAGTCCCATGATGTAGCTATGGGAGAGATCAGTCTCATTGTTCCGAGCGGTGTAAGTGTTCCAAGGAATACATACCTGGCACGGTCGAAACCAACCACGCAGGATGAGCTATTGCCCGCCACTTTTCCATCTTGGAGTGTTGTTCCCAGGTATTCCATGGGCGTAAATCCTGTCGCGGATCCTGCAGATCCTAGCCAGGTACCAAATTCAAATGGCGTCATCTCAAACTAGGAACCCAATGTCAGCTGTACAACTCCTGAAGAGAGGCTCTTGAACCTACCAGGCTGGCATTCGCATAGGGAACCTTGAAGCCGAAAAACTTGATGTCATCATCGGTAAGTCTGGCGGCCTGGAAGATGGGCATTGGCATGGAATGATTCACGAAATTGCTGAGGTTGCGAACGCTCGAGAGTGTGACATTGAGGCCACCATTCGGAGGTGGCAGGAACTCATAGCCAAAGCCCAACCCGAGGTAATCTGACACGCCGACATCGAATCCTGCCTGAAACTTTGCGCCAATATCTTCGAAGATTACTGTATCGTTCGCGGCGTACATGCTGTTGTTGGGTTGGTTGAAGAGCCGATCAATGTCAGTATGCCAGTTGGCCACCATGTCGTTGACGGTTGGGAAATTGTAAGTAGCCAGGGACATGGGCGGCCACGCTCCTCCCGAGAGGCCCGCAAAGTACGTGAGACTCTGGAGCAGTCCACCGGTGCGTTGGTCGATGGCATCAGAGAAGCGACCATCGAAGGCTCTCAAAGCCCCTGTGCCTGTGAGCGACGACGCCCAGCCGCCCCCGCTGATAGCCATGCCGATGACGGGGACACCAGAGTTCTGGTTCTTCTGCATGGCCTTTCGCAATCCAGAGACATCCAGGCCTGAGATGTTGAGACGTTCAAGGTAGTCGCCAAAAGCATCGACGACAACACCTTTACGCCCCTTCACCCAGTCCCGTTCTTCGTCAGACAGACCGTTTGCGGGTCTGATCCATTGCTCCTTGGCGGGACACTGTTTGTACACGGGAGCGTAGCTGTCAAAGCTGTATGCGGAAACGGTGGTGCCGAGCGCTATGAAGGCAATTAGCTAAGAACCACCGACGAAGAACAAGAAGAAGGAGGAGATTCAGTACCTGCCACAGGCAACATCAAGTCACGAAGAAACCACATGGTGCTGGTTCTGGTGTTCGTATTCGCTGTCTATCTGAAATGAGAGCGTATGAGAAAAGTCGTCTGCACCTTTTTCGAAAGGACCGGCACCACGTACTTAAAAGCCTTCCAGCTGCCGCACTGTTCAGTTATACATTTGTTGGAATTGATGTCATCGCTTTTCTTGAGATGCTGGCCAGGGCCAAGGGTATCGGGACCCAAAAACCATCGTGCTGAATGGTAGCCAATGGCCAGCAGATGCATCCTGGAGGGAAAGCTTGTATGGCTGGAGCTCGCGCATGATGCCAAACGGGGATCTCTGCGGCCGGGTGAGGCTGTTACGTCGGTCACTCGTGCGAATGACTTACAGCATGTTCCGCGCGGCTGGTGGCCTTAAGCCCCAAGAGAGCCTTGCGTTGATTGGAAAACCAATGTGAAATTGCACTTTTGGTGGCACAATGGACTTCTCAATTGGGAAATCCATTCGATACTACGGAGGGCGGGGATTAATAAAAATGAGTCCAACTGCTATCGGAAAGTATCACGAGCTGAACGGCTGAAGAAAACTACCATCTCCATAGAGTGGGCTCCTCTCATCGACCGGAGAAGTGGATCTGGGTACTTCTTCTCACTCGCCTGGGTTCGCCGACTTGCGTAAGCAAACACGAGGGTTGTTGGCCAATGCTTCCATCAGGCTTTCAATGGTGGTGAGTTCTAGTTCCCTCTCCCCGCAGAGTTACAATAATAAGAAGGGGGAGTGATCGGGGATGGTTGTCAGTGCGTCCGTAACTATTTTTGTCCCGGCGTATACAAATTGGGCTAGATGCACTAGGGTGCTCAAGGCAAGGACTTACAAACACGGGATGTTTACAGACTTTGAGCTTCTCTCGAATACAACTTCAGGCGTCGTCATCATCTGATTGAGACCTTTTCTTTTTCCAAAGAGACTTTTGTGACTTACTGTCAGCACAAAATTCGCAGCCTTGTTCTGATCAACCAAAAGGTCACTGCCTGATCATGGCCAAATTCGGATGGCCATTGCAACGACAAGAGGCCGAGATGTATGTCATTCTCTCGGTCCTATGGTAAGGCACATTACTTGCTGGTGACAAATCCAGTCATGCAAGGCTGGCTTACCTGGCGGATATAACGGTCGAATTGGCTCACCGTTCATGTCAGCCGTTGTCCGCGAACTGCAACAACATGCTATTTATGAGTAAGACTATAAGTTGAGAAGACAGATATAAAGACAGTTCAAGCCATGCGAGTTGTAAGGATGAGTTCCATCTGTCAACCTGTCCTTCTCAGCACCTCGATTCCGTCTCGGCAAGAGTGAAAGTCAAAGCCAAAAATGTCCAGGCCCAGGCATATCGCAATCGTTGGTGGTACAGGTCTGCTCGGTTCACCTGTCGTCGAAGCATTCCTGCGGAAAAGGGACGTGTTCGACCTCACGCTCATCACCCGAAGTACTTCAACCCACAAACCACCCTCGCATGTCACAACTGTGATCGTGGATGCACTCGATGACGTGTCGGAGAGCAGTCCTCTCGTCCAAGCACTACGGGATCAGGACGTCCTGATATCGACTCTGAATTCCGCCGTGGCAGTGAAGCGTAAGTTCTGGTAATCTGTTACTACTTCTCCTTCTACTTCTACCATCACCACCTAGGTGGTGCATCCTCGGCAACGTTTTCTCCTCCACATGTTCTTGCTGATAATTCGTTGTATCAGTGGAACCAAGGTTGGTTGAAGCCGCCATCCAAGCTGGGGTCACACGCTTCATGCCGTCCGAGTATACCTTTGATGTCACTCACGCGACAGCACGGGAACTCGGAGAGGGCAACCTTATCGGTGAACGCGTATCTTGGGCTGACAGGTTGAGTGAAATCGCCGCTGAGGGATCGATAACCTACACGGCACTCGTCACGGGTAGCTTTCTCGATTGGGGCCTCAAGGGTGGCATGTGTGGGTTCGACCTGGCGCATCAAGAAGCAGTACTGTACGACAAAGGAAAACACGCAGCGACAGGATGCACGGTCGAGTTCGTGGCGAATGCCATTGTGGCTTCCTTGTTGCTCCCAGATGACGAGACGAGGAACCGGCGCATCTACGTTGCCGAAGTGGAATATTCCGGTCTAGAAGTGCTCGAGATATGTCAACAAGTGACAGGTAACGAGTGGAAAGTCTCCGATGTGAGTGTACAGAGTGTTTTGGAAAAGGGTCGGCAGCTCCAGGCACAAGGGAACCTGAGAGGAGCGTATCTGAATTACGCTGTGGCCTTGAACTTCAACGGTTGTGGAGCCGTTGACCTCAAGACCGGTCTGGACTTTGGCCGGACACTTGGCCTTCAGAGACAGAGTCTGGAGAGCATCATTCGACATGCAATTGGGGATGTTACAGAAACACGCAGGGAGTCGCCGTCTCGAGAATAAACGATACAGGACCATCATATGATACTTTTAGCATCCGGAATTATGAGCCACCAACTTCCATTATTGTCTAAATACCAAATGCAGTAGGTATTTAGGGCACCTCTATCGACAGTACGTGCACTCGTACCTCCCACAGGTACCGGACCGTATTTCGTTGGCTGTGTGTCTGTGTGACCTGCTTTCCCCAAAGGAAGAACCCCATCATTACCACTTTTAATCCCAAATACCCCACATTGTTTCTCCAGATCAGTTGTTGCTCTCTCTCTCTCCCAGAGGAATGGTCACAGTAGGTAATAATGATGATGATGATGATGAATGACTTGCCGACCATTTTACTCCGTTGTTAGTGGTTTGATTCTTTCCTAGAAACGATATAAGAGTCTATTGATTGCTCGTCCATAAACAAACGGAATCTCTTAGGCTCTCGTTCCTCTTTTTCTCTCTGACAAGTACTTTTTTCCCCGACAAGCATACCTGCAAGAAGACGCAACCATGTCGTCCGACCCTAAACCGTGGGTCATCATCGTAGGGGCCGGCCCATCGGGACTCCTGTTGGGTCTGTTGTTGGCCAAACGAGGTATCCCCGTCCAACTGGTCGACCTGACCTACGAACTCGACAGGAACCCGAGGGCGACTCACTACGGCCCTCCGGCGATGCACGAACTCAACCGCGCCGGCGTGGTGGGGGAGATGCGCGAGCAAGGATTCCTCCCCAACTCGGTCTGCTGGAGGAAAATCGACGGCACGTACCTCACGGGGGTCGACATGAATGTCATGGGAGACTACCCAGACCGCATGGTCTGCCTGCCCCTCAACAAACTGGGCAAGATCATCTACGACCACCTCCAACGACAACCTTCCGCCACCGTCAACTGGGGTTACAAGGTCGTCTCCCTGGGCCAGGACGACGACAAGGCCTGGGTCAACGTCGAGACCCCCGAAGGTCCCAAAAAACTCGAGGCGAAGTACATCGTCGGCTGTGACGGCGCCAACAGTCAAGTCCGACGGTCCTTGTTTGGAGACTGGGAATTCCCCGGCAAGACGTGGGAGAATCAAATTGTCGCTACGAATGTAAGAAAAACTGACTCACCAGTCAAAACACACCCCCCTTGATGTTATTATTTACCCACGCCTATATTACCGCCTATCGTGTGGTCTCGTGTCATGACTAACAATTCATCTTGTGGGCACAACAACAGACATACTACGACTTTGAACCGTACAAATGGCTAGATTCCAACTTCATCATTCACCCCGAACACTTCTTCATGGCCGCACGTATCGGCACGGACGGGTTATGGCGTATTACTTATGGTGAAAAGCCGGGCCTCACCACCGAACAACTTCGTGAACGTCTACCGATGAAATTCAAGACCTTTTTGCCCGGTCATCCGGAACCCGATCAATACAACGTCGTCAACTTCAGCCCCTACAAGATTCATCAGAGATTGGCTCCCAAGATGAGAGTTGGGAGATTTTGTTTGGCTGCTGATGCTGCTCATTGTAAGGTTTTACTTTTCTTTCTCTCCCTCGACACCTCTCTCTTTCTCTCCCGTGGCCCTTTTCCTTCACGTCTTGGTATCTGCGCTGACCTCATCCAATCAGTATGTAACCCATTCGGCGGTATGGGTCTGACGGGTGGGATCGTCGACATTGGTGGTCTTTATGATTGTCTCGTGGGCATTTACGACGGTTTGGCCGACGACTCTATCCTGGACAAGTACTCGGAGATCCGGATGAAAAAGTACAATGAAATCATCAACCCGATCTCGAGTGACAACATCTTGAGGTTGTTCGACCAGGACCCCGACACCGCCATGGAAAAAGATCAGTTCCTTCAGATGTTGAAACGCGCAGAGACGGATCTGGAATTCGCAAAGGAGATGCAAAACGGCGCAAACGCACTCATGCATGATTTCACTCAGTACTACTCCAAGAAACCGGCCGCCACCACCAACACCACCAGCGAAAAGGTGGGAGCGGTGGCGTCAGAGGTGCCATTGCCTCAGGCCGTTGCGACTGGAGGTGTCAACTGATTATTAAATCGATTGTGAAAACAGAAAAAAAAAAGAAATCTCTCAAGACATATATGTACAGAAGTCGTACGGAGTAGTTGTGATGTGTTTTACTTTATCTACAATTCACCCGTCATGACTTATGTGTAGGTATGTAAACTTTGCTCTTTACTTCGCAAGTAAAGCATCGTGTAAACAAGGCCGCTTCTTCAATTGCCGGCCAAAACGGCTCTTAGTTCATCAGCGTGGTGTGTGTACATGGTGTGTGAATCGTCCGTAGATTAGTTACACCTTGACGTCGTGGATTTGTTCTTCACCGGCATGACTATCCTCGGCGGGGGAAAAGACCTTTCCGAACCTGAAATGGGCAAGATCACTCATGGTCCTCGTGGTGTTGCGGAGGTTCTGTCGGACCAGCTCGCCCGTGGGTTGGCTGAAGATCAGGTCAATCTCTTCGAGGGTCTTGTTCTTGGTTTCTGGCATGAACAAGATCTGGTAGATCCACCCGAGCACGGCGATCCCCCCGTAGAACCCGAGGGTCAACCCGGTCTTGGTCATGGCCCGCTGCATGTCCAGGAAGAAGTAGGTGACGAGCCAGCTGCAGAAGAACAAGTTGACGTCGGTGGACTCCATGCCGTAGGACCTCAGGTACGTCGGGAAGACCTCGGACGGCAAGACCCACGTCAGGCAGGCGTACGAGCCGAAGAAGCCATTGTACAGGATGATGCCCGTCAGGTACAGGCCCTCGGTGGCGACCAAGGTGTGCGTCTGGTAAGAGACACCCACCAGGATCAGGCCGACGAAGAAGCACGGGAGCATCATGTTGGCCCAGAATCGACGGCCGTACTTTTCCATGAACAAGACGCCCGGGATGGTACCGAGGAGCAACGACCCGCCCCCCACGAGTGACATGAAGACCGACTGTTTCTTGTCGAAGCCGATTTGTGACATCAAGGTACTCATGTAGTACATCTATGAAAGGGACACGTCAGTATGTGTTGTCCGAGACTGCAAAAATTGACAAGCAGAAAAGAGCAAGTAACGTACGATGGCATTGATACCCGTCAATTGACCCAGGGCGATCATAATGTTTGCATAAACGATCGATCGTCTCGCGCGCGGTACGGTAAAGAAGTCGAGCCAGACGAATCTCTTGCGTTTTGTGTCGCCCTCTCTAGCTTCGTGGTCGAGAGCGTGGTGCATGATGAAGAATTCCTTGCGGTCCTCTTCCCTTTCAAGACCTCGGATGCGCTTCCACACGGCAAAAGCCTCGAGGGTTTTGCCCTTGTGCATCAACATTCTGGGAGACTCGGGCATCCACATCATTCCGACCAACATGATTGTGCTAAAAACCAACGATGAGCCGAGCATGTATCGCCACCCACCAGAGTGGACGTTGACGAATATGGCGGCCACCACGTAGCCTATGACCTCACCGAAGGCGATCATGAACTGGTACAAACTGACCAGGTTGCCACGGTACTTTTTCTCGACGGACTCGGCGACGTAGACGGGGACGGTACCACCTTCGAGGCCCAAGCCCATGCCCAGGATGACACGAGCGGCGACGATCATGCCGAAATTGATGGCTCCGGCCTCGAGAGCGCCGCCAATGGTGTAGAGAATGAGGGAGATGATGATGGCCATTTTCCTCCCGACGAGTTCGTTGGTCGGACCTAGGATGAGAGCACCGCCGATGGCGCCCAGTGGCACCGCCGAGCTGGTCAAGCTGACTTGTGAGGTGCTGAGGTGTAGATCGTCGGGCATGTAGAGCAGCGCGCCGGAGATGACACTCTGGTCCAGACCCGAGAGCATACCACCCATGGAGGCGAAGCCGACGAGGAGCCAGGTGAAGTGACGGGGGTCGTTGAAGGATATCTGAGGGTTGAGGAACGAGCTCTTGATGGGGTTCTCGGCCAATGCAGCCTCGAACTCAGCAATCTCGTCGTCGACTATGGCGGTTTCGTCGGCGAGTTTCATGGCCTGCGCCTCGCTGAGCCTTCGGGACGCCATGGACATTTGTCGGGCGGTCACAGGCTTCGAGGTATCGTTGTCGATCTTGTCATGTTCGAGGTGTGCGAGGGTGGTGGAGTTGTCGACTCCAGGCTTTTCAGGGTTGGCCATGGTGGGATTATAACAGGCAGTAGTACTCTCACACGAGGACTGATCGTATAGAGTTCATCGAGAGGGTGTCAAGTATGGAGAGGAAGTCCCGTCTTTATACTTTGAGCACAAAACAACTCCTCTGGAGTATTTCTCCAGTGGATATCCCATGTCTCCGGAGAGGAGGTGGGTTGAAGCCTCGAGGTGCGATGTGTGTCGCCAACCCTCAGTCGTCAGGGCGGATGTGTACCCGGTCAATCAGATCAACAAGTTGCATCGAGAATGGGCACCGCGGTGAAAGTCTCGCAGAAACACGGCCATCCAACAAGGTGATCCATGGGACTTGTGAGTGGGGTTGTTTTGATGTTTCGATGGACCGGCAAACGATCGGCCATGCAAGAGAAGGATCATAGAAGCAATTCATCAAGCTTTTTGCCGTGGGTGGAGGCGTTAAGTATCCGCCATATCCGTAGTCCAGCATCTAACTCGCCGAAAACCCCCTGCTTGACGGCCCTTGTTGCAGCCTTGCTAGACCCAAACCGAGGCTGATATGGAGATCAACGAAACTTTGTCAGTGGCGACCAGCCTCTCATATGGCTCGTGCTCGTCGTCATCCTTTTCCTGATCATTTCCATTCCATCAAGGTGCTGAATTGCCGACGTCGGCGACTGACAATCTTCCATTGTGGTAGAGAATATTCTTCAAAGCACAATTCATCAGCCGATAGAGCCGTTGTAACAGTCGCATGGATGCCCCTTGTACTGAGTAGATGTGCATATATTATAGTGAACATGCGAGCGATTCTCATGTGCATAGTAACCACCCGTGAGTTATATTTTTATAGCATCCCTAGAAGCCTTAATCCTGCCACCATCTAGGCCTACACTCCGTGCTTCTGCGGATCAACTACGTTTTACTCATGAACAACATCAAAACCGCCTTTTGCGCGTTCATACCACACTTTGGCCCCGGCTTGGGCTTCAACAATAATGGCCCATTATTTACGGAGTACGACGTTCCGTACAAGACATGAATAATAAATCTCTTCAAGGTTTTGCACCGACATGATGATTCCCCACCGAGCCGGGATTAAATAAGTGGCGCCTCAGTACACAACAAGGTACATGTCAGCGAGACAATGCCTTGTCCATTTAGAATGAGAAGAGCTGTACTCCCGCGTACAGCGGATAATAACATACCCGGCTCAAATATCTTTCGTTCTTCTCCGGTATGCGCTTGCTGATGGTGACTAGCGTTTTGGACAATTTCTCCGGGTGCTACACGTCAACATCTAGACTTGAGTTACAAATGACCTAAAGCGCTCCTGTTCAATCAATGCCTTGACATGGTCATGGTTCCTGGGAGTCGCAAGTACAAAAACCCTGGAAGGAACAATGTTTTCACTGTAAGCAATCCGGAACTCCTCGGTCCGCGACACGACCCCCGGGCTTGAATCTGGTGAGCTCCCTTCTCTCCAGCCTTGACCACTTTAGCTATGTGAGGAAATCCAAGAGGCAGGAGATCTGTACCTTATGACAGAATAAATAATTGGATGTCCTCTTCTACCGTAATATCACACATGGCTCATGTCCTTGTGACTACCACCCGTTACGTTACCATCTGGGTCGGTCAGCTATTATTCGACTACTATATAAGTGTTTAGTGTTAGTCATGGATCTTGCCAGCTCTACAAGGCTTGAAATGTATAATTCATTAATCGTGCGACTGCTGCTCAATAATAATTGGGCTGCCCTGAGACGCAGTCCGTCCTCAACTGAGGAGTACCTATCCTATACTCCGTACTAGATAGTGCCGACCAATGCTGATACACTATCTATGTTTAGAGGTTTCGGTTTCCGGCCATCCAACAGTAATATTCTTCATCGTGTCCTCCGTCGTATTATTCATTTGTAATTTCGGGGTTTCCACTTGGACAGCCTACTCAGCGTGACCATGGACAGTAAGGTAAAATACTCGCGGTCGTCGTTGATCCGATGCACAAAACTTGATGGTCATATCCAGATACGAATACGAGTAGGACGTGAGAAGTACAGTATAGTAAAAGGACGGATTCTAATAAACTCCAAAATTTGATATTCCTCACTTCGATCAAGGACCTCATATCCACCAGATTCGCTGACCAAGTCTAATGGAGTCACCACAAATCTCCAATATCGTATCCGTGCTTTAATTTCTCCGTACTATGGTGGTGACGATGAACCAGAACCAAAAGAACTCACGGAGCGAGTAAAGCCGACGATAACCGTCATCCCAAGACGAGGATCTAACCGAGAGCACTGTTTTCTCTTATTTACAAAACTAATACCCCGTCAAGTACGGGAGTAAATGATATTGGAACTTGACAGTAGTAGTAATAGTGGTAGTAGTAGTAGTAGTAGTTTGTGAGCCGGAACTAAACTCATCACCCCGAATTTCAGGCAACGAGAACAAAAAGAAGGTTGAGATGGTAAGAAAAAAAAGGTGGTCGATGACTCAGAAATGCATGTCATTGGCAACTCCGATACACACAACAACATCCAAAGGGCGCGATCTTGCATACCTATACGCGCTACACCTACGTCAATACTGATACTCACCTTCTCCAACTGTAACAGAGTACTCTAGATGTACATATAAAGATCGAGACTGATACAGAGTGATAAATCTGCCCTTTCTTGGTAGGAAGAGACAAATACGAGTACAAAATCCCAAGGACGAATCCGACAATTCTATACAAAATCTCCTAACCATGGCTCTGCTACCTACATTTGAATTACCCAAGGCAAGTCCTCTCTCGCTCTCTTCTCTCTGCAACATGACCATATCTTCACATCACTTACAGAGTAATAATACATTTGCATTTTGTTTTATTTTTTTTAATTTTATTTACATCAATTAATCAATTCACAATAGTATGTTGAAGGTCGCGCCCATGAAGCCAAATTTGCTCTCGCAGGTAGCGCTACACCATACCTTTCCATCAAGGAATTGATCTCGCTATCTTCCGAGCCCGAAAAGACAGCCCAAAACTTGGACGCCATTACCTCTCTGAAGTTCGGCGGCAACTTGCACTTGGGAAGACTGGAAGTACGCTCCGCGATCGCGAATTTGTACAACGGAAGTATATCGCCGGATCAAGTCATGACGGCGGTGGGCACGACCGGGGCCAACTCGACCGTGTTCACATCTCTTCTTACTAGCGGTGACCATGTCATTGCACTGTTTCCGACCTACGGACAACTCTCTGGTCAACCCAGAGGTTTTCCCTGTCAAGTTTCATCCTGGAACTTGGACGTCAATGACAATTGGAAGTTGGACATCAATCAGCTCAAAACCTTGATCAGACCAAACACGAAAATGATTGTGCTCAACAACCCAAATAACCCGACCGGTACTTACATGGACGCCGACATGCAAAAACAAATCTTGGACGTCGCCAGCAAGCACGACATTGTAGTCATGGTGGATGAGATCTTTCGACCGCTCTACCACGGCGGAGAAGAAGTCCCCCCTTCATTCGTCGAACATGACTACACCAAGGTCGTCGTGACGGGATCCATGAGCAAGGCGTACGGCTTGACGGGTGTGAGGGTAGGTTGGATCGTTACAAAATCCAAGGACCTACTTGCCAGGTTCCTCAACACGAGGTTTTACGCCTACACTTCCGCGAGTGACATCGACGAGGTCATCGCCGCAGAGGCCTTGAGCGAGAGGTGTCGTCCGGCCATCCTCAAGAAACATTTGGGTAACGCCAACGATAACCTGCCGTTGTTGGAAGCCTTTGTCAACAAGAACAGTGACATGGTGTCTTGGACGAAACCGACGGCGGCGGCGACCGCCTTCATCAGACTCTCATGGAAGGGAAAACCGATCGACGACGTCGAGTTTTGTCAGGCCCTCTTGGATGAGGAAGGGTTGCTGTTGGCTCCAGGTAGTTTGTGCTTTGGAGAAGACCGTCAAACAGAACTAAAGGGTTTCGTGAGGTGCCATTTCACGCTCCAACCAGAGAAGCTGGTCCCGGCTCTAGAGGCTTGGGAAACCTTTCTTCAAAAGAGGCGCGCCTCGTTGTCGTAGTGTTATAGTTTCCTCTGTACATCGACATATTTTGCGTCCACTCAAGGAATTGCTGGTGGGTCAGCGCAAGCCACCAATTTTTGCCATACCGATAAATCGTTATTGAAGGAGGCCCCCGTGTGCGGAAGCAGAACCCCAGGAGGGTTGACAATTCCCATTACGAGTACAGGAGTGATAGTCATTCTGACTCCGATCAGAGTAAGGTTGCAAACTACAAGCCTTGGAATTATCGTTGGATGGAAAAAGCCAGCCTTGTTCTAAACTGGTGGATTGTATAGCTTGACAGCAGCGTGGAGAAGACATCTCTGTGTTTGAGAAATTGGCAGTCACGATCTAAGATCCTGAATGTTAAGTGAGCCCTCTTCATGCTTCGAGTGCTCGTTGGCACGCGTCGAAAGCCGGAAGGCCTCACCACTCGACTGACGGGATAAGGAAGAGTTTCTATTATCGGGCTCACCGTCCAGACTGCCTCCCCACCTTCATCAGCCTCAGGAGGCGGGAAACAGAAGAAACTTGGCCTGGATGAAGTTATCAGAGGTCAGTCTTGGCCTTGTGCGTGACACACATCGCCCGGGCGGGTGGGACGAGTGACCGAATTCGGAAGGCGTTTGAAAAAGATACAAGACGCCGCATACTAAAATAACAAGACCCCCCCCCCATCAACCCCTTAGATCTCAGCCCTATCTTGATCAAAGCCACCACACGGCACACATCAATCATTCCTCTTTTCATCAGGGGCGAGATGAAAAGGCCAACTGGGTGACCCGTTCGTCATTCGTGCCCGTCCAACTGACTGACGACAGCCGCATCAGCTGTCAAAGCTATGCCGGCATTGGATTATCAGCGTGCATTTATTTGGCCATCTCAGGGCAAGTTTTGACCATTCCAATTCAAGTAACCGTTTGAACCCCCCTTCGTCAAGGGCCTCGACCTATGCCATGTTCAATGACAACAAAAAGGCCTGCGGCAAGCGCAATATTCTCAATCATTAGCCATTCCGTACTCCATTTTACCATGTGCTGAAAGGCGCGTACATCGAACGAAAAAGCCAAGGTCCCAAATTGTGGCTACAGTCCAGCCGATGACTGGGAACTTGATTCATTCAGCCAGCCAGCCTTGCACCTTGCTACGTCTCCCCTATGCTTGACATCTCTCATGGGCCGTGGTTGCAGAGCGGTAGATATGCAATATAACGTAGAGGGAAAAGAAATATATATATCTACTGACTGCCGGGGATGGCAACTGACAAATCCACCAAGACCATAATTGTCCAGCATAATTCTTCTGTGAAGTTTTTTGGTATATAGTTTTCCAACATGGCCCAAGCACTCAGAGACACTCCTGCAGGACATTTGTTACGCCTGATCGGCTTCAGATCATACCTTTCATGGCCCGAGGAAGCTCCCAACTTCGAACCTCGACAAATGCCAGCCATTGCCAAAGAGATATCGTCGTCCAGTGATGATCTCGAAAAGACCTTGTCCAAAATCTCCGCCAGGGTCGGCACAAAAACCGATGAGGGCAGCGACATCATCACAAACAACAAAAAGTTATCCCGAAAGGAACTTGCGGACGCCATCGTGGTGACCTTTGCAGAAAACGATCAAGACAATCCTCGCAATTGGCCCCAAAGGAAAAAGACGTGGACGTTGACTCTCGTCAATGTTTACACCTTTGTCGTTTACCTCACCGCCTCCATCATCACTCCCGACGTCGAGTTCATCATGCAGAGATACAATGTGTCCATTGTCGTGGCAAGTCTCGGGCTGTCCATGTACGTCGTTGGCTGTAAGTGTCCGTGTTTCTGGCTGGGTTGGGTGGCTGCTAATGTCAATCAGACGGTATGGGTCCCATGTTCTTCTCACCTCTCAGCGAAGTTCCGAGCATCGGAAGAAACCCACCTTACCTTTACTCCTTCACCATCTTCATCGTCATGTCGATCGCTCTTTGCTTTGTCGGCAATTTCCCCGGATTGATCGTCCTTCGATTCTTGCAAGGCTTCTTCGGGAGTCCTTGTCTAGCCAGCGGCGCTGCTTCGATCGAGGACGTCTACGATATGTACGGCGCACCCTACGGATACATGTTCTGGGTGGCATCCATGTACTGTGGACCTGCGTGAGCTTTCCTTCTCCCCTCCTCCACAAACCACACACTGACTTTCTTCTGGTAGCTTCGGACCTCTCCTGGGCGGTTACGCCGTCATGAACAACTGGAGGTGGCCGCTGTACGAGACGGTCATCATGTCTGGCATCATTCTACTTCTCCTACCTTTTCTCCCGGAAACAAATCCCAACACCATCTTACTTCACCGGGCACAACGGCTGCGAAAGGCGACCGGCAATGACTTGTACCTGGCACCTTGCGAGATGAGATCTGCCCCTTTCGGTGCTGCGTTGAAAGAAGCCATGATCAGACCCCTGGAGATCAGCGTCAAGGACCCGGCCATCGGCTATGCATGTGTGTACGGCGCTCTCGTGTACGCCACCTACTATTCCTTCTTCGAGGCGTTCCCTCTTGTGTATCTTGGCACATACAAGATGTCCCTAGGAGCCATGGGTCTGATCTTCACCAACATTGTCGTCGGTTGTATGTTTGCCGTCGTGTGCTATTACCTTTACCTTCGACGGGTCTTCATCCCAAGAGCCAAAAAGTATCACGAGCAGAAAGGCGAGCCAGTACAGCAAGAACAGTGGCTTCTGCCTGGCTTTGTCGGCGCTTGGGGTCTGCCCGTCGGACTGCTGATCTTTGCTTGGACAGCTCGTGAAGACATCCACTGGATCACTCCGACCGTCGGCGTTGCCATCTTTTGTGCTACATCATTTTGGATGTTCCAGAGCATAGTGTGCTATGTCGCATTGGCGTACCCTCGTTACGTCGCTTCGCTGTTTGCTGCCAATGACTTCACCAGGTCCATGACTGCAGCGGCGTTTGTACAATTCTCACGACAAATGTATGTCAATCTCGGCATCTCGAAGGGGGTGTCGCTGGTGGTGGGATTGTCGGTGATTGGAATCATCGGCATGCATGGCCTTTATCATTTTGGCGCGCAGTTGAGAGCGCGAAGCAAGTTTACTGGTTGATTGATTTGATTCAGCCTTTGTGAGATGAGTGCAGGAATCTGGTCTGTCGTAATGATTGTCGCGAATGAATACAGCAATGACTTTTTGAACTTGTTTAATAATTTGTTCCGTGTCGGGCCAAGATCTTCAAGAGACTCTTCCTTCCCTCACTTGCCACACTGGCCGTCCCCATGACACGAGCCTTGGAGCGAGAACCGGGAAAAGTGTAGCCAGGCAGTCAAGTCTCGGATCTCGGCACCGATATCCGAGTGTCGATTTTCCAGCTCCGACAGCTCCCAGGAGGCATTGCTTGATGTCAAGTTAGAATGCTGGAAACGTGACTGATAGCTGCAATTTGATTAGCTCAGTGGGTCGTAGTATACCTTAGGAAAGTCGCTAGAATGTGAAAGGAGTGTGTTGTCGTGTGTGCCGGGCATTCTCGGATCATACCCATACGCGGCGTGGGTGAAGCGGTGCCAAAGCGTGCACGGATTTGGTGGTCCGATGGCAAGAGTCCCTTTGCTTCAAATGATATTAATCTGAATATTCGCGAGATGCGGCCTAGACAAGATTAACGAAGAAGAACTCTCAAGACTTGATTACCAAAGGACTATGGGCAGCATGGCGGCTGCAAAACTCCACATGGAAATAATTGCCTGATTCTGTCCCAATTTGCTGCAGATGGAGGGACTTATTGGTGGGTTATGGATGGTGGTGTTCGGAGTACCTCGTATGTTGCTGGGCTCCGGCTCGTCGGCTAAAAAAATACTGCTCTCCACGGATCCCTTGATTTGGGCAGTAATATAGGCCGTCATCCCCAGTCCCCGAGGGTCCGGCGTCTTGATCGAGACACCGCAAAGTGGACACGGACACGATGGTGCCCGACTGACCACCAGCTTTTCGCCCGCCCTTGCTTTAAAGACCTTCGGATGCCGTTTTTTCGTGTGGTGAGTGATTTTTCGCCCATGTTTCCTTTGTCTCAATACATTCCCTCACTACCAAAATTCCCTTGAACATGGCCACAGAGACACCTGACACTGTCGTCGTCAGTGTCGTCACACCAGAAGAAGACAATGTTCCAATTTCCGAAAAGATAAACCTTGATGATCTAGCGCAGGCGAAAGGACAGCAGTCCGATAGCCACCCAAATACACAAATCCAGGTGAAACAGTCGGCTTCGAAATTCAGTCGTCTGCGCACGCACCTCTCCAGTCCCATCCGAGTCGACCTATTTGCTGAAATCGAGCTCCTCATCGTAACCTTCTGCACCGGCATTCAAGATGTGACCACGTTCCCAGACTATCACTGTTTCGCATCTAACCAGACGGGCAAGTTGGCAATCTCATGTCCCCAAGACACTCGCTCCAGGCTGATAAGAACAAAAAGGAAATACCGTCATGTTCGCAATGGCCGTCATCCTACCTGAAGCTACACATGACCTGTTCATCACCGCCAACATCGGTATGAGTCTCGGCTGCTTTCTCCTCGCAGGATACATTACAGGCCAACTGAGTCATATAATTGGACCTCGAAACCGTGCTTGGATCGTATCCTGCAACTTCTTCCAGACAGGGTTGATCTTTATCGCGGCAGCACTGCAATACAGTTATGGTGTTCACGTCGAGGGTACACACACGGTCATTATAATCGGGTTGTTGGCGTTCGCGGCAGGAAGCCAGGTCGTGCTGAGTCGGAGTTTGAGTATGACAGAAATCAGTACGGCCATGGCCACGGCGGCTTGGGTCGATTTGCTCATCGACAAGAACCTGCTCGCTTTGAGGAACAGACCTCGGACAAGACGTGCCAGTTTCCTTGCGGCTCTCGTTTCAGGCGGCTTCTTCGGTGCGTACATCTATCGCGTAGTTGGAAGTGAGGCAGCTTTATTGCTGTCTGCGGCTGGTAAGCTTATGGTGACGATAATGTTCTTATTCAACGGGGCTGAGAAGCCGAAAGTGGCCCAAGTTTCTGTGTGAGGATGTGAATCTTGGTTGTGGCCACAAGAGGCGGAACATCTGTCAATTTCAGCGTTGCATTTCTGTATATCAGCGGATATCATCATTCATGATTAGCGTAGTGTTCGGAGAGTATAAGCATCTGGTATTCCAATTTCTGGGTTGGAAAAGAGATAGATATATCGGATCTGTAATGTGAGACCTTGGTCCTTAGATAGGTAGTGGTATGCATAGAAATAGATCTGCTTCCATCGAGCATCGACGGCTGTTGCACGGCCGCAGGGCATACGATGCCAAAATCACATTGCATGCCTGGTCTCATGAGACACGATTTGATGCCTTGAAACTCATTCTGTGTAAATTGAGGGAATATTTGAAGAAACGAGGACTGAATTCGAAAAATGCCAGTCAATGGAAAGGCTTGCATTGCGCCATACTGCACCCCATGTATTGTGTGCATCGCCGTAATTCAACCCAGCCCGTTGTGAATCGTTCTTTGGTCTGAATCGCGGTCATTCTCACTCATGATTCAAGAAATCCCATTACTGACTTCCTGGACGCCTTCGTATCAGATATATCTGCAAGTCGCCCACCTGGCCTTTCCCATTCAACGATGAAATGACTCCTTGTGCGCCAACCGCAACCATGGCTCTCCTTGACGCCTAGCACGGTACCTGCGCCTTTCGGCCTACACCCGGTTCCTCCTCCACGCCTTTACAGAGAGATGATGTGGGAGTGGGAGGGCAGCGGATAAATACTGACGACTGGAATACATATGCACTCAAGGTTTAGTGTCTTTGGTTTCGACGACAAAGATACAGTCGGTATAACCCATAAGTCCGGTAGTCCTTCAAACAACCAACCAATGTCTCTATCATATTGTTCTTATGGAGGGTACTCGAAACAAGGCACAATATGCATCAAGCCATTTCAATCCCTCGAATCATCGTCATCATCAATCTCTTTCCTCAACAGCTCAATCTGGTGTTTCAAGTTCCGCCAAAGGACATAATCGTCTAAGCCCTTCTCTTTGCTTGTCTTGATCATCTGTCCGTCCACCAGGTCAATCATATCCCAAGCATCCTGCAAGTCGTCTACCTCATTAGTGTCCATTCGCTCGCCACCGTCGGGATCTCTCGCGATAGACAACAACGCGGTCACGAACGTCTCTTGAATGTACGCAAACGAGAACCCATCCGTGAGCTTCGCTGCTGCTGGACAAATTGCATCCGGGAACTCAACGTCCTTATTGTCGCTCAATTTCTTCTGCCAATACTGGCAGTACTGCACCCTCTCGTCAAAGTTTGGGTTGGGGAACAGGAACTTCCGATCAAATCGAGACGGCCGCTTTGCAATGCCGGGGTCAAGACGATCGATGTGGTTTGTGCTTCCTATCATGAACACGCCTTCGTTTTCAGACACTCCATCCACGGCGTTGAGGAAGAAACTGCGCAGTTCGTCGGTGACGAGACTGTCGAGATCTTCAAACACCAAATAACACGGCGCCTCTCGTCGTGCCATGGTAAACACGCTCTCAATGCTGAACTGGTTCAGGAGCAGCTTGACGTAAAGGGTCGGAATGGATGGGATGCGTTTGTACAGAGTCCGCATGGTCGCTTTGATCGAGAGTGTCTTGCCATTCCCTGGGGGACCGTAGAAGATGACACCTCGTTTCCACGGTACGCGAAGACGGTGATATTGTTCGCGAGAGCTGAAGAATCGGTCGACAAGCTCGACGAGGTCTTTTTTCATGCCTTCGTCGAGGATGACGTCTTCCCATCGTGATTTCATGACGCTTTCGTACAGCTGGGAATCTTTGTACCAGTATCCCTCGAAGACCCAGACTTCATCGTGAAGTGATGCTTGCCAACGACCGACTGTTGCAATCAATGTCTCAACGGCAGACTTGTCGCCTAGAATGTACTGGTTGCGGGTCTGAGGCCAGGCCTCTGTACCGTCACGGCCGTCGACAAGGTAGACTAGAAAAGTCATGTTCTGCCATTTGTACAGGTAAGATTCGAAGAAGGCCTCTTCCGCCACCACCCCATTGCCTCCGTCGAGACGTTTGAGAGGTGGCATAAATAAGGTCCATTTCAGTGAATCGGGCCAGTAATTTGAGTCGCTTTGTGCCGATTCAATACTGGCATTACCTGTGGCTGCGTAGGCTTTTAAATTGCTGTTCCATTCGGGAACAACAGTGATATGGATGCCTGAATGTTGAATCTTGAGACGGCTAAAAATGTGTGCGTCTGTGTTCACGCGTTGGGCCCCGGCATTTTCGAAGAACCTCTGAGCGACAGAATTCGAACTTTTGGCGTCACATGCCTTGTGAGAGCCCTTATTGTTGTCTGAATGTTGCTCCATCATAAAAAGTCTCGATTTTTGAAGCAAAAGCTAAATGTTTCTCATAAATAGAATGATCATAAGGTCACCTCTTCCAACAAAGTTGTTGGGCAAGGGGATGTACTCCGAGCTGCGGCAGGCACCAGTTTCTTGGATGACGATCCCTTGCATCACCCAAGCCTGGGGCCGACAGACCCTTGTGGGGGCTAAAACTTGACTGTTCTCAGTAGATGCAAAGTCAGCATGGTGGATTTTGTGCCATTGAGACCTCAATGAGGGTGCGAGGCACACCCTCATTCTTCAATTGCGCTTTGATCTGACTCTCTAGCCAGGCCCAGACAGTTTTCCGTGCAAGCGTTTTGTTTCGTCGATACTCTCCCCACGTTCTGTCCTCGATAGAGGCTCGCCGTTGTGATACATCGACGATGTGTTCGATTGCTCCGTTGACTCTGATGCCATTGGTCAAAGCCTTATTCAAGTCGTCGAGTACAACACAACGAAGTATGTTGAGCATCTGAAAAGACTTATTGTCCCGGGCCTGATCAACGGGCTCATAGCCCGACTCCAAACAAGAGCAACAGACATTCCAAAGTGTCCACATCTCCGTCAGTCGGATGGGATGATGCCCTTGTTCGTATAGCACTGGATGAATGTAACGTGTAATGATTGCAGATTGCAAGAGGGCCTCTGACCACTTCCCCGAATTAATAAGACCTTCCGTGAGTCCGTGCCGTAGCTGAAACCATGGATAGTGATACAGCGGCCAACATCCTAGCTCAGCGAAAGCTGCCATGGCTGTCCTAATTTCATGCAGCAGTTCGCTATCCACCACGGGCAATTGTTGAATTTTCGACATCAATTGTGTCACATGATTCTCCATTGTTTTCGCGTTCTCAGTCGTTTCAGGTGGTAAGACTGTGGCATTTTGCTCGCTCATGCATCGCGTACACGCACAGGTGAAAAAGTACCGCTCTTTGAGCTCCTGTTGCCGCGCCTCGAAGGAATTCTTTCCGTCAACATATGAGAGAGTGATCTCTTCATCCTTGTCGAGTGGTCGCAAGGCGTGGACAGATATACTTTGATAGTTTGAAGCTCCGCTTGACTCGCTCTGGGACACGTCGAACCGTACGTAGGCATTTGGCGCACATGAATGATTGAACATCGATGTTCTGGGATGTAGCGCTAGACCCAGAGACTCAAAGAATGGGTTTGTGAGCGTGAATGTGTTGATTGTTAGCTGTAATGGTCAGTTGTCAACACCCAAAATCTTGTAGAATGTTCTTACTATGCACAAAACTCGCAAGATGCGCTGTACAGCCAAGTCTGAACCAGAGTAGGACTTGATAGCTTGGGTAATCAACAAGAGATTCTCCCACCGTTCTCCTCCAGCGCCTTGGAGTTTATCCCAATGGCTCTCTAAGCTCAGAAGTTCGTCCAGTTCACCGACAGGAAGCAGACCTGCTTCATTCTGCATCAACAGCCGAATTATGGCTCTGACGTTGCTGGGAAGAATATTAGGAAACAAGCGTCCATACACCTTGCACTCCAGTCGATGGTACTGGGCCCATGCTGATTTTTGGCATCTCTGTAGATGCTATTAGCAGATTCTCAGGTCCTCTTGTTGTCAAGAACACCCGCGTACCTTATTGCAGAATCTGGCCACCTGACACCCAGTACACTTCTTCAATGTTGGAACTTGACCATTCACATCAGGAAGAAGTTCTTGGGGTGATTTCAAGCAGAAATAACAGTTCGTTGGGAGCTTGGCCGTTTCCAGCGCAACCATAAGTGGCTGTGCCACGTACATGATTTGTGATTTGGCTTCGACATGTTTCGCAGCGTGAACGCTTCTGCCACTGCTGGCCGAGGAACTGATGTAAACACTGTCATCGCGAATAAACTGCCGGGAACGGTCTGAAGCCATCCTATCTAACTACCTTTCTACCAGATGGTCAACAGTGATTGGCTTTGAAAGCCACAGATCTTACCGCATTTGAGGTTTGTCGTATAGGTACCTATCCTAGTCTGCAAACATACTAATGGTGATGGAATGCTCTTTATGTCTCTCACACCGATACTTGATGAATGCCATCATGAGCAGTAGAAAAAATTTCCCCTCGCAAGGCTGTGATGCGGGGAACGCAGCCTTACTAATTCTCGTAGTAGGCCCTAAACAGAGCCCTAAGCCATGCCTAATACTTTATTGGACAGGCTACTCAAGCTTTACTCCGTAGTGAAATCTTAAGTCCGTGGCGCCACCCAATATTTTTTCCTGCGTCAAGTCCGCAGTTTTGAATCTTAACGAGTTCGAGTCTGCAGCGCTGGGGGAGGTGGTGTCGGACTACGAGAAACCATGGAGAAACAATCGAATAAGCCTCATAGGCCATCGAAAGAGAAAAAGAAACCACAAAGAGGAGAGAAAAATGTCAAAGCCTTCGCCGTCGCCAACCCTGGCCGCCTGGCGAAACAGGCTGTTCGGTCAAGCGACATCAATGAGAAGCGATTACATGTTCCTCAAGTCGACCGACTTCCAGAAGAAGCACCTCCGATCGTTGTGGCCGTCGTTGGACCTCCTGGCGTCGGCAAGACCACCCTCATTAAAAGCATAATCAAACGATATTCCAAGCAGACTCTGTCGCACCCTACCGGCCCTCTAACAGTCGTAACCTCGAAAAGACGGCGACTTACCTTCCTCGAATGTCCTTCCGATTCTCTGGCTGCTATGATCGATGTTGCAAAAATTGCTGACATCGTCCTACTCATGATAGACGGCAACTATGGGTTTGAGATGGAGACGATGGAATTTCTGAACGCTTTGAGCGTGTCTGGAATGCCGGGAAATGTTTTTGGCATCCTTACACATCTGGACCTGTTCAAGAAACAGAGTACATTGCGGATGGCAAAGAAGAGATTGAAACACAGATTCTGGTCGGAACTCTACCAAGGCGCAAAGCTATTTTACTTGTCCGGCGTTATCAACGGGCGGTACCCGGATAGAGAAATACACAATCTGTCGAGATTTCTGTCGGTCATGAAGAATCCTCGACCGCTGATCTGGAGAAATAGCCACCCCTATTGTTTGGCAGATCGTCTACTCGATGTCACTCCTCCGACCCAGATTGAAGAGAATGAGAAGTGCGACAGACAAGTTGCGCTTTACGGGTATCTCCGAGGCACCAATTTTCCTGCCGATGGAGCGAGGGTTCATGTTCCTGGTGTAGGGGATTTGTCAGTCAAAGAAATTGAAGCGCTGCCAGATCCCTGTCCTACGCCATTCCTAGATCAAGCCATGGCCAAAGCCACCGGAAAGTCGTCCAGAAGGAAACTAGGCGAGAAGCAGAAAGTCCTTTTTGCCCCCATGTCCGATGTTGGCGGTGTTCTGGTAGACAAGGATGCTGTCTACATAAATGTTAAAACGAACACCTTCGATCGAGATGCAGATGACGGAGAGGAGAGAGGTCTTGGAGAGCAGCTTATGATGAGTCTCCAAGGTGAACGGAGACTGCTGGGTGAGGCTGAGGGTGGTGTTCGGCTTTTTCAGGGTGGGCAACAACTTACCGAAGGTGATAACCCTGACAACGACACGGGCCGCACCACAAAAAGAGGAATCCGATCATTCGGCCAAACTGGCATTCACAATGATGTCGTCGACCAAGACGAAGAAGATGATAATGATGACGACGAGGGCTTTGTCAGCGGAGAAAGTAATGATGAGGCGAGCGACGATGACGAAGTGAACGATTTCTCTGAGCATACCGGCCGACCTGGCATCGCTGAGGAGGGACTAGACGCGGAAGAAGTCGAGGGCGACCTGGAGTTTGCCGACAGCGACTCTGACTTGGGTTCCATGTCTGGCGACGAGCATGGCGAACAGGAATTTGACGATGAGGATTCGGACTTCGACGGGAGTGAGGATGATGGTGGTCTCCGGTGGAAAGAAAATTTGTCCGAAGATGCTCGAAAGCTACATTCAACCCAAGTAGCATTCCGCGCTGCTGATCTGTCTCGATTGATGTACGATCTGACTTTGACCCCAGCCGAAGCAATTGCAAAATGGCGAGGAGAGCAAAAACATCACGACCACACTGGACAAGACGAAGTTGATGATGAAGACAATTTTTTCAACAAAGCTAAGACTGAACAGGAGGAAGAACTAGAAGATCGACAAACTCCACGATATGACTATGAAGACCTGACGCAGAAATGGGAGGATGAAGATCAAATACAAACTATCATGTCCCGGTTCACGCGGAGATCCCTCGCCACAGGAGCAAATGCAGACTCCGACGAGGACGAATACGGTGGTTTTGATGAAGACGCCGAGAACGAGTCTGACGAAGGCGACGGCGAGTTCGAAGACTTGGAAGCAGCAGCTGAGGCGGATCCAGAGGCACAAGCGGAGTTGACTTTGGAAGAAGAACGTATCAAGAATGCCAAACGGAAGGAAGAACTCAAGCTTCGGTTTGAAGAAGAAGATCGAGAAGGTTTTGCGAACGGCAAAAGTGAAGTCAAGGCTACGGAGCAAGAGTTTGGCGAAGACGAGTGGTATGACGCTCAAAAAGCAATGCTCCAGAAACAACTCGACATCAATCGAGCAGAATTCGACAGTCTGGATCCAGTAGCCCGAGCGCGCGCAGAAGGATTCAAGGCTGGCACATACGCACGAATTGTGCTGGACAAAGTACCGTACGAATTCGTCCGCTCCTTCAATCCCAAGCTTCCCGTCATCATCGGAGGACTAGCTCCCACAGAGGACCGGTTTGGCTTTGTTCAGATCCGCATCAAGCGACATCGATGGCACAAGAAGATTCTCAAGACAAATGATCCTCTCATCTTCTCGTTGGGGTGGAGGAGATTTCAAACACTGCCAATTTATTCGATTTCTGATTCACGGACACGAAACCGAATGCTCAAATATACCCCCGAACACATGCATTGCTTTGGTACTTTCTATGGTCCGCTGGTGGCACCGAACACTGGATTCTGCTGTGTTCAATCCTTTTCCAACGCCAATCCTGGGTTCCGAATTGCAGCCACTGGAGTTGTACTGAACGTGGATGAAACCACCGAAATCGTCAAAAAGCTCAAACTAACGGGATATCCGTACAAGATCTTCCGCAATACGGCATTCATACGCAACATGTTCAATTCGTCGTTAGAAATTGCCAAGTTTGAAGGAGCTAGTATACGAACGGTATCTGGAATTCGCGGGCAGATCAAGAGAGCTCTCAGCAAACCTGAAGGACATTTCCGAGCCACTTTCGAAGACAAGATCCTCATGTCAGACATTGTCTTCCTTCGAGCTTGGTACCCAGTCAAACCCCACAGATTTTACAATCCTGTTACCAACCTTCTCGATGCTCCTCCCAGCGGATCAGCAGATCTCGACGGAGAGGGCCAACGAATCGATGATGGTTCGGAAGGATGGCAGGCCATGCGACTGACGGGAGCCGTTCGAGCATCAATGGGTATCCCAACACCACTGGTCAAGGATTCCGCTTACACGAAAATCGAACGACCCAATCGACATTTCAACCCTCTTCGAGTACCACGTGCATTGGCGGCAGAACTTCCATTCAAATCACAAATTACGCGACAGAAAGCAAGAAAAGCACCAACCTACCTCCAGAAGCGAGCTGTGGTGATGGGTGGCGAGGAGAAGAAAGCCCGAGATCTGATGCAGAAATTACAAACCATGAGGAACGAGAAGGCGGAGAAGCGAGCTAAAAAGCAAGAAGAGAGGCGAGCTGTTTACCGCAAGAAGGTCGCTGAGAATATGGAGAAGAAGGAAGAACGGGAAAAGAGAGAACGGGACGAGTTCTGGCGCAAAGAAGGTCGCAAGCGAAAGCACGCACAGGCTGGCGGTGGTGGAGGAGGGAAGCGGTCGAGACGATAAACGTATGACTTTGGCCTTGTGCCGGTTGTGAGGATGATGGATTGATACCCGTGAGCGTGAGACTATACTCTCTGTACTCCGTATTGTGTCAATATGAAGACCATTTGGAGCAGCTCAACAGATACGTCGAATATAGGCGATCTCTCTTGCATAGTCTCGAGTCAAATGGTTCAATACTGTGTCGACACCTGGTCTGTGATGCAGAACTAGTACCTAAAGGTGCAGTTTAGCGAGTGAAAATTTAGAGGCTGGGCGCACACCTTGAAGCTTAAGCAGAATTTCCAGGCCTCCCGGGCCCTTGGAGAAGTCCGAAAGGGCTGTTTGGGGCTCTCCAGGGTCTCGCACAGGCCACGACTACAGGGGACACATTGACCGCCGGCCCCGGAGAAATGGCGCGTGTACTGTATCAGGTACTCATCCATACTGTAGGAAATGGCCAAAGCTGTTGCCGCTGCAGGACACACGAACCGAGCGAGACTGATCGCGTGTATCTCTATCGCCGTGACACCACAGATATCGACCATACTTGATCTCTACATCCACTACGCGGTGTCATGATTGATGCTGCTACTGCTACAACCTTTACCGTCTATCGATGCTTCCACCTCGGTCTCTGTCACAACAACGCGTCTGCCTTGAAACGCCTCAATCTACGCGTGTCCAGCAGTGGCATAAGTCATCAGTCCCCACCAACTACCAGCTGCTGTAACTGACTACCAGGTCCACTAAACCTACCAACACGGACAGGCGAGGGCGAACGCGACGACCCTCGTGATCTGTTGCTGTTACCGTCGTTTCGTTGTCTACATTCTCACCGATATCCTCTCCCTGTTTCCTTCACGGGTTCATACACATACCTAGTAACCTCCACCATTCCCTCGAGAACCAGGTTTTGAATCATCCACCCGATATTGCCGAGGCGGCCGACCACGACACGAGCATGCAGCATGCCGTTACGCATGCGTCAACCATGCTGGATCCACACCCGTTGACACTGGCGCCCCCGGAAGCCGCGATTACAAACCTTGCACGCAGTTCTGAAGATTCGAATACCTCACAGCAGATCCCATTGAACATATCGACGAGCGATGTGTCCAGCACAGCGGCATTACCCACTGTACCCGACGAGGAGGAGGATACACCACCCACCTCGACCACGTCGAGCCAGCTGGGGTCGCAGGAGACGCGGTCTATAGAGTTGCAGGAACAGAAGGAGTCGACGGAGAACCTTGCAGTTACAGATGCTGTGCAAGAACACCGTTCAAATACCAATTCACAAAGTCCTCCGCCGAACAGTCTCTCCGGAGCAAAACGCACAGCAAGTGGCGAGGTGAAAAGGTCGAGTGTCAACGGACTTGCAGACGTCGTGAGCCAGTCTAAAGGGTTTGGCCATGCCCGAACGACAAGCAGTGTATCAAATGGCAATATCTCAGAGGTAGGATTGGCCAGAGCAACCACGGCGAATCCAGGGACTGACACAGACCAGCTCTCACAACAGCTACGTACCCGACTAAAATACGCAATGATCAAAGTGCAGAATGGCTGGCAGACACGTTCCCTCGATGAAGTCGAATCCCTAGCCTCACAATCCCCGCGGTCCACCGTTTCTGGATTCCCAAACTCGCCTCGTCCACGCGGTCTGCTCTCCCCCCGAACAGTCATGTCCAGGAGTTACGGACGAGAGTCGAGCGAGAGCGACTCATCCGACAGCACACTAGAAACCCGAGCTCTGGTGACTCTGAACAGTCCACAAGTATCTTCACGACGCGCTCTCGCACCTCCGGTTGATATTGTTCCGAGCTCTCGGCGTCGGGCAACACCAAATGGTACCTATCAAAACACACACAGTGCTCGACACACGTCGCAGTCGTCGCGTCCTCCCACGAGTCACCGAACACCAAGCCAGAATGCAGCAATGGAAGCAGACGCGGTCGAGACGCTTCTTTTCATGGCCAGCCCCAATAATTCAGGATACAATCCCAGCCTGTCGCAAGATTCTACTATCCGATCGACACAGACATTTGCGGCTTCACAATTGACATCTCCATTGCGGACCCAGTTTAGTCAGACGTCCATGACATCGCCTAAGAGAGTTGCCTTTTCTAATGGACGACCGGTGTATGATAAAGCTGCCATTATTGATCGCATGTTGAATGACTTGTCAGATGACAGTGATGAGGAATTGGAGCGTGCTTTTGAACTCGCGGAGAAGTCCAAAATTTCATCGGCCGCCACCGCGGCGGCACCACCAGCAGCATCTACTGTATTGACGTGAAATTTCGGTCTGGCTGTGAGTCGGAATATTTGGGATTTGTACCTGCATTGTTGGTTCTGTTGCGCATGTGAGCATTGGCATTGGGACCGGAATTTTGGATACATCTGGCGGTCGTCAGATGGCATTTGGTCTTCGGTGTTCTTTCTTGGTGGCCAAGGGGCACCTAGGTAAGGTAAGACAACCTTGCGTGCCTTGTGATTATCGTTATCATATGGATGCTACCAATGGAGCCATGTTTTGTGAGACACAGAGCCCCCGATAGGGGAGGCACTTGATGACCCGGCTGAATGATCTTTTTTTGTATATAAGCGAGTTTATTGGAGGAAACATTTTTGGTCTTGAGAGTGCGATACAGTTGCAGATACCACACCATCATGGGCATTTGAAATTTATGGATCGGATTTCCCGCTATAGCGTCGAGCCCGTGTTTGTCTCTGTTATGCCCCGTGGTCTGATCCTTGCAGAATTTGTGATGGCGCGCGCGATCGATACTTCTGACTCGGCATATGCTCTGAAGCATGAGGGGGAAACAGAAGAAAGTCGCCTAGGGCATCTCATTCACCTCGGTCTTTCGCTGACATTTTTGATGATCATGTATCATTCGTAGGGCGTAACTCCAGTAGCTGTGCTTACGTGTGTATTTTGTACCCTTGTTACGAGTATACGGAGTACGAGTACCTAGTTACCTGGGCAGGCAGAGTAGTTGTTGATTCTCTTCCTACCCCCGCAAAGGATCAACCGGCTCCATGCATATACGCGAGGATTTTTCGTATGTATGTACAGCTCATCCGTCCTCTGGATGGAACTTGACTACTGTAGGTATGTTTAACCCTAATGCATCACGCATGGTTGAGCTGCCCCTCCAATCTTCTCTTGGGGGTTGGTTTCTTGGGTAGTGCTATTTCTTGGGTACTTTGCATAGCCCTGGTACTACTACGTGGACCGAACATGACGTTTCTTTTTCACATTGTACCCTCCCCTAGACAAGCATCTGGATCCTGATTGACTTCTCCTTGAACAGCCCATCTCGTTCTCGTAGGTTATCACAACAAAGGCTCGTTCCTACGTGAGGAATAGCCTAGCGAAATTCACCACACTATATATACCTTAGTTGTTGTCTCAACGTTACTCACCGAGTACTCCCCAGACACACAAGCTACACAAAATGGCGGCAGAAGACAGAGTCATAGGCAACATTGCGACACTTCAAGACAAAGTCGCCGTCGTCACCGGTGGTTCAAGTGGTCTCGGCAGAGCGATATGTCTTGCGTACGCTGCTGCCGGGGCTTACATTGTCAACGCCGACCTGAGACCTGACATCCCCGACCAGAAAACCATTGGAGCTCGACCGATCAATGCGAACATGGATCTCGTCACTCCGACGGTCGAACTCGTCACCAAAAGATGGCCGAGTCAGAAATCTGGGGTTCCGAGGATCGTGTACATCAAGTGCGACGTCACCAAGGAGGAGGACGTTCGTGGTGCTGTGGCGGAGGCGGTCAAGGTGTTTGGAAGGTTGGACATAATGGTCAACAATGCTGGTGAGTTCCTTCCCAACACATTTCTCCCTCTTGTCGTGGACTTTTCTCCTTCCCATCAAAAACACAACTTCACTTGACTCTGAAAAGATGAAGGCAAAGGCTTACCTTTTGGTCTGTAATTTTCACACACGCAGGTATAGCCGCCGAAGCATCAGCAAAGGAACTGGGCAAAGATATGATCCGAACCCACGAGACCGACGTTTCGGTCCTCGACAAGACTCTGGCCATCAACACTCGCGGTGCGTGGCTGGGTACCAAGTACTCCGTCACTCAGTTTCTCGCCCAGGAACCTCATCCGGTTTGGGGGCGGTCTCCCTTCAACGAGGCCGAGATCCACCGCGGATGGATCGTCAACACGGCTTCGATCATGGGAAACGTCGGCATGGCAGGCGCCACGAGTTACTGTGTGTCCAAGGGAGGCATCATGCAGTTGACCCGTGCCACCGCGCTCGAGTACGCAAAGGACGGCATCCACATCAACGCCCTCCAACCCGGGTTTGCCGACACTGCCATCCTCGACACGATGATGCAAAAGACGCCCGGGGTGGATGCGGCTCTGAGTATGTTGCACCCTTGGGGAAGGACGGGGAGACCGGAAGAGATTGCGAGGGCCGCGGTGTATCTTGCTGGAGAGGGAGCAAGTTGGGTGACTGGTACGAGTGTGGTTATTGACGGAGGTTATATTGCGCAGTGAGGTACCCTACTCCAAGTAGTGTACACGTCGAATAGTCATCCCGAGGTACATATATTTAACATATTTGTCCGTGCCACAACCTTTCTCGACCTCGACCTGATATCAGTCTCCCACCAACCTACCGAACAACACTCCCGACGAGATCAGTCAATACCGAAACTGGAGCATACAAAAGACTGACTGATGAAAAGTATATCGGTTTTGAAAGGATGTCATTCCGCCCAAGTCAGCCAGTCGGTGATATAGAAATCCACCCGCCTTATTTGCTGGCTAAATGTCATCGGAAGGCCCAAACGACTGTTCCGAGGCCCCTTCGCTTACGTGGATCTGACCTCTCGTCCCACACCTCCAATGAGGATCTCTCTGCGATGAGAACCTTACTGGGTACGAAGTAGATGTTTTGTTCGTGGGGTACTCCAGTCCCTCGTCGATCCTGCAGCATCACGACCTCTCAGATACAGTTTGAGATGATGTGGGAAAAAATGGCGGACATTTGCCGTTTGATGATTGATTGACGTCCACAGACTAGTCAAAACACCCATCATCCTTCTTCCTACGAAGTACGAGGATGTACGATGAATCCCCCGGACAGAAGATGAGATGCAGTCCCAGTCCCATCTTTTCTGGTCTATATATCATACTCAGAGTATCCCCCTTCTGAATGGTCTGGAAGTCGACCAAATCCAGCAGCAGCCAGGTGAATAAACAGATCATTCTCTTGGGGGATCCCATCAGCAGCAATCAAATCATGACGCTGTATTCGTACCTCGTTCTACTCGGTGTGGCGACCATCCTAGCCAAGATCATATACAATACCTGGTTCCATCCTTTGAGCAAGTTCCCTGGACCTTTTCTCGCGTCTCAAACCGATCTATGGAGAGTTTACCAATTGACAACTCGACACATGCCCGAGACTCTTTTACAATTACATGAGAAGTATGGCCCGGTCGTTCGGTATGGTCCCAACGAGTTGAGTTTCTGGGGGGTCGAGGCCATCAATCCCATCTACAAATCTGGTCGAAAGGTGTTGAAGAGCAACTTTTATGACGGGTTCACCACCTTTCATCCTAATCTCTTCGGTACCAAGGACGAAGAGGTGGGTTTCTGACTTTCTCTCTCTCTTTCTGTCGACTCCCACATCCCATCCCTTATCGATGATACTAATTCAATCGTCATAAAACAGCTCCACGCCAAAAGACGTCGTCAAATGGCTCATAGTTTCTCGACGGCCTCCCTGACACAAATGGAATCAATCTTTGACCGCCGAATCAATCACCTCGTCAGGACCATGGACTCTTTCGGAGACACCCCATTCGACCTCAAAGAGATGATGGGATACTACACTTACGACTTGATGGGTGAATTGATATTCAACGCCGAGTTCGGAACCATGCAGGCCCAAGACCCCCAAAACTTGCCTCCCATCAACGAACACATCTTTTTGGGTTGCATGTACGGGATGTTGCCTTCTTTGCTCCCGTACAGCATGCAATTGTTCCCTCGGATCCCCCTGCCGTGGCTACAACGTTTGATGGCAGGTCGGAAAAAGCTCCGCGACCAGACGGCCAAACACGTCGCGGTGGAATTGGCAAAGGACAAGACCGAGATCCGACACAACATCTTGTCCAGACTCACCCATGCCAAAGATCCGGAGACGGGTGAGGAACTCACAGAGGCCGAAATCAGTTCCGAGGCGTTTGCTTTCTTGGTGGCCGGTTCACACACCACGTCGGGGACCTTGACACTCTTGTTTTACCACCTTCTTCACAACCCTACCGCGGCGGAGAAGTTGACGGACGAACTGAAACTGAATGGTTGGTTGGAGGAGGTGCCTGACCCGAACAAAGACGACAAATCATTGTCTTACTCGGGTCTGGAAATGCAACTACCTTATGCCACAGCATGTATAAGGGAAAGTTATCGAATGTCTCCGGTTTTTTCGATGCCATTACCCAGGGTTATATGTGATCCTGCAGGTACGGATATTGATGGTCATCATATACCTCAAGGTGTAGGTTTGCTATCTACCCTTTCTTGCCTACCCTCCCCCTACCCTATAGTTTCCTCTCTTCTCTCCTCTCTTCACAACAATACTCTGCCGATGTCAATACTTACAATCTTTCTGTACTTATAGGCCAACTGTTCAATCGTCAATCACGCTCTCCATCATAACCCAAAAACCTGGGGGGATGACCATGACGTCTTTCGCCCTGAAAGATGGCTCGAGGAAGGAAACACCTTGTCGACCAACGACCTGTTGCCCTTTGGAACCGGTCACCGTGGATGCATAGGACGCAACATAGCTAGTATGAGTGTCATCAAGGTCTTGGTGACGTTGTGGAGGAGGTACGAGTTGGAAGCCGTAGACGCCGACGAGAAATTGATCCTGGAGTCTGTCGGTATCGGGGAAAAGGAAGGGCCGTTGATCGTGAAAGCTAGAGTGAGGACGTCATGAATGATATTTTGATGAACTTTGATGAATCACAAAAATGTCAAACCCCAGGCCATGAACATGTTGTTGTCAAAGGACTTTTTTGGAATGTGATACAACGCCGTCGACATAATGAAAGCCAAAATGGTAGACGTTTCTCTATGAATTGTACTGAATGGCACACCGTTCGCTAGAGATGGTCTCGGGTCCTGAAGTACGTTCCTCGGATGAAATGATAGTCATGAACTCATGACCGTCCGTCAGATCTGGCACAATAGCCAATTCTTTCCGTCGTCCAAAGATTTCCTCGGGCAACTTCATGTAGCGTGAGATTGTTTTTTTACTGGCCAAATGATCTCACAGCCTTCAGACCTTTTGGTTCCAGGGGCTTGCTTCGCTGCACTGGCAGCTTCTTGAGAGGCTTCCTCAGGAGGAGGAGCAGGTTGATCAGTTGATGTCGGCAATTCGTCAGCGTCGATAACAGGCTGTTCGACATCGTCAGGAGTAGCCACCATCTCTTCTGAAGCATGGGGCGTCGGAGACGACTGTTCATCGTCGGTCACATCCTTGAATGGCATGAATGGTGAACCCCATCACTCTGCGCCCATCTTCCAAAATCTCTGCTCAAGGCCCAGCGTGGGAAGACCCAGATAGGTGGCGTTTAGCTCTCCAATTGAGGTCGGGGATCATGCGAGCCGCTTCTGCATAGGCTGTGCAGAAAGCCCAACCGTTCATATAGGTATGATGTGACCGAGGACCGCCATATGATATGACTGGGAGGAGAAGTTGAGTACTTCGTACGCTATTCGTATGTATTCCCCCTTCGACCACGGAATGGCGATGGAAGCTTGAGGCCTGGACGGTTCAGCAGCGCGTTTCGCTTGACGTCGGGAGTTGCCCCAACCCCGAGTTGACGTTACCATGAGAGCAGGCAGGATTTCCGGGCCGGTGTCAAGTCCTTGCGTGACCCTCTTTCTGATATCGTGTGTGGGTAGAGTTGCCTTAAAGAAGAAAAACCTGGTGCGTCCACCCACTTACGTCTTTGAGTTACCAACCGGTCGTGAGGACCTCTGCGTAGCATCTTCTTCAAAACATACCTTGTCGATTGACTTGTCGCAATCTTTTCCATCTGAACAAAATTGCTTCTGCTACTCCTGTTCCTCCTTCCCTCGGGACTTGGCTGGAGAGCGAAGGAGTGACGTCGCGCTTGACTAGTTACCTGTCTTGTTCACGTCTCGATTTTTTCATCTGCTCTGTCGTACATATCTGTAGAAATCGATTGTTTCTGTCCATTTTTAGAATTGAGGTTACGGGTAGTGGCCACAGCTTTCTCAAAAGACTTGTACTCAGAGCGTTTAGAGGGATCGCTGGAAGGCTCTTAATCTTCCAGGTTTCGAGCAATTTTGGTGATATGGGGCTTGATCTGGACGTCTTCTGGTGCATTGTGTTTAATGAAATTGAAGAGGCCTCTCCCATAATCGCCCACAGGTCGTTGGTCGCTTCGAGAAAAAGAGACGCCCCTTTTCCTTGTCTGCGGACGAAGATGAATTGGCAAGTTTCCACAGACGCGTGTACGTCTTTTCGAAGGCCAAAGACGTTCGATGGATTGCGAGGAATCCAGAAAACTGGCTCGCTGACAAAATACGACTCGCTGCAACCAATATGTGCAGGTCTTCGGCCTCCGCACGCAAGCAGCATCCGGATGGCACACTTTTCTTCTTCGCTTTCTTCTCAGGAGGAGAGGAGAGGCGCACTTTCTGGCCCAAGCCCGCCCAGCACCCCCTATCCAACCAACCAACCACGGGGACGCCGAGCCTAACTCCAATGAAGAGCAGGGAGATTGTCCTAAACACAAGCAGCTATCGGCAGCCGAAACGACAGGAGTGATCGTGAAGGTATCACTATGCAGTATGCCTTAGCAACACCGCAGGTAGCCTCGAAATTTTCCCCAACAAAAGGGGCCGGGGACTGAGGATCGCCCTGTTAGTTGTTGGCATCTTGAGAGATTGCTGACGACTTGTGAGCACACCCCTCATCGACCAGTTCGGAAAATTGTATAGATAGCAAAGGCCCACACTCTCTGTCGAGACTGAAACTTTCAATCAAAGGTTGGTTGCACCATACTCACCTTCTACTCGAAGGTCATCCATACTGACTTACCTTGTACTAGATTCCAAAAGATCAAACTGCTCACTCTTTGTCGGGATTTTGAAAAAAAAAACTGACACGACAGGAAAATCATCATTGGACCGACGGTAGTGCCAAACACCCTAGGCAAAGGAATGGGTCGACTGAAGCTGGCTCAACTGAAGGTAAAAGTTCCGTCATCTCGTCGTCCTCTACCTGGTGACCATACGATCTCGCTCCACTCTTTCTGCCTGGGAATAGTGATTCGTCTTTTTCTCTGTTAGCCAACATCTCCAGTTCATGTCCCCAGATCTAACCTAGAGTTGTATGCGGTTCCGATATTTCGACCGAAGATCGACGTTTATATATAGTTGATTGATAAGGCACTGTTGTAGAGCGCACCAGAAGAATGTCGATACCTCTGTTGGCAGCGCTCCAGATCCATGAGTCTATTCAGATCAATTGGCGTGCAAAAGTACACATGGTCTGAAGGCTGGAATGCGTCGTTCGTTGTGGACATATCGAGGATCGATCAGGAAAAGGAGTCTATGGTGTTCAGCGCTCACTGCGACCATCCAATAGAATATTCCACCAAGATAATATCTCGAGCCTGCACTCGAGTTGCGGTCATCGAGCACTGTGTATTCTTTCGTATCTTCCTTAGCATCTTATCGTCATACTCGTGATCGCCGCGAGAGATGAGAAGTAAGGACGGGTGGAGGGACAGGCCCTCTATTTGTAGCTTCTCCAGGAGCCCCTGAACAACCCCGTATCCCAACAAAACACGCAAATGAGGCCATGATGGTACTCACTAGGACAGCGCATTGGCCTCCGAACCTGCTCGTTTGGGTTGTGCTGGCAGGCCAACAATACGCATGAAGACGCCTCTGGCCCGGAACTTGCAGAACGATCAAGATCATAGTTGGTGCCGTAATGACATGCGAGACCATATTTGACTTCAGACGGGGCGTCAAAGTCTGCACTGAAGGATTGTCAAAAGTCACCGTGCTGCCGTCACCTCGTGCTCGAAGCTCCCCAAGGGAGTAGATCAGAGACTGGAATGGAAGGTCGGAGGCGAAAGACATCGTCCTTGTCGAAGCCCTCTGTAACTCTGGCAATCCATTGAACAAGAAAAGTTCTTCCCCTGGATTGGGACGATACTGAAGTGAGAAGCGAAATCAGTGTGTGAAGTACAGTGCTAGTCGCGTCAGTGCTTCTTAGAGGCCGAGGAAATGGTGTTCAAGGACCTGCATATGTTACTGGTTGAGGCCGTTTATGTTGATAGAGACTAGCTAGACGAACCTGTCGAGAGAGATGGTGACAGGTCATCATCATCCAGAGCCTCAATGCCGGCGCCAACGTAGAGGTCGCGAACCTCGGTGTATCGATACCGGTACCTGCAGTGCGGACAATTAGGGTGGCCGTCCAGCCATCTACCGCGCTAAGCGACGATGGGTTTTTCGGTGTAGAGATTGTACGATGAGTTGACAGCGATCAGGTACAGCCGCGCAGCTGGCAGCCAGTGTACTTCTCTCCGAAGGGGTATCCCCCCGGGTAGCCTCCCTGAGACACACTCCGGAAACACTGTTTCTTTGTTGCACGCAGGCACGCCGATACCAGACCTACCGTCACGAACATCTCGCTCCGCCTGGTCGACGGCGTCCTCCAAGTCGATTGAGAGGGCCGAAGACGGCTCAAAGTCACGATCTCCACAATACCTAAGCCATCGGACAGGTCTTATCCAGCGCGTTGTATTAGAGTTGGTGAACTCGTCTATCGTCTTTGTATTCTGGAAGAAGATCTAAGGGGCCTCGTACGCCACTATTTCGATCCAATGCTGCTGCGTATGGCTGATCGTGTGCCAAAACTGTTGGTACAAGCCTTTGAAGCACAAGAGAATACCTCACTATGAGCATTGATCTGGTCTGGACTTCGGATTCGACCTCATTGATTCCATCCATTCGATACACCTTCGATAGTTCGTCATATATATCAACATCCTCGCCCATAAAAGTCCTAAGTCGTCCTTATCTTGGTTATCGGGAATCGTATCTCAGAGATTGAAACAGTCTGGATGGGAACACTTGATGTCCCCATTGGTGAGAGATATATATAGCTGTAAGATCAGGCTGTCCATGGTCGTCTGTCGATGACGAAGCACTAGGGGACCATTCCTCAGAGCACATTGTGCGAATCCTTGAGGGCATTCCTTGTCTATTGCCTTGATGATTTCTTTCACGCGTGGGACTTAGTAGCCTTGATGTTTGATTTGAAACGATTGCTGCGAAGGGCGGTTCAGAGGATGATTTCAATTGTCCTCATTCTCGCTTTGGTCGATCTGTCAATTCTGAGTCAAATGCAATAATTCCAACTGCAAGCTCGCTGCGAAGTGACCCTATACAATCATCGACGACTTTCCCAGGTCTCTTCCCTCATATCCTCGGGAAGTCCGGCACGTCTTCTAGAGTCTCTGCTCGCTTCGAGACGCTCAAACACAAGGAAAAGAGAAAAGCGCCTTGTCAAATCTCCATAATCCACTAGTCGCGAGGGCTCGACGGATATTGAGATGGTCTGAACGGCATCGACGACGAATGACTACCTCCATCGTTCTCCACAGAGGGATGCGACAGGGCTCTCAGGTAGGCCAGTTGTTGAAAGCCGTCTTCGACAGCACCAGTATCACCGACGAGGGCAGTAAGGATTGAAGGTCGTCCTTGCCCCCAAGTCCCAAGAAACTGCTTAATCGTGGATTCCAATTCCGTTGTTGTTATCCAAACCATCCTCTTGGACAATGTTGTGATTCTTTCACTTGATCGGTTGTATGGTAGTTATTGAAGACTGCCTCGTCAAGCAGAAGTGCTGGCAAGATTGCACTTTTCTACTCACAATTAGCATTGTAATATGATTTGATACCTTTGTCTCCACTTACCTTGAACCAAATCCGCCCACTTTGGGTTTAAGCAGGTGGCCCTTGTATGAGTTTCTTGAACATACAGAGAGCTCCTCTGTTTAATATCCTCCATGGTCTGACGGCATTCCGCGAATCCTCGTAAGAAAATGTTGCGCACCGTCAGCCGAAAACTCAATTGGAATTCGTCTTGCTGCCTACATATCATTGATAGAGATCTTTTCTTCGCGAGAATCCAATATACAATAGCTGGTCTTTCAAAAAGTCTCGACAAGAATATGACCACCCTTGCAACAACCTTGCCAGCCTGTCCGTGAAGGAGAAGAGAAGTGATATATAAAACTTACGTTGGCTTGATCCCACCCGTCCCACTCTGAAGCCCTGATCTCTCTCAAACCCACTATCAGTCTGTCTGACTCAGAGATATTCATTTGCTTGGGGCAAAGGAAAAGGGCCGTGAATAAAGCCTCAACAGCTAGACACGGCAGAAGCGAGATGTCGGGTATGGAATACTAACACAAGATCCCGACATGTATCAACTCT